GGAACCGTAAGTAGAAGTATAGGGATGCAGGGTAATTCTGGAAACTGGGACAAGGTGTAGCCTTTTTCTAAGCGAAGATACAAAAAATTCATAAAGGAAAAAGTTGGATATCCCGCGCTGGGACCATCTTTTGACGATATAATTTTTTTGTTTTTCACTACGGTGCAATATCGACCTTTTTTATCGTCCTGCGTATAAAAATGTTAAGTAACGATCGTTAAAAACTGCACTAGGCGAGATATTTTATATTTGATGTTGGAATAAAAAATCTCAACGCTCGAACGTTTCGCCATGAATGTCTCAACATTTTATTAGTCCCTCTCTTACTGTTTTTATTACGGTCTTAAGTTGCATACTAGTTACACTCGTACGATTATGATTTTATACAAAAAAAAAAAAAAATAATTCGCCGAGTTAGTAAACGCATTAAACGTATGAACTTTGATAAGCTAAATCTGGAAAACAGTTTATAAATCGCATTGTTCACTCGACACTCGTAACCACGGCCATCAGCGTTACGTGATCCAGCGTACAATGAATATAATTTCAACACGAAAATTGCGCTATGAAATACAAATGTAAAATACGAAGTATCTCGTGAAGCATAACGTTCTGTGAATGAGACGAAGAATTGATTTATGTAAATAGAAAATATGTGTTTCTAACAGAAGGAAAATGATAGTTACTTTCAACTCCAAAAAATGAATCAATTTTTACGTGAAACACATGTTACGATTTCCCTAACAGAAACATCGTAAAAGCAGAAAACGTTTGTGGATAAATTAGAGGGTCGCGACAGGATTTCCAGTTTCCCCAATTCCATTGTTCCGAGTTTCTCTGTGCTCTCAAAGTATTGCATTTGCCCTTTTTTCTCGTCGCGCGATGCTTTATGTATTTTCTGTCGTTCGCAATCAGATTAAAAGTTACAACCGCTTGCAGTAACGTGCCGCGAGATTTATACGGTTTAATGGAGCGTCGAACTCTTCTTTATGGCGATCCATGAGATCCAGATTGGCTACCGTAACGAAGTAAAAAGCGATGTATTTCGAAGATGGACAGGTGTGATCGATCATCGTATAAAATATTGTAAGCGAAACTCTTGGTAAACCACTCGTGCACGTTCGTTACATGCACTGCTTACTATTAAACCACGATCAATGGTCGATCTACAAAAGCTCAGAGAGAAAGCTAACGAACCGTCGCGAAAAAATTCGAGATTTCCACTTTTAGAAATTGTAAATAGAAATATTAAATTTTCTATAAAGAGTTGAGGTATAAAAATATCGAACGAAATACGCGAATTGATTGACTCAATTTTGTTCTCCTCCTCGAGAACGATGATTCGCGTCGAGCCAACTTTCGTTACTTTCTTTTACACCATGCGACGCAAGGAATTCGAAGGGAAGGATAATAAAGAATGTAACATTATACCCTCGTAGACGGTGCTGACTCTTCAACTTCTTGGGATTTATCCGAGATCCTCTTTTTTTCATAGATCTTTTACCTTACTGAACCGGAAAGCAGTATCTTTTGTCTTCGATGTCTACCCCGTAGAGTATGTAAGAAGAATATCTTCAACGCGTTATGAAAAATCGGCACCAGCGTTGGTAGACCAAAAATTATCTTACACGTAAGAGACGTTCAGTGTTCGAACGCTAAAATGGAAACAGCAAAGTTTTCATTTTAAATTTCAAATAAAAGAGAAATGTTACGTCGAAAGTTCGAATCCTTTTCACAACCGTCCGTGTTTATCTTTAATCTGGAATATGGTTTTTGCATAAAGTTCCCTGCGATTATTTCCGATTTTAATTTTAGTCGAGAGAGAAATACAAAGAAAGTATTCGAGTATTCTTTTGTATTTTTATTCAACGCACCGAAAACACGTGCGAAGAGAGAACCAGAAGTGAATACAAATATTTTCGATGAATCGTAGTTAACATAAATTCAAGATTTTAGCGAACCGGTTAAGGAAGCACTTTGCCTCGCGAGTAATTGCTCACTTATTCTCGAGAACAATGAGGTTTTATCGATCGTCGTAAACTTTCAATAGAGAATGTTTTGACACACATACCACAATAACTTCCACGAGCGTATCATAATTGCTCCTACCTCGGCGCGATAGTCGAACTTCGTGAATTTTCGAAACATTTTATTCCACAACTAAAGTTTTGGGAACTATTGGCTAACCTTTAGCATCGATTTTGCTATTTACAGTCTCGTAACAAGGTAATCTAGTATTCGCGTAACGTAGGTAGAGTCACATATTTAAAGTGTATACGCCAATTACTTTTCTAGTCCGCGACAAATTGACCTTAATCGACTAGTTATGTAACAAGTACTTCAATCTAGGAATTACGGATTAAAATAGAAATCTCGTTCGTTTATATTTACGCGAACTACTCATGAAATTTCAAGTTATCATTAAGCAGTCGATCTTTAATCGGAGTAAATAAGTTGTGCAGAATTTAATTTCTTGCGTCCAGCGGTTTTAATATTTATGTATTTCTTACGCGGATCTATTTAACGCCCACTTTCGTTTCTGTTTACTTTTCTGCACTGATTAACAACCATCTTTGCGCTCCTTGAGCGGAAAAGTGGAACGACACCTGAATGAGTTTCAGAACTACATCGAATCCACATAACCGTTTACGCGTAAAACTTAAACCGTTCGCAAACTTGCTTTTGTTATTTAGAATCTTTCATCGAGCGTCAATGAATTTCAAAATGAAGAGAAAATCACAGAAATTTTGTCGAATTTTTAAGCCAAGTAGATCACCCAGTCGCTTGAAAACATTTAATTGCAATCGTTTAATAATAAAATCAGTATATAAGTTCTAGTTCTCGCACGTAACCGATCTTATGTTAATTTCCAACCTTCCCGTTTTTAAACGAATGCAAAAAAATAAAATCTCTACTTTAATAGAGTACTAGTAGTGATATTATCAACAAGTATACTTGTTTGCACTTTCTCTTGAATTAGTTGGTGTCGAATTGCCCGAGTTTCTTCGTCCATTGCTCGAAAGCAATATCACTCTAATAGAGATATAATAGGAGCGTCGAGCGTCCGTGTATTTCAAATTTAAAAATATGATATAAATTTACTTCGCGTCTCTCCTTGTGGACTCATAAATCGAAAGAACGATGTATAGATGGCATCTAACACGGTAAAGTCCGTCGCCTCCTTTTGTCGTGCACGAACGTGCTGGAATCGCGAAGAAAAGCTACCTAATATAAATTCATGTTGCGTCCTCGAAAATTACGAGCGATATCAAGCGAAGGTAACAGTTGCCAGGTCGACCACCGCGGGACACTTTGTCTCGTTAACGTGACCGAACATCTACCGACAAATGTAAAATAATTTTATCAACAATTCCCACCGGACGACGACTTCAATTTTCGAGTCTCGAATAATTTTCTTTATCGCTGCTTTCATTGCAGCGCGCAGCGACCAATATCTGGCGTCGTAGATTTTCACTTTTTTTTTTAAAAAGAAAAAAGTTAAATCGTATTATCACCGAGAATAGTATTCAAATATTTTACAGATATTTAAATAATATTTAATATTATAATAAATAAGTATTTTTACGCGTTCTACGGTGAAATACTTAATTTGATATTCCAATATGGCTACTCCCGTTGCGTTCAATTTGTTTCAATAGCCTTGCTGATCATGTCTGTAATGCTTTATGAAGGATCGACGCATTATAATATCGCGAATCGATATCAAATTGGTTTAACCGTACAGTGAATCTGGTTATCTCGCTCATCGGGATATCCTAATATCCACTAACCTTAATTATTCGAATCATAGAATCCCTCGATAGAGAAAAATTCAGCAAATAATCTCGGTCTTATCACGAAGACCAAACCGCGCGTTATTTAACTTTTGCAATAATGAATGCATAACTTTCGAAAACTCAGTCGAAGGAAACGGAATACCTCGTTTTAAATAGCGGAGGGACCCGTTGATGCGGCGCGTTAACAAGTTACAAGAACTTTAAAGTCTATAACGAACGCGACTTTATATAATCAAGAAAGTTGTAAATGAACAGAAAATCCAACGACTCGCGGCAATTGTCTATATTTGCTGACAAACAAATTTAAAAATATTTTTAAGTCGAGTCGAAAGATATATTATAACTAGAACCACAGTTTAAGCACTTTAGTTCGTAAGAGTAATACCGAAAGCAACAGTTACGCGTTTGTTATTTTTAGACACGGAACAAAATGTATATAATTCATTTTTTAAAGGAGACATCAGTCTGTATACTGTAGACCAAGGCAATAAACTATGTCTTACAGTGGATAGTCGAAACGATGTCCATCAGGATCGATGTGATGCAGTCCTCGAACCGTTGCATCTCATGCGCGTCTAATAATTTCTGGATTCGTTCCAGCACACGCTGCAACGATCCTCCGCCTCATATTTTCCACTGTGGTTGGTCTTTCTTTGAACACAATACCTTTTAATGCTACCCAAAGGAAAAAATGGCTCGCTGTTAAGTCCGACGAACGAGCTGGCTGCGAAATTGGCCCTCCGCGTTCTATCCAGCGATTCGGAAAAATGTCACCGAGGCTAGTTCTCGCTCTCGATGCATAATGTGTGTGCACAACGTGTATGTGACATTATTCTAAGCGTAGTTATAAAGCTTCAATATTTAATGGCAATTCATTACTCTGTGGTATATGTGGAAATCGTCCAAAGATCATACTAAAAATAATGAAGTATGAGAGAAAAAATGCTCCTTGGAAAACATAAAATAGAATAATTTTTTCTCACCTTGTACAACTAATTGTACAGTTTTCTCTTATCTTCTAACTCGTTAAAGGCTATACATTGTAAATTGAAATACACTATTTACATACTAAATCTGGGAAAGCTGGGATGATCGAAACGTTTAACTGAGAGTAGACAAATGATTCGTTACCGATTTCATTTTCAAGCATTTCTGATAATCAGTTTAAATAGATCATTTTAAAGTTGTATCTGTTTTTTGCAGCACGTCGATTGAACGAATATATCCACCACTACGAACCACTCTCCTACCCCACCGAAGAGATCCACCGAGGTCACCTGAGGGCCAAGAGGTCGGTTACCCGCGACAATTCTGTGACTCTGAAGTTTCGATCGCACGGAAGGGACTTTCACATTCGACTGAAGCGGGACCTGACTACCTTTAGCAATAACTTAATTATTGAGGGCCCTTCCGGCGAAACGGAGGACCTCGACACCTCGCACGTTTACCAAGGCCACGTAGTCGGTGAGTTGCATTTCACAGAATTGTCTTCTACTTACGAACTGCAGTATTTTATGCAACGCTCTTCTACTTTGGGGTTTAATGAATGGGGTTATCGACCTATAAGGAAGTAAAGTATTGTAACAAAGTAAAATTTCTTTTTTCTTCGTTATCGATGGAATACAGTGAGTTTGGAATTCGTTTATATCGCGTAACCAAAAAAGATCACAGAAACATCATTGAAAAAGTGTGGGTCAACCCTCCAATTTAAGACTCGAAAGATTACACGAGACACGTTTTAGTGACTTCGCGACAAAAATCACTTCGTACCTCCTGTGTTGCATATCATTTAGAATATAGAGCTGGAAGACAGTTTTGTCGAAGCAAATTGTGGATTAACGCACCCAAGTGACTGTGCCGGGAGATTCTGCAGGCGTGTCGTTACAAAATACGAAGTAGAAAATAGTTTAAATACCGGTGATCTTCTCGAAACATAAATCACGATCTGGTTGGTTGCTAAGTGTGCACTGTTACATTCTAAACTCTGACCTTAACGAGATAGTACCGTTTCACGGTATAGTCCGCACGGTATATTTACTCCCAAGTCTCTCGCAAACCTAACCCAGGTACAGCACGCAAAAGTGCGTGTCGCGGTAGATACCGGGTGAGACCTTTATTTCCATTGTAATAATTCACGGGAATTCGCGCGCAACGAGTCGTTTTAAATTATGGATTCGGTCACTGGGGGGTGTTGGAACGGTTTATCTTTCACTTTTGTTCTTGCTACCTCCGGCGACCTGGTTATGTCTACGCGTTTCCCACGGAACAGAAAGAAAATGTCGGATCCTTATTTTGACTGTTCAATCAGAAGGCTATCTCCGCACGCTAATTTTTCCGCCCCTTGAAAATGGGTCAGAAGGCATTATTTACTTGTTTCACCCACTTAAAAGTGAAAAATTCATTTCATCGAATTTTATATCGATTATTTTGTAGACTATTTTCATCTCGAAATAGCCTTCTCTTTAAAGTACGATAATTGTACTCATTGTTTCTGTAAAATTTTAGCTGTCGTATAACAAATGTCTTCTATATTTTCTCAATGGCATTTTCAGCCATTAGACAAAATTACAAAATTATAATTGGAGAAACGAAAACAGAACTCCTCTTAAAATAAAATATATTTTTGTCAACATCCAGAATATCGACGTGTCTAAAAACAATTTATCGGGCCGTTAGATTTCGGCAGATTAGCATGTGCAATGTAAATTGCTTTAAAAAATAAAGCCATACACGGAGAAATATGTTTCCGTGCAACGTTGGACTTATTTTTCTTTAAGGACTGGCAATTACTGTCGCGCTTTGTGTTTGATTTTCTTCCATTTTTCCTATTCCCACGTATTGAACGTCGTAGAAAAATAGAGCGAGGAAAGAAAATTCTATCTCGAGCTTGGTCACTCTTCGCGTCAGTAACAGTGACACTTCCGCGAAAACGAATAACTAAATAGCTGCGAATCATTCTGTGACTCGAGCGTATTTTTGTTCCACGTGAATATTCTCGAACGTTCGTTAATCATTGCTGAACAGGACGTTTCTTTTTATTTTCAGGCGAGCCTGGCAGTCACGTGTTCGGAAGCATCAGCGACGGTGTTTTCCACGGGAAAATTATATCGCCTCGCGGTGGCGCGTGGTTCGTCGAAAGGGCGCACTATTACTTTCCACCGCACGAGATAAACGACACGTTACATTCTGTAATCTATCACGAGAACGACATCGGGGACCCGTACGCCCACCTTCGAAAAGGTTTGTACGAGTCACCAAATATTATACGCCATAAGGTCGCATAAGTACGCAACCTGACGTACAATCTCAGAAACCCTCTGTAACGTTCGCGGTGATTGCTGTTTTCAACCACATGCGCCGCTCGAACAACGACCCAGAAATATTCTCGAATTCGCGCGTATACTTATTTCTGGGGCAGTTCGAAAAGGAACAAAAATATTTCTTACGATATATAAAAACCACGATGTATAAATCGGTTACAAAAACTTCGGCAACGGGAGCGTCGACACAGAAATCCATTATTTGAATTTCAATCGCTTTGAGCGGTTTCTTTGTTCGTGGACAAATATCGAAACTTTTATATTTTCTATTTATAGTAATATCTGTCGAAGCGAGCGCACAAAATCGTCAACAACGGGGACGTTTTTTAGTGCAGAAATTGATTGAATCGCGATGATTCGAAGTAAATTTGAAAACTTTGCAAATACGTGATTATCTATATCCAATCAACGATATACTCGAAACAATACAACCTACCTCCAGTGAAAACAAATTAGATAAAGTTGGGGGTAACTCTCGTCGAAAGAAGACACGTCGGTGCTCCGTTGGGGTCCGAGCCACTCAAAATGCATATTCGGTGCACGATGCATTATGCACTTATCGCGTACATAGTTATAAAATAATGTTTTCCGAACTCTGCTCGAACAATCACGACTTCTCCAACGGCGAAACTTATCGAACTAATAATTGCGTGTTCCGTGGAGGGTCTGAGCAGCAGACCAAGATAAGCACCAGGCTGTCAGGTAAAAGAAGCGCCGGTAGCCTCGCCGTTAAAGTGTGCCCCGTTGGGCACCCATCGTTAAACCATTATGCTTAGTAGAGTTTCTATGGATCCGGTGGACAGGTCGCGTCGACACAGTCTTTGCAACGGCGCCGTACGACTCTGCGTTTACACACTTGGACGAACACCCCTTTGCTATGCTACGCGCGCCTCCCTCCTTTCCTCGAGCCGTCGGATGACAGTTTAGATTACATTGCAAGGCATCCTTAAAGGAGCATTCAGCCGTGCATGGTTTTTAAACGAATCACCTTAACGACACTGGTCTGCGTCGCGAATAAACCGCGCGCATGTAACGTTGGATTCGTTCGAGTTGGGTCCTGGAAGGCGGGCCCTCCTACTGCCCGCCCGCCGGGACCCAACTTAAACGTATCCGACTGTACATCGGTTAGAGAACCAAGCTCGAACAGGTAGAGGAGTTTCACGAGTTAGAAGAGTGCCTAACGACGCGCGTAGAGTCCGATGCAGACGCGGAACATTGCTCCTTCCGGTCCATTTGCCCCGACAAAAGATGTGTCGACAACACATCACGCGTATACGTGTCTCGATGTTTTGAAAACCCATTGCAAACTCTCTTTCTTCGGATATTGGAACGACTCGTGCATATTAGGTTGGCGCAAATTTTGTGTATTTTTATGTACCGTTAATTTCAGTTTTCTTAATTTACATAATAAAGTATTGTTAACAATGATAATTATAATATTATATATGAATTTTAAATCGATGTGTTCTCGGTGAATTTAAAATTAATCAACTTGCGCTTTAATTAATTAATTGAGTGGCTCATGAATCACCGGGTGGTCTGGTATTAATATAAACTTTAATTAGTGTACTTCGGATGAGAATGCGTTTATTATAATTGAAAAATTTTACATAATTTATTTGAAAATGTATTTTTATTTCTGGAAGCGGCCAAGAGCCCAGAGTCAATATTTACTTCGTAGAAGTTTAATTAAAATAAATTAATATTTTGTTGAACTACGGTGGGAAAGATTCTCAGCGTATGCGGACGTGGTATTATTAAAATACGAATCCATTAAAACGATGACCTTAAAGTCATCCCCCCCTTCCGTAATATCACGTGGACCGTATGATATTTCAATTATTTCTCGCGCGGACCGTTTTTAACCCCTTTTTTGACAATATTACTGTATTACACAGTTTCTCAATCAATTTTCAAAATCGAAGCCTCGTGATAGAAAATTTTATTAGACCTTCTTTATTATACGTTAATTGCGTTGTTTCCCAAAGCTAGACATTAAATAAATAAGCAATTCAACATCGTGCATCAGAAAGTGATCGATCCGACATAAAACGGCTCTCTAACGCTGGAAATATTTGTCTCCAAATACTTTGAAACGTCCAAACGTTTGCACCACGCAAATAGACAGTTCCTGTTTGAAAGCTGTCGTCGCATTATTACCGTGTAGCGATATTAAACTTTCCCACATAAAGGTGCGGACTTTCGGGGATCCGTCGATGGTCGTAAATTCTATACGCCGTTTCTCGATGTCGTTACGGAAGAAAGCAGTCCATTCGGACGCGTATGGGGGCTATTCGGGAAACAGGGAACAGCTTCGCCGAAGGTGTTCACCGAATCCGAATTAGACATCGTCGTTGACGCGTTTCTATAGGTATGCGTGCAGATTTGGCCCCGGTCCGACAGCCCCTCCCGTGTTTACGGCGTTTGTGCAAACAACCAGCGCTTAAATAAACAGTTGCCGTATCGCGTATATTATTTATCGCGGTTTGTCCTCCATATTGCACACCCCGGACAAACCTACGCCATCTTGCCTGTTTGCGTACTGGATATACGCGTGTCGTTATGAATCTGCAACATTAACGCTCCGTGGAACTAGTACAATTCCAACGAATTTCTAGAACCTGACTGCATAGATCGTCCGCCAAAGGTCTCTCTTCAAACCGCGACTCGTCTCTATTTTTATCCAACTTTCATTATTGACGAAACAAATTTAACCCTATAGCTCGATTCGTGTTTCATTTATGGTAACACAAATTGAATTTAGAAAATGTATGAACAAAATTTTAATTATAAGTATTTGTAGAATTTTGTTGGGGAAAAAGAATATTTTTTTGCTAGTTGTTCGTATTAATAAAGGCTCTCATAGCGCAAAGAGTTAATACTACGTTAAATCAATAGCTTATTTCTATTTTGTACTATTTTATTCCTATGTTTCGTTTCGTAAAATAACGAAGACAGGTGTTTTATTTTGTTGACAATCCAGAGAAACTTTGGCGCGTTATAAAATGCCCCTCCATACTGCCGCAAACCGAGGCCACTTTGGAACCACAAAGAGAAGCATGGGAGATGGGTGACACATGTCACCCGAGCGACCAACAAAGGGATAAATTTCCGGCCAGTTCTTTAGTCGTCAATTATGCATTCTCGTTGGAGAACCGCGGATTCCATTGTGCCTTGGCTTGTAATCGTAGCGAGACAATCTTTAATTGAAATCCGTTCGGTCGTTGCCCGTATTGATCTTCCCGATCCGATGAGTTTTGTTCGGTAACACGTATTACGGAGAACAAGGCACCCGCAGTGGAAGCAAACGTTTGTCCCTTTGGGTGGCTACCATAACGGTAATCCGTATTAACGTTACTGCGTAGGCACCAATAAATTTAACCAATATCTTCACGCTGAAACGTCAAGTCATTAAAGCCGGTGGCTCTTGGTTAACCCGCCAATAAAACCAACACCGGACCGCTGCAATTATCTCGGACACCCGGGATCGATGCATTTGGCTAGTTCTGCACCGTGATGAATTTCGATTCCAAAAAGCATAGAGAAAATTTACACGAAGTAGGACAATGGTTTATTCGAAACAACTGCCGTTTGGGCTAATTAGTTACAAACGTTACAAATCGTTTGCTTATCGATTTTTCGACGACGAGTCTTCGTTCTATAATTAACGATGCAAATTTACCATCGACGCTGCAGAAATTCGATTTCATTGCCTGGGTGTGGTGTCCCAAACACGACACTCAAAGTGAATTCTGTATCGTATTCGTCGCGAATTTTGTCGTATATTTTCATCGACGAATGACGGCTCAATTGATAACCTGGCGTTCGTTCTCTAATGAATTTCGTTCGTTGTCTTTGTCACTATCGCGATACGAAGATGCTACCTCGATTATATAAAATAGAAACGAATCTGATTCAATTTCGTGCAACCAGAGACTACGGGCAAAAAAAAATATCGTTACGCAATGGTCAACCACAATGCAACAAAATTCGTTTGTTGTATTCTCCTCTAATATCTATATTGATTTAGCAAAAGTCGAAATTCAATCGTATTTCCTGTTCTGGCTCGAGAGGAAATTCTGCTGTTGACGTATTGGTAATTTAGAAACGCACGTAACGGTATTAAAAAATATTAATTTTTCACGATGTAAACAAAGCAGGATAGTCTACGCGAGAAAATAAGTAAAATTGTTCGAGAAGAAATTTTTACTAGAATCTATCTGTATTTTTTTTCTATTCGATTAACAAAATATTTACAAGAGTTACGGTGCACATACCTGCCCTGCAGAATTCCTACTTCTACGTACTGTGTATATTCCTGCTAATTTCGTCGAAAGTGAACACCAGGTCGATGAAATGATTCGCAAGAGCCATATCCTGTGGGCGTTCGGTTTACTCTTTGAATAACTCCCCTGTCAGGATGTTGACGATTGGGATACCGATCTCTGAATATTGGTTACAATATACACCCACTACTGGAATCATGTTCACATACTCTCTCAATTAGTGTGTATAATCGTAGCTGGCAAAACGGCAAAGATTTATTCGTAATTAATAAAACAAAGACGGTATTAGTAACACAAAAATAATTCTATATTATTATGACGTTTAACGTATTTTCTCGGCTATCAATATACTGGTATGTATTGTAAGAAAAATATCAATGTACGTAATTTAATTCTTAATAGGTTGTAACTTTTACATTCTCATGAAAGCACTTATAAAACATAATTGAATATTACATTTTATACGGATTACATATTAAGTAATATGTTATACCCTCGTTATATAATTGCCTTCCTTTTCCTGGAACTTCCTTATACACGGGAAAATGTCTGATAAAGTAAAAACGTGTTTCGTAATATGGCTGACACAGATTTTATTCTTTTAATATGCTTAAGACTTAAAGGTTGATGCACGACTACGGCTTCGTTTATATTGTTTGTCTCTTTCTTTCGGTTAAATGTGACAAAAATTGCATTCGCGGTACGTAATAAATTAAACCCCGGCTGTCCTTATTTTTAGGAACGAACAGATATTAAGATGTCCCAGAAATATATTGCACGCGTCAACATTTTGATGTATTAAATGATAACTGCAATGAAAAATACTTTCGAGTCTGATGATTTATGGTCTCCCGTCATCGTTCTGAAAGCAACTGTCACTGCAATGCTGGTTCTTTGGATGCAGAAAACATTGCCGGCGCATGTTTGACGTCATTATTGTCGAATCACCACGTGTTCACCTGCTCGAAAGAAAATCATAGCCGGACGAAATTGTGTCCGAATTATACGCTCAATGATTCGTAAATCTCATTATAGATTTGTTTCCAGTAACAACGTAAAAACATAATAAAATTCAGCTGTTTTCAAATTAATTTAAAAAAAGGAACATTTAAGAATCATTCAAAATTGCTCACTGTTTCCTGGGACGCTCTAATCAAATTTCGGGATATACAGAAATATTTTGACGCCTAAACAACACGACATTTCTGAACTTGTTTACGGTTTAAAAAAAAACGGTGCCAGTTTCAGTTTCTCGTGTCTAGTGACCGAGTTCCAGTAATATTACGTCGAACAGCAACGACGTTTGTCGTCGGGCAACGAACGGAATAAATTAGTGGAAGAGATTTGTCGAAGCGACGCTTTTAAATTAGAATCGCGACGTAATGGATCGCGTTTAATAGCGCCGTGGTAACGTTAACGACCGTTACAGAATCTTGCCTCGTAAAGAAAAAAAAAAAGAGAATTATACAATACCGCGGGGCTCCGCACTGGTTGGCGCACCGGTGCAAAAAGGAAACGTGATTTCACACTCGTGGCGTACATCGGTGACCGCGTCCTCAAAATAATGGCGCCGTTGTTACGGCCGATACGACACTCAAGGGGAAGCGATTAAGTTTGTCATTACGTGACGCATTATGTCCGCGCGTCCGCTTTGCAGACACGGCTCTCCCCGCATTTTGAAACTACACGAATAATTAAACTGCTCATTGGCGCTTCCGCTGCGATGCGTCGGGACTGTGGCTGGGGCCACTCGCCGAATTTTTCTGTTTCCGTGTATTCGAACGTACACTACCATTCATAAGTGTTCAGACACTCTCGATAAAAGCATAAATCATATAAAAACTCGGGAAAAATGGGAAAATATTAATTTTTTATGTACATCCACACATACATTTATGGAAATATACTAAATAAATACGAAAATTAAAACGTTTCTGAAGAGTTCTCAAGAGTTTCTGAAGTTATTGAGGTCCAAGTTGATCGAAACTTGTTCCACATATCATTAGCTGATCTCGATCGGATTCAAGTTCGGGCTCTGAGGAGGCTATTCCATAATTTTAATTATCCCTTCCTCCTCTAAATGGCGTAAATAGTCTTTACATAATTTAGACGTATGTTTTGGGCCATTATCAGTTGAAAGATTAAATTTTTACCCAAAAGCCGATTTCCTGAAGCTATTTGCGTGGTTCTCCAAAATTTCTCGGTATTCTTCTTTTCTTAATATTCCGTCAATTTTCACAATATTTCCTAAATGAGCCCCAGCAAAACAGCCCCAAATCATCACTAAACCACCTCTATGAGATAAAATCTCAAAAACTATACCTTCGATTGCTTTGAAAGTTTTGCACGTTGTTCCACATACTAACAGTTCTCGCCCGTACCAAAATCAAATTGTTATGATGAGTTTATCATATCTCTTTTATTAAAAAGTTGCAAAAGAAACGACGAAATTTTGCAATTTCTACTTTCATCTTGTCAATTTGCGACGTAAATTAACTGTAAATCTACCGAATAAAAATCTTTTTGATTTTTTTGATTTAGTCAACCTTGAGAGCTGCAATCACCTACGCCAGTGTTTAAACGCATGTTTACTGCGAAAGTAATAACAACATTAAAAGTTAATAAAAATCAATAAAAAAATCATCTTGTATTCCCAAAGGATAACTAGATAAACTGCAAAAAAGAATCATAACGTCGGATGTAACATTTCCTTTAAAAAAATTAAGAAAGAGGGTTCAATTTTCTATCATTCACATGAGACTCCCTCCTTAAGGGTTAAGGATTCGTCTTTAGATATTTTTTGTTACAATACACAGTATGTTTTCTTCTAAATCTTTCTTGGTCGAGTTCCAGAGTAATATTTTGCAAAAGAGAAAAACGTAACAACGCGTTCGCCAGCCAATCGGTTTTCATAATATTCCGGGCAATGCTCGATTTCGTTTTCTAGGCGAAACCGGCGGTTGCGCTGTGACCGACGATGTGGTGGAGTGGATGGATAGAATTCAAAATTCTGGTCAAGAGGAGGGCCCGCCTTCGGTGAAGGGCAGCGACATCAAGAAAGCGAAACCGCAGGCGAACACGTGGAACGCCGATCAGGAATCGCCCGGTCACAAATACTCTCGTGAAGCAAACGAACCTAGTCATCGGAGAGTACGAAGGGCAGCCAGGCCAAAAGAGGACAACAAAAACACTTGTTCCCTTTTTATTCAGACTGATCCTCTAATATGGAGACATATATCCGAGCAGGTAAACCGATACGATCACGCGACCAACAGAATAATACATTTTCAACGGAAGGTAAAACGCGATAATAACCGACCCATTTCTTTCGACTGAAAATTTAGCTCGAAAACGTAATAACTCCTTGGAAAATCGCCGAATGCCCTGAATGCCTACGTTCACATTCATAGAGCTTTTCCTCGGTAATAGGGGCCAGGCGTAATTTCATTTCGCATTTTCCATCCAAACTAGACGCACGGTGCATTCCAAGTGTCCTTGCATTAGAGAAATATTTCTATCCTGGCATTCTTTTTGGTCGGACATTCCCCGCCTGGGTGACCGTTATAAAAATCTTTTTACCCGTACGTACTCCTTGGACCGTAAGATCCGCGGAATATTGAATTTCCCTCGCTTTGACTTTCGCAGCTGCATCACGATGTGGAAAAAACCAAAGAGGAGATCCTGTCGCTTATCGCGCAACACGTCACTGCCGTGAATTACATTTACAGAGATACGAAGTTCGACGGTAGAATCAAGCATAGAAATATCAAATTCGAGGTTCAGCGAATAAAGGTAAACGCAAACAGCAGGAAAACCTGTGTAATTTCTGGCTCGAACGCGTATATTTTGCTCGGCAGATCGACGACGATACGGCCTGCGTGCCTCATCAAACGTACAATGAACCAAATCCCTTCTGCCTGGAGAACATCGACGTTAGTAACTTTTTAAATTTACACTCGCTCGGCAACCACGAAGACTTCTGTCTCGCCTATGTGTTCACGTACAGGTACGGAAACCGTGGTTCTTAACACTTTGACTGCCACGTCACCCATATATGGGTGACAAGACTTTCCCACTATGGGATTAAAACAATTTATTCTGAAATTGAAATGTTAAATAAATTTGTATAGGACGAAGTTTAACGTGGTTACGAAAATAAGCATCAAAGACAAATTTTAAGTTATGCAGTTTACAGTTGTTTAAAATCCAAGTTTTGGTCTCGCGAAAAGTTGTACGGTTTTGATGTGGCAGTCAACGTGTTAAAGAGGCCTTGTTGTGCGATCAGACGTTCTTTGTATAAATACGAATGGAAAATAATGTATTTTGAGAATTCCTATAATTGAGCCGTTTATTTTGAAAGTGGCCTAAGTCTATTTATCTTCAAATCGAGATATTTAAAGGTTTGCGTTTCAATGAATTTAAAAATATACGTATAGGATACTAATGAGTCATACTGCTTAAGTGTATCTAAGGGTGTTAAATTTATAGTTCCTATTAAAATACTGGCAATTATTAAGGGGTCTGGTACCTCTAGCGGTATGGAAAACGAGGCATTGTTTTAAGCAACACTGAAGATAAAGTAAGCATTCAATTATCCTGAAACTTTGCACTCTATTTAGGTATAACAAATGTTGAAAAAAACCCTTGGCAATGTTTAAAAAATATTTATAATTAAGCCTACACAGCGCCATGTTCCCGAGCCACTTCTTGTTTTGATGCCCAGATGGTGTGCAGGATTGTGGTAAAATGGTTGTTATGTACAACAAAAACCGAAATATTCCATTAACTATGATAAATGTCCTAGGCATTGACGATGAGACATTTCAATTTATATAAAAATGAACAATGTGGCAGATATTTGAAACTTAAAATCGAATTTTAACACAAAAACGAGTTCTTATTACGAATATTTTGCAGAATTATTTGACAATTTTGAAAAAAACGGATCGTCAATGCCTAATAAATATAATAGTAAAGATAACTGTAAATTTTCAAAGCAATTGATTAATTAGAACTGGAGAAATGCTGCACACCGTTTTGTAAAACATAGTTCCGAGGAAAATGCATTTAAGGGGCCATCCTACCTTGTAGGCATGAAAAATACGTGTTTCTTTATGATTTTTTTTTGCGGGTTATTAAAGAGCGATTAATTCCGGATTTTGTAGATACATTTATTATATATTTAGCTATATTTACGAATTTTTGCAACGCATAATATCTATTGATTACGCTGTTTTTGTTGATCATCAAACAACAGTTTTTACGAACGGCACCCGACTGCGTACGTGATATCTTGCGAACAAGTTATTCGAAATCCTAAAACCAACGATATTCTTAATATAGATGAGTGTGGTTATAGCATGAACTAGGATCTTTTCAAAAAAACAAAAAATGGCAAAATGGCAGCTATTTTACGAAAAAATACTGAATATTTTCATATATTTGGTTGCTTTTTTGTTAATAAAAGAAAAAGTATTGCATATATCGCAATTATCCTAGTTCATGCTATAGGGAGACCAGTTCTGAAGATACTGTATAAATTTGATGTTGATATCTTGAATAGTTTTTTAGTTATCACGCACGCAGTGCCGAAAAATGTAGTTTCGAGAAAAACAGCTTTAAAGTTTCACGTCCAGTTGTTATACCTACGCGCAGTACATTTCAGCAGGTTATCACTTCGATAGTTTTTCAAATTTCAATTTAATATTTGGTAGATATATTTTCGAGACAACATACTAAAGAAAAATGCAAAAAAAAAATATCGATTTTTTTAATCCCACAAGGTAGAAAGGCCCCTTAACGCGCTACAGGACGCAGATACACGTCATCGTTTGGGGCTCTAAATTTTCAGCAAAAACATTGTTCCGACACTGAGACCTTTCGCATAATGTTTTTAAGGCTTCAAACTATTATTTAAGCCAAAAAAAAAAAAATCGAATTTTTCAATATTCTAGAGTTACCAGACCCCTTAAGTGAATAATATGCGTTTTCTTATCAAGAATGGAGTTAGGCCACTTTCAAAATTAACAACCAGATTCATTATAAAATTTGAAGGTGCCCAAGTCCATTCAACATAATTTAAGATGCTTCAAATTGAAAAAAACAATACTGAATTTATTTTACATATCTTTAAAACACTTTGGAAACATAATTTATGCCATTCAAAACATTTTTTAACTACATAACGTACAAAATTACAAACATAAATTTATTACAAAACAATTTACTACTCATCTACATTTTGTGCGTGTGAAAGGGATTTGAAGAAATCATGATGTTCCGGTGGTATATATCGTAATAGGTCAGTTATGTCCTTGAATTTTGCTGTTGTAATTTGTCTGATATTTTTATACAGTGGTGTCAATACAATATTTTCGAACTTTCTTGGTCTACCCCAACGTGGTAATAAATTCAGGACTTTAAAATTTTCATTCCAATTCATTGATGTCTTATAGAAAATTTTATACGGTTCATTTCTGACAAAACGCATCCAACATATTTTTAACCAGTTTATTGATTCTCCATCAGAATTCTTTACCCTTTTAAAAATTGCGTCTTCGAATAATTTTGTTGATACAAAACTTCTTGTCTCGTTTCATTTACAATAAAATTATTACCTTTCCGACACTTTTTAATTATCTTGTAATAATCTCGGGGAACGGACAGTAAACTATTTTTTTTTAATGACATTTCTACCACGCGAAAATCTCTATCATTTGGTAAAAACGAATGTCCTGATATTAAAAATTTGTGATCTATGATTTCCACATTATTTTCCAAAGTTTGGACAATTTTTAACCACATTAAAGCTACTTTAATGTTTCTATTTTGCCCGGCGCACATGTCACTGTAAGCTATAATGTGTCTTTCACTTCTTAAATTTTTAACATGTTTTAGGATGCATGAAACAATTTCTTCAGCACCTCTGGATGCAATAATTTCATCCCAAACGTACATGTAAACATTAAATATCTTGATTTAAGTATAAATGAAGTTAGGCCACTTTCAAACTACACGGTTCAATTATTGAACTAACTCTGAAAACTTATGTGTCAAGAATTATCGTATTTGCTCGGAATATAAGCAACCTGAAATGCTTTACTGATAAATATCATGAAGTTGTACATGTAACCATGGTAACCGGAAAAAATTGAAAAATGGAGTTAGGCCACTTTCAAAATAAACGGCTCAATTATTAAACATACACCGGTGATATTTAGCGAGTCTGCTTCGAATTATTGTACACTCGTAATTTTATTTTGCATTTTATACGAGGAACAAATTTTCTGGTCGCACCTTACGCGTTGTTTACGAATATTTATTAGCACGTGCAATATTATTAACAGAGATTTCACCGGTGGTACTCTTGGCCTCGCGTGGGTCGCCTCGGCGTCTGGCGCGTCCGGCGGCATATGCGAGAAATATAAAACCTACACGGAAACGGTGGGTGGAATGTATCAGTCCACGAAAAGGTCTCTGAACACGGGGATCATCACTTTTGTAAATTACAACAGCCGAGTTCCTCCGAAAGTGTCGCAGCTGACGTTAGCGCACGAGATAGGACACAATTTCGGATCGCCCGTAAGAATTTGCTTCAAAAGACACCGCTATAGATACGAAAGGAATAACGTTAACGTTTAATGTTTATTTTAATTACGTTTATAGCATGATTTTCCTCCCGAATGTAGACCTGGTGGGCTACACGGAAATTTTATTATGTTCGCGTCGGCGACCAGCGGGGATCGGCCGAACAACAGTAAATTTTCGAAATGTAGTATCGGTAACATCAGCAACGTTTTAGACGCCATCGAGGACAACAAGAAAAGGAACTGTTTCACTGGTTCGTATTACGCTTGGAAATTATGCGCGCCTCGTTGCGTCGTAACTTCGCTTTTATTCAATTTCCGTGTCGCGCAGCGTCCGCCGGAGCGTTCTGCGGTAACAAAATCGTCGAAGCCGGGGAAGAATGCGACTGCGGGTACGACGATGACGAGTGCGTGGATAAATGCTGCTATCCGCGACAGGTGTCCGAGCTGGACAAAATAAAGAACGAAACCGCGAAGGGCTGCAGCAGAAAGCTTAACACGCAATGCAGGTATACATTTCAATTACAGTGTTCTCGATAGGTCCGAGAGAAAATTACTTTCCGAGTGTCCGTTCCTATTCTATGGGTTGTCCACTGTTTTTCAAGCAATTTTTAAACTTCCTCGTAACTGACGAATCTTTCACCATTTAAAAAATATTTAACCTGACAACACACCAAATTACGTAAAACAATAAAATTCCGATTATCCGGCATACACGAGACTAGGGCAATGCAGGAAAATTAAATATGCCGAATAATTGAACTATACCTACGTACGAAGTGATAAAAACGAGCAATGTAATTACAGACGAGGTACACGAATAAGTCTTACATCCAATGTATTTTTCAGCCCGAAAGAATTTTTTTTCTCGAAAGTGCGTGGGATTTCGGGGATATGTGTATTCACGGAAAATTATTGTAATTGAACCCCGCGACTAAAAATAATTTTTTCAGAACGATTTGAAATTTTTTTTTTCGCCGAAAAATTTGGGCACCTACCCCCTGTCGATTTTTCTTAAAAGTTCGTTTTTCATTTTTAGTAATTTTGTTTGGCGCCCTATAGAAAAGTTATCCAATACTTTTTTGTAAGTATCCATTGGCTCTACTTCAAAAAAAAATTTCATTGAAATATATTCACTGTCGTGGGAGTTATAAACGTTTGAAAATTAGACCACTTTTATGGGGTTTTTCTACACTTTACTGGTTTAAGGAACAACTTTTCAGATATTCTTAGAATGTCTACGTATTCTTTATCAAAATACGCGTTGTTTGCCGTTTGAAACATTAAAATTCTTCAATCCGTTCAGAAGTTATGATGATTTAAACATTCGCATGAAATTTTCGGGCAACATTTCTGGCCATAAATTACATTTTTCGATTAGGAATTTTTTTCTCGAAAGTGCGTAGGATTTCGGGGATATGTATATTTACCAAAAATGTTTGTAATTGACCCTCGCCGAAAAATTTGGGCACCCACTTGACGATTTTTCTTGAAAATTCAATTTTGATTTTTAACAAACACAACTATAGGTAATGTAATAATTATTCGGACATTCCGGATAATCGGAACTCTACTGTAGATACGAACGACAGAAAATACTTGTCCCTTTTTTCTTACGTATTTATTATTAGTCGGAGAAATTATAAGCTCGTTATGTGCTCGTCGAGTTCTTCGTACGGAAGTGGGTAAAGTCAGATATGGCGCTTCTCTCTTCCAGGATACCAGTTCCTAATAGATGCGGGATTATGCTTGCGGTTAATAAAAGGCATCGTATGATTTATAGACGGCACACTTTAGAAACTTGCGCTGCACTTTTCCCAGCAAAACTTCTGTTAATTAGACGAGCCTTTAATCCGTTCAATCGTTGACAATTAATTATTTTCGATATTAATGGTTACCTCTTCCTTTAAGTATTCGTAATAAATTGAACCACTTCTCTCCTACCGTACACAGAACTTTCCTTCGATGCATCTCATAGTCCTTTCTGCTGATATAAATAAAAAGACAAGCTAGTTTTTATTTTAATTTTTAACGAAATACAAATTGCTTTCACAATAACGTACTTTGCAAAATGCAAAGTCCTCGATACGATCCAGAACTACGATATTCTTTAATACCTCGGTAAACAAAGAAAGTGTCGCGTCACCTTGCAGCTTAATCATTGCACGGTGAACTATGGAGAACCCGTTACCAGCTAGAGAACATTTTAACGGTAGCAGAATTTTCCCACGGGCCTAGCGCGTTACACATCGCTGGCCGATGACTCAGAACGTGTGTGATTTTTTTTGCGATTACACGTATCACGAGGTTATTTTCCTTGCAGTCCCAGCCAAGGGCCTTGCTGTTCGAGCGAGTCGTGCCAATTCGTACCTCTCTCCAAGAGCGTTCAATGCAAAGCGGAATCCGATTGCAGTTACAATTCGACTTGCAATGGGAGTTCGTCCGAGTGCCCTGTACCGCTACCGAGAGCCAACAAGACCAGATGCAACGAGGGAACTCAGGTAAACAGACTTTTACCCGTTCTCGATCGCATCTACATATTTCGAAAAATTCGTCGATAGTCCGAACAGCTCGAACAAATGAACCGTTCGAACTCCGGTTTGGGAGATCGTTCGATTATTCTTCTCCCCCGTGAAATACTCGGGGCGCGAAATATTTTCGTACTGTATCCGTTAATTTTGTTGACAGTTGTGCATCAATGGCGAATGCACGGGATCGATTTGCCTGGAATGGAATCTGACAGAATGCTTTTTGACGAGCAACGTGATTCCGAATATCGACAAACGGAAACTGTGCGAATTAGCTTGCCAAAATGGAACCGATCCATCCAGTTGCCGCAGTACCAGCGAATTTGCGCACATCGTTGGTCTGCCCGAAGGTGGAATTAGCCTTCGACCTGGATCGCCATGCGATAACTTTCAGGTGAGGGACTACGCCACGATCGTTGTGTCTCTTTCGATAAACAGCACGCGGACAGCGGCGATAATTATTACGATATTTTCGCAGGGTTATTGCGACGTATTTTTGAAGTGCAGAGCAGTGGACGCGGAAGGGCCGTTAGCTAGGCTGAAAAATCTTTTATTTAATAAAGAGACATTGCTCACGGTAGCGCAATGGGTCACTGTAAGTGGGAAACTTTCTTTGCGTACGATTCGATTCTCGTGCGTTTGATGTAACCGGTCGATTGTTTCTTTCTGTTTTTATAGGAATTCTGGTGGGCGGTATTATTAATAGGCATAGCTTTCATTATTTTCATGGGCTTGTTCATCAAATGCTGCGCTGTGCATACTCCTTCCAGTAATCCTAAGAAACCACCAGCGAGGCGGATTAGCGATACCTTGAGAAGGCCGATGAATACTCTGAGAAGAATAGTACGTATGAACGAGTTGAGTGACAGAGGAACGCGAATTACTTGTATACGTTTGTTGCAACGTGTTCGTTTACTTCTGTAGCGACATCCACATGGCGGAGGAGGTGCTGGTCCCAGAAGTATACCTCCCAGGCAAGCCCCAGGAGGCCACAATGGAACTCGAGGACCCTCTCATGGTTACGGGGAGGGCAGAGGTGCGCAATATTATCCAAAAGGTAGGTCGCACAACAATAATCGCTTTCTTTATGCAGCTATCGTTGCTCGAGTTTGATCTTAGTAAATATTGCTCGTTAAAATACATACTGGATGTTTGCATTTTAGCTCGTAAGATATGGATTAAACTCAAGCTAAGTAGCTTGCTTTCGTGTATTGCGTCGTTCCACGAGTAATGTCGTTTCTAATCTCGTTTACAAAGGCAAATACATCGCGTTATTTAATTTTGATTCGATATTTAAATCATTCTCTTGTTGCATTCTGTTTTGCAAGTAATATCCTGAAGACAATTAGAAAGATATGGACATATCTGACTTTTACATTCCCATAAGCGCACCTTCGATTATAATGTAACGGAATTGTTACGAGCTAACAGTAGAAGAGACTGTGGAACAACTGGGTTTATTTATTGGTAGATTTTGTTGTTCGTTATTGAAATTTGGAAAATGTTCAAAATTGCTAAGATTGCATGCAAAAAGATTAACACAGGAAACAAAGCAATATAGTTAAGAACTATCATCTTATATTCTTCCTAGTACATGAACCCACAGATTCAAACATAGGAGTTATCTGGTATTATTACTGACATTACTGATCAACAAACATGGTGCCCATCTTTGATTATATTAATCTTGTTTGCGAAAATTACATTATTTGTGGAACGAACTGATATTTGTTCCTATGTGACCCGCAACTACATCAATGTTTTTTCCTGTTTGCATTTCCTTCGCATTGATTGACGCGCATCACTACCTGATACTATCATTCTATGACCTACAGAGGTGAGCTGGGGCCTATACTCTATACCTTTGATAGGAGCAAATTCACGAATAAAATATAATAACGCGCGAAGAACATTAACAGGCTCCAGCGGACATCTAATACGAAGTCTTTGTCGATCAATTTTTTAGTAGAGCAGTCCAACGCTAGTTCTTGTATTTGCTCCTAACTTTCTTATCGCCTTTGACACTCTTATCTAAATGACAATCAATTATCAGTTTTAGATGAGCTAAATCGAAATTATAAACCCGTGAATTTGAAATTAAGATTACAATTGTAAACATTAGAATATAATTTCATATGTGTCTCTAGTTATTTTTGTTTCTGCTTCTACTATTTCCCATCAATGATTACAATTATAATTTCAATTTCATGTTTGTAGATTTAGAGTTGTTTTGAAATTGACAATTACTTGTCATTTATTTATTGTATCGACAAGCATACTCTTCGATACTTTCGTTATATTTATACTATCGAGAGTATTTTTTTGTTCCTTCCGCTTCTGCATCATTATCATTCGTTTCAATCGATTTTTCGGTATGGGGAAGGAAGTGGAGAAAGGTTACAGCTTCTGAATGATTAGAGAACGTAGTGGCAGTATCTCGGCGATACTTTTAACACTTTGTCGACGGACGATTTCTACAAAAATATAAATAATATAATTTCTTTATCGATTCTTGGACGTAAATGCTTTTCGACGCTCTTTAAATAAACCCGAACACACGCTGTTCGATCCGATAGATATCTACTGATCGATTTCCAATCAATGTACTGCTCGACAAAAGTCAATTCGAAACTAATCGTTACTATTTGGGACGACACTCTACAATGATGGTATCATCTGAATGAACATGGAACATCGAGTACAATTTTGGCGTACCTACGGGCCTCTGACCATCAAAGGCCCATTAAAACAAATTTACCAATTCAGAAATAACTTGTTTCAATATTACATTTATTTTATTTGCTATGTATTTACAAAAATTATTAATATCGAATGTAACAATGAGATTAGGATTTTTACAATAATAGATAGATATACAGGGTGGTCCACGCAATTGTTTCAAGTCATAACTCCGTTATTATTGCATTTCCGAAAAAATGCCAAAGGAGAAAGATAAATGGTTCAAAGAGCACTACATCTGTAGGCCTTTAAATTTTTTTTAGATGCAGCAGTGCATGCGCAATTAACAATTGCATCATTTCTTTAAATAGAAATGCATATTTTTTTTTACACAGATCGATTCTTTTGTTCATTCTACGTAAAAAATGATTTGGGTACCATGGCCAAAAAATTATTAAATCTGGAGATATTTTCAAAAAATGTCTTTATTGAAGAAGATGCTCAAACGCTCCTCCATTACATTGTAAACATTTCTGATAACGTTTTTTTTTTATTGTTTGCATAACTGCGTTTAAATTATCTGCAGTTATTGTTGCACATTCCAGTATGATTATTTCTCTTAGATTCTCTGCAGAATCTATGGGATTTGAATAAATTCTATCTTTCAAATAATCCCACAGAAAAAAGTCACGGGGACTTAAATCTGGTGAACGGGCTGGCCAACGTATTGATGTATTTGTTGCGATAACGTTATTGCAAAACATATTTTTTAAAAAGTTTCCGTTATGATAACAATATCGAAAGGGTGTTTACCTTTACAACATAGTCATGAAGTGTTTGAATATCTTCTTCAATAAAGACATTTTTTGAAAATATCTCGAGATCTAATAATTTTTTGACCATGGTACCCTAATCATTTTTTACGTAGAATGAACAGAAGAATCGATCTGTGTAAAAAAAAATATGCATTTCTATCTAAAGAAATGATACAATTGTTAATTGCACATGCACTGCTGCATCTAAAAAAAATGTAAAGGCCTACAGATGTAGTGCACTTCGAACCATTTACCTTTCTCCTTTGGCATTTTTTCGTAAATGCAATAATAACGGAGTTATGACTTGAAACAATTGCGTGGACCACCCTGTATACCACCAAACACAAAAATTTCGATAATATCAGTTTGAAGTTTGCAACCACCGATCCACTGTGTCGTAATCTGACGGATTGTGGCCAGGTCTGAGGCTTCTGGGGTGAAAATCGACCTGTAGAACAGCTCTTCCGTCGGCAACGTGTTAACAGATACAAGCGCATGATAATCATAGATCCGTTCTCATAATTTCCGCCGTTTCGTGCTCTCCAGTGTACAGCCGACGATCGTTCTTGGCTCTCACACGTCGTTTCGTTCGCTTCGATATTTAATTTCATAGTTGAATACCTTTCTACACTTTAAGCAGGCTATCGCTCGGTTCCCACAGCTAGTGCGCCAACCAGTAGCGGCGCAGCACCCAACTATGGTCGTTCCAACCACCCAGAACTGTACGCCGGTGCCTATTCGGGTTCCGGTGGAGGTGGGAGGGCCGCAGCCTACGAGATGAGACATCACAACAAGGTGTGACGATCCTAGAGAACTACCGCGGACGAGGAATAGTCTCGGTACCGTCGCACTGTAACCTATCTCTGTACGATGCCAAACTGTGAAACGAGCCGATCCACCGGACACGATGTTCCATTGGGAACCATGATCGAGACGAGGATGGAAGAGCGTGATCGAGTGCGTTTCGAAAGTATCGACGATCGCCGATCGGCGTTCTCTTTATTCCGGGTTCGAGTTATTCACAGCAAAGAGGTCCGGTTCCGGGATTGCAAATAAATTGGTGAAGTGTGCTAGGATCAATGGTGATATACATGTTTTGGGGGAGGGGGGGTACATCAGGCTGATTCTATATCGGCGATAACGCTAGGAAATCGACGTTCGCGGAAACGACGGGACGAATGACAAGCATCGGATATGATAGATCATAAACTTACGAATCCTTAGTAATCTATATTATCATACACTTTCACGTAATTCGTCTTTTCAATGTTTGCCGCATGATTCCTCCGCGTTGCCATTTAAGTATTGCGATCGTTCAAACGGAATTATTGCAAAACGCTTTCGAAAGGACTTCTTTGTTCGCGAAATTCTTTCATTGTAAAAAAAAAAGAATGAGAAAAAAAAAACCGACGTAACGATCAAAGTCATTTTAACGAACAACGCTGGATTCGCACAGCAATAAAATATTATGGTACTGGACGTAAGCGTGTGTTTGCCCCGTTCGACGAACGAACATTTTTATGGCCAAGATTGCATAGTAGCGTTGATGCATCGATTTCTGGACGGAAATCGTATTTTCGTGTGTTTCGCTCCCGGAAGCGAGTGTTTTTTTTTGTGTTTTTTTTTTTAAGCGATTGATGAGACTGTTCGTTAGAAGAAGAAGAGAAGTTCGATGGGAGACCGGATACGACAATATATATTTGGAATAAGTGTTAGGATGATAAACGTAACTTTTGAGAAGCTCCCACTGAACGTACCTTGTACCTTTTAACTCTTAAACGTTACAAGATCGTAGACTTTTAAACGAATATTTTCTTTTTCCTTTTTTATCCGACTTTTTTTCTACTCAAACTTAGATTTTGAGACGTTAGTGTTTTATCGGCGGGACGTTAGTGTTTTATTAAGGCGGGATTTAAGTTTAGGAGAAAACGCAGTAATGTTGCTCTCATTATCGGTTTAAATAAAGTATTATTAACGCGATAAATACGATCGACGCCGAGAGACGTTTAATATAATTTTTAAGGCGAACGTACACGTCAGTCGCGATGTACAAAATGTCGTTTAGCGAAAGCATTTTTAACTTTGTTTTCGTTCACCATCGCTTTCCGGAGCGAAGATTCACGTCTACCATTACCAAACTATTGCAGGTCATTCACTTGATCTCTACCATTGTAGTATAATAATTAATGATATGTAATATTCTTATACTAATTTTTATTAGCCAATTGAAACGAGCAAAGCTACGAGAGACTATGAAAAAAAAAAAGAAAGAAAAAAATGACAAGAAAAAAGATTTTTTTATAACGATATTTCATTAACAATTATACCGATAAAAATGATATTGAACGACATTGATATTACTATAATTGTGCTTACTATTATTATTACTATTATTATTATTATTAATACTATTACTATTATTAATTAGTTATCTATTGCAGATGATAATTTATATCCGCTGTCGCGAATGTTATAAGTTATATTTAAATACGGTTTTAACTTGCAATTATCGGGGGCTGTACCGTAAACGCGCTTTAATTATGCGCATGGCGGACCAAAGACGAGGCCTCCTCTTGAAATATAAACATGTTTTAATATATGTGGGCTCAAGCAGCGTATTCGTGCACAGCTACACACTCGTACGCGAAAAAGAGGAAAATCCGTACGCGTTCCGGAACGGCGAGTTGTACACCAAATAGATCCCGCACGATATATACTCGCTTCCTTTCTCGAAACGCCAAAAAAACGTTTACGCGATCGACTGAATTTTTTTTTTTTTCTTTTTGTTTTTCTTTTCTTTTACCCTCGTCGAGCCTTCTCGAGCAAATTTTGTCCGATTCTTTCTATTAGAATTGCAAATCGTAGCAACAACAATAATCAAAGATGAAAATCGTTATCGTCGCTGCCAAGGTGGTTTATCACTAATTATTTAGCCCTCGCGACCTAGCATTTATTCTTCTCCTTATACTTTTTTATAACGCCACGGTATCAAGCTTGCCAACGTTTCTGAAAGCGCGTTTTCTATTGTCCTTGTCTTTCCATATTTCATAAAAAAATCGAAGAGAAGTGTCATTACGTGTACCGTTCGACGTCACGACAGTTCCACGCATCGCGAAAGTTAGGCGAGACGATTTTAAGCAGAGACGCGGCAAAATTTTAGCCGCTGTACTAACGACGAGTAGAAATACCGTGCAACGGTTCCTTTTCAACGTTTATTCAAATAAGTTTTTTTTTTGTTTGCTTGGCCGTGAACTGTAATTACCGGTAGCGATATTTGCCGAACAAATGACGAATCAAAAGCTGTTTGTTTCTTTCGTTCGTTGCCCGTAACTTGTACGCGTGGATATGAATTTTGCCCGTCTCTGATTTTAAGACCACGGAAGGAACGTTTCTAAGGATGACGAAAACACAAAGGGCGAAGGTGTGTGTCTGCCGATATATCGCGGGGATACGAGTTTGCGGGTTTGTGTGGAGATGTACAATAGTCGCAATGTGATTGTAAAAGAAGATCGCGCGAGAGATCATATGTGAGAGTCGAACGAAAGCGGGTTGGGGAAAGAGAACCTAAACGACATGGAACGAATACGGGCGTGCAAGAATAAAAGAGAGAGTGTTCAACCTCTGTACATATGTTGATATTGCCCGTGTACGTATGAACACGCGGGGCTGGCGCGCGTGGATGTACGTACGCGCGATTATCATGAATGATAATTATATAACCATAACAAATGGTAAAGCGAAATACAAAAAAAATACTTGTTTTTATATCAGATCTGTATTATAGCGAAATATTATTCTGTATTTTGTAATCGAGACGGAAGTTACAAGGATGACGAACGAATGCCTGTACGTGCGTGTAATCGAGCACTTAACTTTTAATGGTGACGACTTTTAACGACGATCCAGCGTGGATCCGGGACGGATCGTTCGATGTAGATTATTTAAGAAGTTTTGAAGATTCTTGCATATAGATGCAACACGGGATTCCGTTTGGTCCCATTCGTAATCGCTCGTCCGATCCATCGTATGATTTTTTAGTTCACGGTCTCCCTAATCGCGAGACACGAGTCTGTGTTTTACTGCCAATAGCATATTATAATATTATTGCCAATCGTAATAGCGCGTAGCAAGAAAGAGGAAAAAGAAAAATAAGATCGATAGTCTTCTAGCATCAGAATTAACGACGTACGGAGATCAGTATTATACGACGTTTAGCAGTAACGATACGTCTGATAGCATAAACATTCGAAAAAAAATCGAGTATCAATGATGATACATTCATAGACAATTTATAGAAGAAAGAAAGAGAAAGACAAACTGTTGACCGATCATATTTTGCTTCCGAGCCACTGTCAAAGTCTTATTCGGAAACGAGTTTGGTCGATGTTTCAAAATCGTTCGTAATAAATTTATCCTTGCTTCCATTTCACTGCCATAAAAACGATTCAAACCGACTGAATATACGATCAAAGGACAGCCGTACGCGTTCTTGCGACAAGAACGGAAAGAAATAATGGTAAATAGCGGGCGTTGTTTATAAAAAACAAAAGAAAAAAAGTAAAAGCCTAAGACGAGCGTGGAATGGGGCCAAGTTGTAGTATCTAGTTGACGAAGATGTTGCTTACCCGTATGAGAAGCATAACGATTAAAAAACAAAAGTACGTTCTCCTTCATCATTTGCCCCCCCCCCCTACCCCCTCCCCCACCCACCCACCCACCCCCCGAGAAGTCTCTACTACATATGCTTAAGCTTATTCATTTCCGCGTCGTCTGGATTAAGATCGTGTTCTATGTAATTGTTATTCCATAATCGCGCGATTTCGCTGCACATTTTGTGATAAATATACTCTTTAAACGGCGAGCACGCTTCTTCGATTGGAAGAACGGGATTCAGATTGCTCGCAGAATTAGCATCGTCTATGTACCTATCTTAATCCAGACACTGCGTCACTGTGACGCGATAACACACTACTTTATCACTTGTACATAATGTTAGTGAGGAAGAAACAAAAAAGAAATCGAAGATTATATTTTTTCTATCGATCCAAAAATGTGGTGACCTATCAACATCGTGCATCTGAGATTAGTTTTTTCATCTGTATCGGTTCCCTTACCCAGTTCCGATTCTATTTTGCCACCAAGTCGTCTCGTTTGACCAAGACAACGTACAATTCTACGCAGAAACAGTTGCTTGAACGTTTCAGAATCACCGACTTATTTTTAACATTCGAGGTGTCCGTAGTGTTTTCCTTTTTACATTCATCCAGTCTCAATGCTGTAAGTTTAAGTTGAACTTTTTTATATAAATCTTATTGAGCATGATACTGACCAATCGCCTGAACGTAGCTTCAGACCACCACTCTCTCTTTTTCTCAAATGTTTAGAACGCGGCGAGTGTTTTAAGAATATTATAAATAAAAAGGAATATGATTGTGAATCTCTTGTGTTATGTTAATGTGATTAAAGAGAAAAAACAAAAACATTGTAAAGAAGTAAATAAAGCATACATTTTACATTTATGCGATCGTGATGCTCGTTCAATCCCAAATAAAACATATACCTTATAAAATGTCTTTTCTTTATCCCAGATAGGTAACAGACTCGCGTAAAAAATAGTCTAATTACAGAGTAACATTTTCAACTCGTTAGCCGCCATATTGGTCCCCGAGGATCGAAAGTATCAAATTTAAAAACAATACTTTGCACTTCAGATAATACTAAAAAATATATTTACAGTTTTATAATACATTTTATTGAAAAAACGAGGTTTGCTACTAAATAGAAAATAAAATAAAATTAGTTCAACTAAACTCCTTTCCTTTCTGTATTAATGAACGTGCTATAAAAACACGAACACGATATTTCAAGATATATCTATCGAAATTAAATGAAAAATGAAATCGTCTGGAAATAAAACCACAATTTATAGATAATTGTATTTATTTTATAAACTATTGTAAAAGTTACAATTATACATTAGAAAATGTAGCAGATAGAGAGATTATCTACTATATGGTACGTATGTATTTCGATTCTTAGACAGGCAGCATTTTAAACTTCACCTGTAATATAAAACATTCCTTACGCACAGACGACATGTAACGGAATACTGAAAAAGAACGTATTATTTGTATGTTATAGCGTATCCTAAGCCAGGTATCAAATATGAAATAAAAGTACTGCTCTATACAAAATGCATTTTTTTCAAATGAAATCCGGTAAAAGTGGACGTAAAAAAGTAGCCCTGAGCGGCAAGCTGAAAATACACACACATCTTTTTTTTTATCAATGCTTTTATGGCTGTGAATGCTCGAGCTTATACACGTCGTGATAAGCGTTGCGTATTAATGCATACGGGAAACAGCTTTCTAACAAATCCATTGTTAAAAACGGCGACTCTTGGACTATCTGGTCCAACAGAAGGTACACAGATTCTCTGTTTTTGATTGCCTCTTTGTCCGCTTCTTGACCTAGTTTGAGCAAGCTGGACGACGCCAAAGCTAGGAATTCTTTCATTCTATCCTCTATATCGTTTTGGCCGCAGATAGTAAACAATGCACCGAAGATATTGTTTATCGCGGTCGCCATGCAATGTATGTTATTCGAGTGCCCTTCGAGAGACGCTCGATAAAAGGAGTTCTCGTTCCGAGCCAATTTTGGTATCGAAACAGCCACGAAGACCATTAACAAACAAACGAGCAAATGCTCGTCTTCGTCCACTTCGGATTTTTGGCTCCTCAGCGCTGCCGTTAACGTCGGGTCAACTTTGCAGGTCAAACCCGCTGCCGACGTCATTTCCGAAACGACGCGCATGGGATCGCCAGACGGTAAATGGTGTCTGAAATCTAAAATCGAGCTCAAAAGAAACGGTATTCGTTCCTCCAAGACATCGACCAACGCTGACTGCGCCAACTGTCGAAAACTTAGAATTACACCTATAATTGTAACTCGTTGTAGTACATTATCTACTTGCTGCAACCTTTTGAACTGCTCCTTCATCACTTCCGGCTTATCAAAGTTTGTCCTCAAGGAAATGAGAACGTCTTTGTTACCAGAGACTAATTTTTTCAGCTGTTGGACTTGGCTTGCTATGTGCCACATCAAGTTCTCGTTTAACATTTTCATCCCGTACGGCCCGATGAGTTCGGCCAACGCTCTCAATTCGTTAATGTCAGAAAATTCTTCCGCGTTGAAAGGTATTGCACCCTCTACCGACAAACTGACGAATGCTCTTTGATTACCGGAATAACAAATATTCCCGGCGCTGACGCGTCTTAATAAAACGTCCGAATACCATTGCGTGTACAATGCAGCGATGGTTTTATCGCCGTGACTGTCCAACTCTTGCGTTTGCTGAAGGAGGGCGTTATTAAATACGCGAGTAATATCTATGTGCACGTAATTTTCAACTGTCTGTAGAACATTCATATAAGATCTGACGCTAACAAAGAGTTCCGACGGTTTCGCGATTTCGCTGGTATCTGGATTGTACATGACCATTCCAACAAGCGCCCTTGCAAATCTTGATTCTAGATGCTGATGCAAGTACTCTCTTGGTGCAAAGGTATATTCCCATACGTTAATAGTGGGACAGTAATTAATAGCGTAGCATAGCTCCGTTAACGCCATGTGAAGTTTGTCCATCGTTGTAAGTTCTTCTCTGGTTTTTCGGTAACTTTCTATACCCGGTTTATGAATTTCATACATATTTTTTTTATTTTTGTCTTTCTTTTTACGGTTCACCACTTGCGAGATTAACAGAGCGCAATGTTTTGGCAACAGTTTGTCGCTCATATTGCACTGTTCATCGCATATAGTCGTAATAATATTCTTGGCCTCTTTAGCCATCTCATCCAAGAACATATTGACAACCGATAGACTTCTTTCTCGAATATGATGACGTTCTTCCGGGCACAGCTCGTGCGTGCAGCTTTGAAAATGGCTGCATATTAAAGGGAAAGCGACGATATATCTATTTTGAGCAGGAAATTCTAAGCACATGTGAAACTGGTCTTCGAACACTTTACTGTAGAAGCAAAAGATGGACAAGTCGGATGTTTCAACTAACATTTCATCTAAATTATCTACCATCTTAGTATGAAATACTACTGTATCCATAAATGATGCTAATTCTCTATTATCAGCTAAATTCATATTACACTTTGCAATCGACATGTAAGCTTGCAATCGAAACCAATCCAATCTAAAAGCACGAAAATCAAAAAGTTCGTTATCTTCGACCTGTTTCACTGTTAGACTAGCTATCTTTGAACACATGTCGCTAAGAATTGCTCCTTCATCCTCGGGACAAACCGGGAGATTCTGTATCATTTGATCTAAAGCAGGAGCATCGAATCCTGATAAAAACTGCACGTAATACCTCTGTAAAACCTGGGAGTATTTTTTCACTAATGCTCTTAGTTCTTCGCAATGAAATAATAATTCGGGTAACTGACGATCCACTAAATCTTCTCCGCCCCTTCCTTTGCCTTTTCCTTGTGTCGGTGGATTAACACCGTGTCTTAAAAGCCATAGAACTTCGTCTCTTGCGTGAGAGAGTCCCATTAAAACCAACAGCGCTTTTGGTCCCAGAAGACCAGGTTGGTCAGTTAAAATTAAACCTAATTCTTTCAATGCTGTTCTCAAAAACTTTCTTCTTTCTCTATGTCTGTAGCCAGCTTTTTGTACCGCTTGATTATAACACTCTTTCACTTCGGATACTCTTTTACTGTATCCTTTTATACTTTCGAAAAATATTTGTATATACTGATGTATATAAATCACTTCGTCTCTAAACAAAGCTAAAACCCAACCTGACTCCAATGCTGTGGTCCAAAGTTTACTAGGCTGTTCTTGACTCAAGAACGAATGACATAGCGTAAATCCTAATATAACCCATCTTTCTATCCTATCCAAACTTAAAGTTTCACAAGACATAGTATCTGTTGCTGCTGCTTTAAGTATTTTTCCAGGGCTGCCGACAAGACTGAGTTTTTGATCAGCCCTCCATGTGTCAGCAGATAAATTTCTTCCAGGATAAATAGGCCACAAAGAAGTAAGAGCATTCTTCAACAATTTAGAATGTGGAACAAACTCTTCCGAAAGTTTTTTTAATGGCGCATCGTAATCCATAATCATTTGTCCCAAACGAGGAAAACTAGGATCAGATTGGTTATGTACCATCTCGTGAGCTGCATTAAATAAGCCTAGGACTGCTTTACGATCTTCCACTTGCGACAACAGTATCATCAAACTGACATAAGTCACAACAAGATCCAAATAACCTTTGGTCAAATCAAAATTTATCGTAATGTCCATGTGTACCCCACAAGCATCCATTGTAGTTAAAAGTTCACAGACATTGTCTTTGAAATCGAGCAGGTCGACAAAAGTGTAATAGTATAAAGACAGTGATTTAATAATCTCATTGCGAAGATTTGTAATCGTTTGAAGACCTTTAATGTCAATGTTAGGAAACTTTCTAACAATTGTCTTAATAGACGATTCTAAAGTTTTATCAGAAAGAAAACTAGGTTTCGATTTTGCATCGCCGCACGCCTTTTTTATATTGTAAATGCGAGTTAACATTCCAATACCTCTATCATTTAGAATAGTCAGTTTCTCAGCCAACTTTTGTTGACTAGGTACAATAGGTCGTGCCATGATTTATTATTGAATATTGTTTCTTACGTGATTGACATAACTCAACCGCTTCTTTGGTATAAATGACAGGAGACCCCACCCCTGGGGGTAATTCACCTTCACCGGATGCGCCTAAAATAGAACGACTTTTCTTTTCCTACAAAAGAAATTTGCATAATCGTCATATTCATTCATAACAAATTAGTATGCAGGTGTTTGCATAGTATGTCTTACCTTTTGTACTGTTACATGTTTAATATAAAACTATGACACATCATAGAACGAAATTTCTGTGTATGTCAAATACCACGTGAAGTGCAACTCTTTTAAACGTTACATCACAATGTTGCCAATACTTGCTAGACAACTAACATTTTTAACGATTAAAGGGAGTACTTCAAGTTAGAGAACCATGAACCTCGTTGTTAATTGTGATTGGTCATGCTTAATACTTGACACCATAGTTAATTACTTACTTGAAATATTAAATAAATTATTACATTTATTTATATCAATTCAAAATATACAAATTAAATTGAAAAAACTTATTATAATATATCGATTTTATTTCTACCATAGACAAGGTATACGAATAGACCTTACACCAGTGATGCCAGATTGAGCACCGGGTGCACTACTCACACTATGCCAGATCACGCGTACGTGAGCTCGTAGAGTTTCGGAGAGTCGACAAAGACAAACTGACGCATGCCCCCTTTCTCGATTCTCCGAAGCTGCCCGAAGTAATTTCGGACCGTCTCGTGGGAGTCGAGAGAGAAAGGCTCATTTGCCTTCTCGCACTTGAACAACTAAAATTCGACCTCACGTCACACGGCATACGATTCCAAGTCTCGACTGGCCAGGTATTTTTTATTTTCCGACCTATGTATGTAGACGAACATAAGCAAGATAATATAATGAACAAAATTTTGTGAAATTTTTCTTATATATGAGCGGGCACATGTATATCATTTCAGATATCACATCTGCTACATCTGGCAACGTATAACAATTACTGCTGGCTACTGCCAGCCTCTCGCAGCCTCTGCTGGCTTCTGCTGGCCTCTGCTAACCTCTGCCAACATGTGCGGGCTTCTGCCTGCCTCTGCTGGCCCCTGCTGACCACTGCTGACCACACCTGATACTTCTGACAACGTATAACGATTACGACTGGTTACTGCTTGCCGCTGCTTGTCACTGCTTACCACTGCTGGACTCTGCTGTTCACGGCTAGCCTCCGCTGGCCTCTGCTGACCACCCCTGATGCTTCTGACAACGTATAACTATTACTACTTGTTACTGCTGGCCACTGCTGACCACCCCTGATGCTTCTGACAACGTATAACTATTACTACTTGTTACTACTGGTCTCTGCATGCCTCTACATCCCTCTGCTGACCTCTGTTGGCCCCTGCCGACCACTGCTAACCACTGCTGACTGTTATCAACTTCTGACATGATGTATAAGTATTCAAACCTTGTATAATGTAAATCTATGGCAATAAATGATATAATTTAACAGAATTCTATGTGTTCTCATCATTTTTACCTTTCTTTTCCTCTCCAAATCATTGCCTTAGTTTTAAGAGATCGTTTTTCCGGTTAAAATTGGATTCCCAAAGTGTCCAGCTCTCGTACTTGCTGCCAAAATAAAAAATTAACTTTTAAATTTTTTTTCTTTAACCGTCACTCTCGTACCTGTTGGCAAAATCGAGAATTCATTTTTTTCGTCAAAAAGTCCTGAAACAACTGGAAAGTCCCGAAACAGCTGGAAAGTCCTGAAACAACTGGGAAGCCCTGAACCTCCTTGGAATTTTGGAATACCTTTGGAAGTCCTGAAACAACTGGAAAGTCCTGAAACAACTGGGAAGTCCTGGAATTTCTTGGAAACGCCGAAAATTCTTGGAACCCTTGAATTTTTAAAAAAGTCCTGAGTTTCAGGACTTCCTAGTGGGTTCAGGGAAACCAAGGAGTTTCAGGGAGTCTTATAACTAAGGTAATGATTTGGAGAGGAAAAGAAAGGTAAAAAATGATGAGAACACATAGAATTCTTTGTAATTATATCATTTATTGCCATATATTTACATTATACAATGTTTTAATACATATATATCATGGCAGAAGTTGTTAACAAGGGTCAGCAGTGGTCAGCAGGGGTCAGCAGGGGTCAGCAGGGGACAGCAGAGGCTTGCAGAGGCAAGCAGTAGCAAGTAGTAATCGTTATACGTTATCGGAAGCATCAGGGGTGGTCAGCAGTGGTCAGCGGAGGCCAGCGGAGGTTGGTAGAAGTCAGTCGTAATTGTTATACGTCGTCAGAAATATAAGCGGAGGTCAGGAGAGACCAACAGAGGCTGGCAGTAACCAGTAGTAATCGTTATACGTTGTCGGAAGTATCAGGTGTGGTCAGCAGTGGTCTTCAGGGGCCAGCAGAGGCAGGCAGAAGCCCGCACATGTTGGCAGAGGTTAGCAGAGGCCAGCAGAAGCCAGCAGAGGCTGCGAGAGGCTGGCAGTAGCCAGCAGTAATGGTTATAAGTTGCTAGATGTATCAGAAGTGATATCTGAAATGATATACATATGTACGCTCATACATAGGAATAATATAAATGAATTTATTTTTTTTCAATAATTCAAATATGATCAGGGCGTCTTAAAACGAGTATTTCCGTAAGAAAAATTTCACAAAATTTTTTTCATTATAGTATCTTGCTTATGTTCGTCTACATACGTAGGTCAGAAAATAAAAAATATCTGGGCAGTCGAGACTTGGAATCGTATGCCATTGACGTGAGGTCGAATTTCAGTTGTTCAAGAGCGAGAAGGCAAATGTGAGCCTTTCTCTCTCGACTCCCACGAGGCGGTCCGAAATTACTTCGGACAGCTTCGGAGAATTGAGAAAGAGGGCATGCGTCAGTTTGCCTTTGTCGACTTTCCGAAACTCCACGAGCTCACGTACTCGTGATCTGGCATGTGTGAGTAGTGCACCCAGTGCTCAATCTGGCATCACTGTCTCTTCTCATGAATGGCGGTCAGTTTTCACCATCTTGAAATAATTCAAATCAAACCTATGTATTTACGAGTTTGACAGAATAAATATCATAGTGTCCGCAATGTATATGTTGAAGTAGACAATTCAATGGAAGTTTGTCTTTGATCAATTAAAATACCAGTCTTCTAAGTATAATCTCCTAGATAAACATACATATCTATTACGTGTAATATTTTACTATTCAAACTTTCAGAGTGTCTTGTAACAACAGCAATAGAAACTATTTCTTGATCAATTTTGACATTTTGCTGTTGAGGACGAATGGAGAGGTCCTTATATGAAACTTTTTTGAAGGGTATCGCGAGGGTGGGAAAATGGCACGCCCGCACATCGACAGTTAATTCTATTATCTAGTCGATCTTGTGACGCATGAGTGTTTTAGGCAAAATTATACTTGTAACTAACATAATTCTTCCTGTGTTTGGCTTAGAATCGCTCCACTGTTGCGGCGTTCTCCTCAGCGAGGAGTCAATCGCGGTTCGATCATGATTACCGGCGTTCTTGGAACCCTCTTCGCCGACAGAGATTTCCGTTTGGGTCTTTTTTTTTTAATTTCCTGCACGGCGACCGTGCAGACGGCCATATATTCGTTTTGGCTCGGCACGTGCCAGAAATAGACATCTATATCCCTCGCGTTGAATGCAACGCGGGGGGTTCGACGACATTTAAACGTTCTGGATCAACTGGTAAAACACCCTCAGTTTGTTAAGAAACGTTCGCGTACACGGTTGTGTTTCCCTCGACGCACGGAAAAATTGCTCGTTCGTCGGGTCACGAGTGAGAATCCGTGTTCTCCAGTCTGGCTAAAGATCATGGAGTCGATCCATTTGGCTCACAGTCCGTAACGATGCAAATGAATCGCCGTTTAACCAATTAGAGCGATCGAATTAAGGGTCCGGGCGTAGACGAGACAGTTCAATGAACTTATTAATTGCGTAAACCCACGATTTGATAACGGATACTGTCGCGAAACCTTCGACGAACAGCATCGAAGTTTATCGAACATCGGGTGCAACTAAACGTCGAGATCAAACAATTCACGGCTAGACTGGTAAACAGATCGTCGAACAAAGATCGATATGGGCAGAAACGGAACTGGTCCGATGATCAGGATGTCATCCGCCAGCACCCATGCCGCCGGAGGTATCGGGTGTTGCTTTTGCAGATGTTGCACGTGCATACACGTGGAATTCCTCAAGACTACGCCCGGAATTCTGAAGCTCTGCGAAGCGGTACGTTCGGTCTGTTATCCCTTTCCATGTCCGGTTGACTCACGCTTCGTCCCGAATGATTAAATTAACAGAGACGAACGCGTCACAATACCTTTTAACGCATCGCTTTCGTACCACTGTGTGGAACAAGAGAATAGCACCCCTCGCATAATTGCTTAGTTCTCTGTTTCAATCCAAGTCCCGTGTTAAACTCCAAAGTATATTTATTCTATTTAAAATAAGTGGAACAAAAAGATAACTCGTCTCATAATCAGTTCCGAGGAATCTGTATTAAAGCAACAATACTTTGTAAGTCCGTACTCTTTGAGACTTAAACGGTCTCTGGCTCCAAATTGTGGGATAAGCGAAACTATACAAACTCTTTATGCTCGTAGAAAGCGAAAAGTCCTTGGTGCGTTAAATTCATTTTACAATCTAAAACTTTTATTTTTGGATACGTGCAGTTTACACGCGAAGATAAAGGTTTTGCGTACGAGAACGTCATAAATAGGAGACTCTCGTGCATAAGTGCGTGTGTATGCAGCTGCGCGATCAGCTGTCTGGGACGTAAATAGTGCCATGACGTTCTCGCGCTTCAAAACATTTGGATTTGGAGAATTTCGTCATTTCTGTTAGCACCAGACGAATTTGCTCGTATCAGACTTGCGCATCATTTTGAAACATCCTGTATGTCAAAAGTATATGAAACGTATTCTTTACAATTTTCAGTGATGGATTCTACATAAGAAAACAATGACAAAAGTTCATATAAACACGTGTCCCATTTGACCCCATTCACTGATCTTCGCAATAGGTGGTCAAGAACCTCCTTGCATTTGAACATTAGCCTTGGAGACATTCTACCATCGATTGTCTTATCCTCTCTGTTTGTCAAGGTATTATTTATAACAATAAACCCATACTCAAGCTTTGTCTCCGCCATTTGTTGACTCGACTTTTCACTGTCACACTCGACGTATTTCGATAATCTGACACCTAGTAATGTTCACAGAAAGTGTGTACAAAATTAAAATACAAGATTCAGATACTGAGTTAGTATCATCTTTCGAAAGAACTATTCCAACTCGCTATAACTCGAAAACAAGGTCAAATACGAAACATTAATATACGAACTTATTGTTTTCTCGTATAGAATCCATTTCTGAAGTGCTGTAATTTAAATATAAAGTACTATAATTTACCCTCGCTGTAGATAAAAATTCATTGCTTGTATTCCCTGTAGGAGAGACGGTTGAAAAATATTTAGCAACGACAATCGATAGCGTGTATGCGTTTTGCAGGTAATCAGTGGCTTGATACAGAGCTTGTTAATTAACTACGGTTTGAGGCACAGCACAACGATCGGCTCGGCTTTCGAAGGATCTCTGACCACGTCTTCGGCTTGTTTCCTGACGTCGGCGGTGTTGCTGGCCTGCTACATCGTATCTGAAAAATCGTACAAATTAATCAGATCGTCGCTTTTCGTACGTAGAACTGTCCGCCATTAATGTCGATTGACGCACGTGCGATCCTTTGTGAATTTCGTGTTGTAAACGTTCCAGGAAATGATGTTCAACGCTTTAGCATCGTTCTTGTACTTGAGTTCGGCATCGTATTTGGCGTTCTCCACAAAGATTTTCCTCTTACCGGAATATCACTTAAGACCAGGTTTTGATGTATATCCTGCAATGACAGCCGCCTATGTACGTACAGTTACTCGTTAAATTTCTAGTCGAACGATAGGAATTTATCCATCCTCCTCGGACGAAGGACGAATAATTTATCTCTGTGCATATGCATACATTATTTCTTGCTTGTACACTCTATCCTGTATTCGCAGATGATGAGCGGATTCGTTGGAGTGTTACACGGGGCGGACGCGTACTTCTCCTACGTGCATTACAGAACCGGAAGATGAATCGAAATTTCAGGTCTGCGAAAACGTTTGGAGGGCGATTTAAGCAGATGCAAGGAGAAGTACACGAAGTAAGTGAATAATGCAGTACATAACGTATTTAATTTCTTGGTCGCGCGACACACAATCGACGATGACTAACGACAGGTTATAATTCATTATAAACGACGCCTTCGTAACGAAAATAAATAAATCAATAAATTCCTTATCCTTTACAACGCGATATGCGTCATTAATTGGGTATCGAAACTTCGACTGTTACCGTGAGGTGTCCTGGAACATGCAAAATTCCAGAGATTCTTCGAAATTGGCAAAGTGGCGTGCCACCTGTTCCGCCGTCCCGTTCTCCGGATACGAAATCTCCGTTTTCTTCGTCGCAAAATTGAAAGAAAAAAACGACGTTTACGGAAGGATGTGTGCCTCGAATGTAGATATAGGTTTCTCAACGATGTAAACACAAATAAATCAGTGTCGTAAGATCTGCTCGAAAGGGAATGGAACGATTAGTACAGTTCGTTAAAATTTCAAAGTCCGTGCCTCTCGAGTAGACAGAAGCAAAATAAGATAACCATTAACCAACGGATAACATTTATTCGTGACGTTCATTTTTATTCGATCGATAATTCGAACTAGTAATTTTTATATTAGCCAATTTATATTTACACGTTGTTTTTTAATACTTTTAAGCAGAGAGGGTCTTCAGAATTATATACGAAATGTAAACAACGCTAACAGTATAATATAAGATTATACAAGAGGAATTCGTGACGTTTATCATTTTGACTCGTCGTTCGAATATGAATTTTGCCCTATCTTTTCTATCGAGCGAGACGTTACCGTAATTTTGACGAAGACTGTACAAAAACCGTGCAGGTCGTTTCAATGCGTACCAGGTTATACGTGGTTCCCGGGACAGTGAATGGAAGTTACACGTCGGTCCTCACGGACTCTTCGATGGAGTCCGTGAGGTTTCTCTTTCCTCTCTGCCCCGCTTTCCTCGTCCCGCGATCCGTGAAGCGTAGCTTGTCCTCTCTCTCTTGCTCTTTCAATCTTGAATGTCCATCCTCGTCCCGCGCTTGTTCGGTTTCCGTTGCTCTCGCAGAGGCCTCACCGAGCATATCGCATGACTCGAGGCATGTGGCCGACAGTTTACTTCGGGATCTCGAACCGGTCGATTCGCCGACGATTTCGAACGCTCCGCGCGTCTGAGGTGAACCAACACACGAGGAGAACTCGATCACGAACATGCGCATCAGGAGCATCAACGACAGCCTTGTTCTCACGACGAAAGGTAATTTCTTTCGCGTCTCGACTATTAACCCCTCGCGATCAATCGTTGCCAAAATACTTCGAACTCGAGAGTAGAAACTTGAAATTCGAACGCGTTGCGCGAAAAGGCATTTTTAATAAAAAAAAAAAACTTTTAATAACAGCACGCGACGGACAAATAAGTGCGATTATACGGTAAGTTTCGTAACGAATTCTGAAAAGACACGAGTCCGAGGTTTTCGAATCTAACGTTGCCGGTATTGTCAGACAATCTAAGTATACGATTTACGGGTTTCGATGAAAATTGCGGTGCGTGTGAAGCATTTCTTCCCGAGTGAATTAAGTTAAAAAATAGTTTCTTTCCCTTTTCTAAAACTCGTTCGCCTGTGTTACGTTTCTCGATTGCAAAGGATTAATTGTAACAAAGTCTGATCGAAACAGAGTTCGCAGATTTCACCCCAAAAGGTATTTCGAGGAAGCCTCGTCGCGCGTTTCTCTGATGCGTTTGTTACGAGTCTTGCGCGAGACTCAACAGGTGTCTAGACGCGAACGCTACTTCCTTTCTTCTGTTGTGTGTACACACGTTGCACAGTGTGTGGCGTATCGAATAGCTGCTAGACACCAGTGACTGTGTTTTGTCGTGATTTTCAATTTTTTCCGTGCACACGGGAACTTCCAAACTCCCGGTTTACGAATCTCGAATATTTTCAAAAAGATTCTTATTTTCACATTCCAGTACAAATTACGAACGAATGTTACGAACAACGAAGAGTTCGAGCAGTATAAATAATTTTGTAAACGAGTATGATTCAACGTGATTCAAGTTTGCGTACGTTGGAGATTAGAAGAGTACGTGCTGATTCCCTTTTTATTTCTAAGATCGTCAAACGTCGCATCGACTTTCCCGAATTGCATTGATTAACTTTGAAGCACATATGTATAAGAAGAGTCAGCAACTATTTTCTAAACATGTGTAACAGTCTTTGTTTATGGTACGACGTATTTACAAGAGTTCTTCCACAAATATAATAATATTGGTACCGATCTGTGTATAACAATAAACCTTTGTATTTTTGATCAAAGTAAATGAAAAAGAAACGTTCCCTTCCTACCGATGTTAATCCAAACCACGTGGTTAGCATTTTCTTAACTTAATTTAATTCCATTTTGACTCGAATCTAAATTTCGTATTTCGTATAAAAGATTTCTTACTGAACCTAAGAGATTCTCGAGATGGGATTCCCTGGTACAATCACTGCTCATAAAGGCTGCGAGTTATCCGCTCGAAGCAACGCAAAAGGATACAAGTTCGCGCAAAAAGCGTCGACGTTTTTGTGGTCTCTTTTCTTCGCGTAGCGATAAAGACTCGCAAGAACAGGGCAAGGCAAAAAACGGTACTTTCTCTGGTCACCGGTTGCAATCGGCAACGATACGATTTCACTTTTGACACTAGGCCGGTGAATTTCTATTTTTGGACAGAAACTCACGCATAGAACTGTAAACGCAAGCACTGATTTGCTCGAAACGGAGGGGCAATTAGCAGATTTCTTGGCAATAGGCTAGTTAAATGTTTGCTCGAGGCAAACAACCGGGACCTAAAACGCGGAATATAGTCGCGTACGTGGAAGGAGGCGCTCAAGTGTCGATGAAATCTTTGCGTTCGCTACCAGGCCATCCGCGCCTAATGACAGGTATGCCGGTTATGCGACACGATATCTGTTCGAGGCGCTCTATCGTTTGAACGAAAAGCATTGTTCTTGGTCGTCGTCGAAGTTAAGAACAATCCGTGGACGAAACAAAGGTGCATCTTAGAGAGAAATACAAAAGAGTGGCCGATAAGAGCTTAATGCCCGGTCTTCGATAAAGTGCTCTCTCCGCGAAGTTTCAATTATTCAAAGAATCTGAATACCGAACAGCTATCCCCGCGCGATGAAAGAGTATTCAGCAGTGGCCCATTTACACGTATTTTCTACGCGGCATTTCCATACCGATTAAACATTTTTTTCTTTTCAGAAATCCAATTCAATTGGCTAAAATCGACCAGATACTCGGCCCCTTGTAAAAGATAAATAACCTCGAGTATCCCATTAAAGACAATATGCAAATTTCTTAACGATTTTCGCTTTTTAATGATATTTACTTTGAATTCTGTATGTAGTCTTAATAAACGAATACATTACACTTTTTTGTTGATCCAAGTGGTTAATTTTAGTTCACTTTTGCTCCTTGATTGCTTTACTTTACAATGTTGTTGGATCGTGGAAAGTTGGACGAATAATCGCGATATAAACTTTTTTTTATTTTTTGTTATTAATTATATATACCATTTATAGATTGTGTTTATCTTTATGGGCCATCGATAAACGCTACGAACGGAACGTGAAATCGAAAGGTGTCCACTCTGACGTGAGAAATTATAAAATAGATGCAGTAAACAGATTGTTTGTACGTCATACAATTCCAATTGATATTTGTTAATCGTAGGATTAAGCTCTACTTCAACAATGCAGATAATGAATACGTGGTTTCAAAGTCACGCGTGGTTTTAGATGATTATCATGATTCCATTGACGTTTCTGTGTCAATCACACTATTAAAACGTGTATTCCGAAACAAAGAAATCGCGTAAAATCAATAGCTCATGTAAAAATATACTGCGTTATGTTTCGTTAATTATACGATTGTCGTCACTTATCTTTGGAAACGATATCTACGCCGAATACGCCTCTCGTATAGAGTCACTGATTTTCTAATATTGTGGAGCGTTAAACGCGGGTTGTACCTTTTCCCGGTGAATGCATTACTTTCATATTGCGTCAAAAGAAAGTCCACCGCAAGATAAGAAGCTCATTACTTTAACAATCTAGGAATAATTATCTTATTCTAAGAATAATTAAAAATGTTCAATATTCAATGCTTTGTCTCTGAACTTGATGCAACAAAGATATCAACAAAAATTATACAAAATTATCGTAGAATCGACAAATTATTTTTACTCCGAATGAGCAAAAGTGAACAATTTTCATCTACGAATACACACACATTGCGAATCAACGTTTCTTACACACTTAAAGTAACCCTTTCACAATTTTCTTCTTCGTTGAACTTTACGCTGAATACATCTTTAGTTTACTATAAGGTGTAGCTAAATAATACGTACGAGCGGACGGGAAAAAATAAGAAAAATCGAAAAGAATATTTTCATTTTCCGTACAGTTGTCGAGATAATCGAGTTTGAACATTCACACTTTAACCGAGGAATCTTATTTATATATTTTACACAAAGAACTATCAACATTATTAAATGTTGCTAGACGATAAGGAATAATTTTCCATCGTACTTTGCCAGTGTGGTAAGAAACGTACGGAATGAAAATTATCAATGTTAGATGGGTCATGGGTTTTTATTTGTGGGGTCATCGTATCAGGGAAAAAGTTTATAACGAAGACATTGAGAGTTAAGACCAATTGATACGAATTAATCATACATTGGAAAACTTGGGAAACGAAAACGCGTTACCTAGAACTCATGCATCTGTAATTAAACAAGCACGGATATTCATACGAGGAGCGAGTCAATTCGTTTTAGAAACATTGTAATTAATAATAAACAAAATTCATCATTTTGTTCTTCCTCGAATATCGCGTAAACATTGTTTACAAACACTTTGGACATTGTACCTCGCTTGGTGAATCATATTTTATTCGTAATTGCATACCAACGGATTGAATTGTCAAATTCGATTATCTTGACAACTAAACTGAAAATAAAATAAAATAAAAACATTTCCTTCTTTTTTAATAAAGAATCATCTTCCCCCTGTATAACAGTTTCTTTTTCTTTTCCTCGGCAAATTGTAGATATTCTCGTAAGAAACTTTGAAGGAAAACGAGCAACTGCTTTATTCTTAACGAAGACTAGAATATCTTTTGATTCCTAGACTTTGACCTAATCGATCAGAAAAGCGAATAAAAATGTTTGCTCGTAGAAGGCTGCGAACCAAGTGGATTTCATTTTTCCACCACAAACCTTCCGCATTGGATAAATTGTACTTTGATCGAAGCCTTTCGCCGCTTATTTTCTTCTGCAATGCACAGGCTACAACGAGCGATTACGATCGTATGGTATCGCATTTGTAAACTAGTCACCGTCTCAAGACTGTACCGAAGGAAAGGAATTTTCTTCGTAATTTCATAAGGCTGCTTCGCACTCCTGCAATTGATCCCTGACGTTACGTCAGCCACGCAGTCCTTTGCTGGTGCGTTTCTCGTAGGGCAAGGCAACTTCCATTCAGCGACAACCTTCGAACACGTTATACGCTGTTGAAATATACATCAAATTCTTTTTTAATAATTATTTATGTACACAATTTTCTTCGTCGTCGTGTAGACAAATCACAGTAAAGATTTCAGCTTGAAAACTTCACTTTTGAAAATTCGACTTTGACAATCATCGTTGTATTAATACTATTTAAATATTAACACGCGTGTACTAGTACAGACGTATTTTTGTTATTATTATTATTTGTCGCAGAAGGTGGATAATGGCCACTAAGTGGATACAGTACACACTGACTTCTATAAGGCTTTTGATAGCATCAATCACAATTTTCTTGTTAGGAAGTTAAATGCCTGGAGGCGCTGGAGGTAGCATCATTGTTTGATTGTCTTGTTAGCTTTGTAACTTATACGATCATTCTTTACAAAGTATAACGGTCGTTTATCCAAACACCTGTTCATCTGGCATACCAAGAAAGTGCTGTGGGTCCTCTTTTCTTCTATTATTGTTTTCTTTCCTTCCTTTTTTTAAATGTATTTATTATATATTCAATTGTATGCATGTCGTGTGCATTTGTAACAACACATTATTCTAATTGCCTTTTCAACGAGTGTTTTTATGTTTATGTACTGTAAAAGTATTTTTCTGTATGAATTCCTGCCCATCGAAAATTTCGACGCCTACGAATCGCCAGCAGGATTGAGGCAGTAATTCGAGTAACGGTCACCGTAAGGATAGCCTTATACCTGTTCGAAAGAATGGTTGTTTACCTGCTCTTTCTGGGTGAGGCGGTTAGAATAAAGTGTTGTTGCAAATGCACGTAATATACATATAATTTAACATACAATAAATACATTTTAAAAAAGGAGGGAAAGAATTTTATAATACTATAATATAGATTTTCATACTTAATAATGTATACTAGCTACGTTCTTATGTAATAGTTTTACTATCTATTGTGCCTTATTACATCGAAATAATTTTTCTTAACCTGTATACGATCGCATAACGTTATGTGTTTTTATTTAATATAATTTATAATATTTGAAAACGATCACATACTTATAGAAACGTTATACCTTAAGAAGTTTTTAACCGAGACTGAAATAACTACTTATTTCTTTTTTTTGAGATTTCTATCGGTATAAAAATAAATGGCGTTTCGTTCTACGATAAACAGATACCGCTCGTTTATCTTTTATCTTCGTCCATCTGTGCTGAGAACTTAATTAAAATGGCAAACCAGGGGTTGAATATTCGTAAATGTACCGGGTCCCTCAACTCTCCGCGCCATAAGGCCGCGTGACATCACCAAGGTGGCGTACGTGGCCCAAGAAACGTCACCCAGAAGTTCTCGCGATGAACGGAAGCCGCACGATGACGTCAATCGTGCCGAAACGACCGAATTTTTCATCCTCGTATCCTGTTCTCGATGGCACGTCGATGGCGCAGAAACGACGCGCGTCAGCGTTGCGTTTCCAAACACGCGCGATGCAGAAATTCAGTCCCGTGGCACCGTTGGGTCGTTAACCGCGGGTTTACATAAGTCGAACGATTGTTACGAAATAAGCACGGAAATTTTTCGGTCCTTGGACAGAAGATACGCTTCACGCTCTCTTGAACTGATTCTATTCGTTGTAGACTTATTTCCTTGTTGCCGAATCGGATACTATTTGGAGCAACATTTCCAATTTTGCTGAATTTCGGATGCATAACGAATACAAATTGCGTTTCTCTTAAATGGTATACACGTTTTGCCATAAATCAAAAACAAAAAATACCTTGACTTAATTATGGTCGGTGCTATAGCATCCCAATAATAAAGGTAAAAGTATTGTTCTAATTCCAAATATAGACATACTGAACAAGAAAGTGATCTCCAAAGATGGAATCAATTGTACTATTCGAATGTTATTTGAGTTATCCCTTCCATCGCCCTGGAAAACGAAGTTTAAAATTTGGCACTCACTGCAACCATACTGGTTATACCTTCTTTTCTTGTACATCGTCTTACTCTTCAAACCTTTATAACATTCACAATTTTTTGTTCGAAAAAAACAACTATTTCCTTCTACATATTCGAGTAATATTTGAATTTAATTCGACAAATATTTGAACTGCTGAGGCGTTCAGAAATTCGGGAAATAACTTTGCTCAGGGTCGGATTTAAAAATAGCTATCTTATTGCTGAACCTTGCCCTTTACTCTCGAGGCTTTAAAGCTCGTTTAAAGCTAAAGACGCTGTTTTACAAACTAGTCGATGGCTAAACAAGTGATTCGTGTTTCAGGCGAAGTGTCGTGGTCGACGACAGAGGAGCCTTTGACTCCCGAAGAAGAGGACGCGATAGTGACGCTGGTAGTGGTCGTGGTTGGTATCATAGTCGCTATAGTGATACTATTTTCGATGGGGATCTTCATCGACTGCAAGCACCAGTAAATAAACTGTCGAGTACTTTCGATAAAACCGTGCGTAGGAGGCAAGCATCGATCGTTCTGTCTCGTTTCAGGAAAAAGGACGCCCTGCTTAAGAAAAAAAAGCTTAAATTGAGAATGCCGCCGATATCCCGCATAAAACGAAGCATGAAGGACGATGTGAAGGCTTTAGCCGCGGATATGTGTCCGAGCGGTACCAGCGACTCTGGATTTCGAACGAGGGACGCCGTCGTTTGACACCCTCACTTCGATCTGGAGTGCAGTGATTATCAGACGATACTACGAAATCGGCGGAGCGAATTGTACGAATTAAATCGCTATTTATTTTAAGGATACGCGAAAAATATCAAGTGTCATAACAACGATAGTCTTGATTCCGCCGCGAAGTTTTTCGAGCAGACGTTAACATTATTCCCGTAACTGTGATTTATATATCGTTATTTATCTATTCGTTATAAAAAAAGAACCTCTCGATCGCATCGATCGTATTTAAGGAACTCTCCTTCGTGGGAGAGAATTTCTGCGGCTCAAGATCACGCGAGCTCAATGTTTGCTCAAATCCGATATTAATTTACGAACTACGAACGAGTGAGTGCGTATATGGTATGTGTGTAAACGTGTACGAAGGTATGTTTCGTCGGGAATCGAGAAATTTCATGTTTGTTTTTTTTTCGCGCAAACACCGAACGATCTATGCGCGCGTTTTATCGCGATCGCGATTGAGACAGTGCCGAGGTTACAATGTCTAGTCTAGTCGTTCCTTCGGCCTTGTAACGATTAGCAAATGGTAATGTAACGTTCCAACGAGCCATCGACTTCATCGGGCATCTTTCAATAAAGAGTGCGTGAACGTCGACGTTTCGCCAACGAATTGGCGATTACGATGTTCGATAAAAATGCTGACGTTAATGGCGCGATCGTTCCACGCCGCGCGTGCATGGTGACCGAACGATTCGACGCTCGACGTATTTCCGAATTGATAATTTATATTATTTCTGGACGAATATACGTATAAGTAAAAGTGTATATACATATATATACATATCTATGTTATAAGAGGTATTGTCTGAAAGTAAAAGGTTTTTATCACCTTTCATGTAATCGTTTTGTCCCGAATGCAAAGACGTCATTGTCTGAAAGATTAAATCACCATGCACGTGATCGTTTTCCACCGATTCGGACCAAACAGGGATAAGGGGGGAAAATTATGCCGCGTGACGCAAATTTAATCATCTCTGTAAATATATTAGTGTACAGATAAAAGTCCATAAAAAAAAGAAACAGATTCGTATGAAATTTCACGCGAAACGTGGAATGTTTTGGTAAAAACGATTTATGACGAGGCTGAAACATTTAACTTGCAAATGGACGAAAAGACTGCGTGGTTTCCTTCTCTGTTACTTTACTGCATCTTCGTCCATGAGAGGCTTCGCTTCGTTGTACCTTTGTTCGGCTATGAAACATTATATTACACATGGATCACAAGTTAATTACTTAATTTTAGGAAATGCGAAACATCTTGTCCCTCTTGTGCTGATTTTTTATTGATATTAAATTGGTCTCAATTGATAGATCACGTTTGTTAATCGATTCTTGAACGAATCAGGGGCGCCTAAGGACCATTTCCAAAAGCGCCATTCGAACGTAAACGCCATTTTCAGCCTGCCGGAAGTAAGCGGCACGCGGGTCCACGTCGAATTCCGGATTGATCTCGAAAACACGAGGCAACGGGTGCATCACTATCATCTTCCTCTTTGCTAGAGACATGAATTGTGGCGTTATCTCAAAGTGTCTGCAAACCTGGAAATAAAGGAACATACAACGTTTTACGACATGTTGCTAGAAAAGTCACGGCTAACAGACTTTGCCTTCGTTCTTCTAATTTTTAAAGATCTGTAAGGACGAATTGTAAGTGGATACTTAAAATTTGTTGCTCTTTGTAGTTAAAGTACACGCCAGTAATTTCTGTACATACCTTTTTACCTTGAAACAATCGATGGCTTTTCAGCCACGCAATTAAAATTAAAAAACATCCATTTGGGATAATCGGAGCCATTTGACTACCATATAAACGATACGAATAAAAAATGTAAAAAGCACGGTGAATTTTGAAAACTTTAAATCGTGGAATACAGTAGAGTCTCTTACGATAGAGATATTTCCTTCTAAAGACAACGCAGAAGTTGGAGAAAAAACTGTATACATGAGCTGACTTTAGTTGGAGCATTGTCTTCTATTTTTGTCCAGTACTGTATCTCTTTCTTCTCATACGATGAGATTATCAAGCAACGAAACCATTCAATTCCAAGTTAAATATCAGTGGGGCAGAATCCAATAGAAGCCCTTACCTGTTGGTATTTTTCCTTACTAGTGAAACGTTCCTTTTGAATGCGCGTCATGTAAAGGACGTCCGTGTCGGGAAGCGCGTCTTTGAGGGAGAAAAACCGTTCCTGAGGTATTCCACGTTCGGACACGTAATTCACCACGTGGGTTGGCATGCAAAGGCCAGGGGGGGACACGTAACGTAGCTCGACATTGTACAGCGTCAGCAACCTGTCTCGTAATACACACGTACAAGAGTTATTATCGATGTGAATCGAATAAAGATATGTCGGAACGAGGACCCGAGACAAGGTTACCGATTTGTATAATTGTTAACCGACCTTGCGAGGGAATGCACTGTCCTGCCATGTTTCAAATCCCCAACCATTGTGATCGTCAGCCCGTTCACCGTGCCGATTTCGTCCCGTATCGTGAAGATATCCAGCAACGCTTGCGTTGGATGTTCACCGACCCCATCGCCAGCGTTCAACATTGGCTTTCTACAGTGTTGCGCTGCTCTCTGTGCACAGATCGACACACGATAAGTTTGCTTGTTTTATTTCGTTGTCGCATACCATGCAACTAGATTTGATCAATTAATGCCCACCGATACTGCGCCTGGCTCTGGATGTCGAAGAACGACGATGTCGGCGTATCCAGCCATTACTGCTACCGAATCTGAAATACAGTAGAACTCCATTTGTGTAATCCTATCGATGGGCAAACAGTTCATATAATTGGCGAGTGTACGCAACAGGAGTTCACTAATAGCTAAATAGCTGAATTCGTATTTCTGAAATGATACTACAAAAGTAAATTGATAAGGAAAGTAATTGTCATATCGAACGACGATTGTATTTTGCTGAAAACTTTGTCCTTGAACCAGACACACGGGTATACGTCATATTTAGTGGTACGAAGGAGTTTAAAATTAGACGGGCCTAAAGATTGTAATTATTTTTGACATGGTGTATTGAACGAGAGAAGAATTTTATCACCACTGTGGAGGTGATGAACGTGGGTGGCAATCAAAAAGAATGGAAGGTCAGAAACAGTATTTTTACGTGGCATAATAAAGACAAAGAAGTACGAAAATATATTGGAAGAATGCTCATTGTCATTCATAACGTTAACCCTGGAATTATCTTGGCGTACTGCATTCTTTATTCATTTTTGCTTTATCTATGTATTTTCAATAGGTGACTTGAAATCTTCTGGCAGAGAAATATGTATCTAGGAACAGTTGATAATAGATTTATGTTAGCAAACTGATTTTTTTCAAACAATTAAATTTTACTTATTTTCAGAGCTGGGATACAGGTATATTGAATTCACCAGTATAGTGTTAATAAAATTTGTGTGTAGGCGTAGTATTGCAGGGTTAATGTACGATGAAAACACGATATTCTAACATGATAACGCTCAAGTTCACATTGCTGTTACTGCTAATGAGAACTGGTTTTGTGACTATTCAATAAAATAGTGAGATATATTTTTTGTTTTCTTTGCGACTACAACCATCCACGCGTGACTTGGAATTTCAACTTCATTCCACAAGGAAGGAGCCATGAAAAGTGCCACATTCCGACTGACGAAAACTCCAATCAATACATAATGCATACATGTATACGAAGATAGGATTGTTTTGATTTATCTTCTTTAATTTCACTTTTTTAATTAAGTGAACTGTTCAAAGTGATATTTTATATATTTTGTAAGCTAAAACCCGTACTTTCCACATAAAAAAAAAATATTATTTGTTGGTCAAGCTATTATATCCGAGGTATCAAAGAGATTACATACCTTCTAGAGATTCTCCTTTCTTCACCGACGACGTGGACTTGTCCATGTATATCACTCTACCTCCAAGTCGCTCCATAGCAGCGGCAAAACTGCAAGAAGTTCTCGTGCTGACCTCGTAGAAGATCGAGGCCATCAGTTTTCCCTGTTCGACGAAGACATTCGAATTGAGGACGGGTTCGCGGAAGAAAAATATTCGACGACGACGTTGTGAACGATGTTCTTACTCGTAAAATATGATCCAGTCGCCGTTCCTTTCTGATAGCATTGCGAAAGAATTCCGCGATATGAAAGAGATCTTTCAGTATTTCCTTGTTGAAAATGTCCACGGACAGGATGTTGTGCCCAATGAGACTGTGGCTGGTATGAACAGGTGGAATCGGTGTAACTAGATTCACAAAGAGATTCGAATTACTGTCGTTCTTATACTTCATCGCGCTACTGATCGGAAGGGGTGAAATAGCGCGTTGTGTCAGCGGAAGTTTCGTATGTTCCCGAGAATCCACATCCACTGCAAAGTGGACGTTCGATTTCTGTGAAGCTGGCTGCAATAGATACGCGTATGGCTCTGAAAGCAGAAGCAAAACAGAAACGTTGATACAGGAAAGAAACGCTCGTGGTCCATCCGTTCGTTTAGATAGAAAAATGATTTCGTACCATTTTGTTCGTCTTCGGTCATATCCGTTATCCGTTCGGGGAAACTGTGATATTTTTCATAATTCGGTGACAATAGGCCATCCAAAGCCGAGCTCGGTCGACTGCTTACGTCGACGACCGGCGCTGTGCTCAAAAACGTCTGGTGCTTCATTTTCGCCTGCATTTCCCTGATGTCCTGCCCGAAGCCAGGATTCACCAGGACCTGTCCTTCAACGTAAGCGACCTCTCCTCTGAGAACAACTCTATGAACAGTTCCGCGAACTTTTGTCCCCGCGAACGGCGTCCACTTAGATTTGCTGAAGGGCATGGCTTTCGGAATAACCCACTCGTCGTCCAGATCGACCTCGATGTAGGTGTTCGGCTGATCCGGTATATTGAAGATCCGTTTCGGATTTCTGTAGAGTTTATCTACCACGTCCTGAAAAGATGCGCTAGCTAACTTTTATCATACTCGGCTGGTAATTGCGTAGGGAATAATAAAAGAAATTTCGTCGAAATTTGGATACATTGTTTTATAATATCGCAAGCATTGTGCAGAATGTATCACCAATGCTTATCTCGCAATATAAAGATATCAAAAACAATGCTTCTATGCAACATACCAGAGACGATACGATGAACGTATCAGTTTCAAATCGTAAATCAAAGTTCGCGTAAAAAAGTAATTGTTTCAAAGAAGGCTTTAATGTATCGCTTTAAGTATCAAACAGCACGTTTGATTTACGTTTATCATACGTTTTTGTTAATCTAAGTATACGTTGGAAAGTGATTGTTGAACGTAGCAAGTACGTACTTCCATCGTTATTTTTCCTTCGTGAACGGCGGTAAGCAAAAGCGGAAGCATGGTTTCGAGTCCGGGGAATCCGGGTGGCGGCTTTTCGCTGGATTTCTCTTGTATCGTATGCGGCGCTGGAAAGTAGAAAAACTCGTTTGACAAATGCGTCGCATTTTAGCATAGAAATTTACACCACTATATAGAATACCGATACTATACCTGCATATAGTAACCAGTTACGAGACAAGATCTGTTGTAAAGGAAAATAGAACAAAATTGTACACGGTTCAGTGAAGCCTATTATCCAATGACACGACATTTTCCCCAAGTGCATCGATGGACTTGCAAAGTGGAATTGCACTTTTTTACAATGGCATATTTGCCATTTAAATGTTTCCTTTTCTACTAAATCGATTCCCTGCTAAGGAAGCTTTACATAATGGTGAGTTGAGGTCATTGGCTTGAAAGATTTATTTTAATCCAATGCGAAAGTATCGAAAAGATAAAATTGATACATTTAGACTTAACGCGTAACAAAAATAAATATTTAAAATTTCTGTGTGCAAGTTCGTTGATCTTCAGAAATCTATCCATGGTCCTCCATCCTCTATCCTCTTGGGTCCAAGTAAAAGACGAGACGTAAATTTCAAATAAGATTACCGTGATCCGTCGCGAAGCAATCGATCGCATCCAAATTTTCCCAAAGAGCTTGCTGGTCTTCCTTAGTTCCCAATTCCGGCCTCACTTGACCTCGTCCGTGACCGATGCGTTCGAGATCCTCCTCGCAGAGGAACAAATGATGAGGACAGACTTCGCAAGTGACCGCCATTCCCTGAAGTAACAAACACGCGAATATTGTTTCGACAACGTGCGACGTAGAGAAATTGTGAATTAGTTTGAAATCATCAAATACTACGCGAGAGTAGAATTCATAATTCAGAAACAGTTCGTAAGGAAAATTTCCGAGGATGAAGAAATATACAAAGATAGTCTCTTTGATATGTATGACGATAAAATAAAACTGATATTTGTATATTTGGTTAACGATAAAAGTATAGAGCTAATGCGTGTACGTAAATTCACCTAATGAAAAAGTTACCATCTATCTTTTTAATCATTGATACGCACAACTTATGTTAATTAATTAAATAGCGCTACAAGCGTGCTAAAATTGTATCGTTACTTTCTATATAAAGAAATAAATGTATCGATACATGCACATCGTCGGTGATAGCATGTACAGTAAGTACAATGCCGAGGAAACGTTTATCAGTAGTTTCAACGAGTTGGTAAATAATATTATCGATGTTAACGAAATGTTCCCGGTAATTTCAAGATGATAGAAAATTTCAATTATAGAAAATAAAGTGTAATCGGTCATTTACTTTCTCTTTAGCGGCGCGTATGATTTGAATCTCTTCCTTTCGCGCCACGTGACAGACATGGATGGGTCGATTGTGCAATCCGGCCAGCAAGAGGATGGCGGCTGTCGTTTGACCCTCCGCGTGCACGCAAAGGGGATACTTCTTCGGCCAACTTTGAAAGTGCTGCAACGGATAAGAAGTTTAGTTGCCGGTTTATCATAGAAATCTAACGTTTCGTTATCTTCCGCGCAAAGGCGACCGTTATCTAAGGAGTATCTTTAGTTTTCCGTGAACGTGGGATTATTACATGGGGGAGTACAGCGATTGTTTTGATCAGTCAAAGCAGCGCAGACCTACTTTCGATAATTTTTCGTTCATTGTACATTACCTTAATCCATACGGTGAGATCGGTTAATCGGAGCGTCGTAAACGTCTCGTTCAGGTACATCTTCAGTCCAGCTGCCAATGGCGCCAATTCCGGCGTTATACTGTAATTGTCCGACGAAGCACCGACAAAAATCCCATAATCGCATCTCGCGTTAGACACAGCGCGCTAAGGTATCACGAGAAAAATCGTTAACATATAGAGGAATACGATTTTTGGCAAACGATAAGAATGTCGTAAATAAATATTGAGAAAACTGTAAGGTGCAAAGGCAGTAATGCTCGTTGGATTCTTTTAAGATTTTTTCTATATGAAAATTATTGACGGATGAATTTCAAATTTTCTGTATATTTACTTACGTTTCAACCAAACTCAGGAGATCCATTAAATTCTATTAGCGATTCGCTTTTTAAAGAGAATAGTTTCTTTAATAACAATGAAAAAACAAAGTTCTATGATAAAAAATCTAAAGTGAAGTCCAGTTTCATTCAGTATGGCCTTGTAATCAACTGAGAGCTTATCAGTAGAGGAAACACGTTCGACGGACTGTTTATATAGCTTAACTAATATATGATATTCTGAATAGCACAGATAGAAATTGTGGTACTTACCTCCTTGGCCAGGGAGAATGATTGATGATCGACGACTGCTGGAGTGGTGTTTGGCATCGCGAAGATCATCGTGATGCCTCCGGCGAGAGCGGCAGCGGTGCAGGAAGCGAAGTCCTCTTTGTAAACCGCGCCAGGATCGCGCGTGTGCACATGGACGTCGATGAGACCAGGAAGTTTGATCATCGTTCGCGACGATACGCAGTCTGTGTGGGTTTTCATGCGAGGTGCATGACCGCCAAGCATCCTCATAGCCTGCGCAAAAAGACGTCAATGAACAATAATTGCGTCAGTTCTTGGTACAATAAAGATCGCGATTGATAAGGTGCATGATACGAAATATGAAACGCCTTTAACGCTGACAGGGCCGTCGATGAGTCTTTACAGACCCGGGAATTAAGTATTTTTTCTCATCCATGTAATCCCCTAATTATCCACAACAACGTGGTTCCCTATTGCTTAGAATATATATATCATGGCCGATCATCAATGTTCTCGAAATATATGTCGTCGATTACGCGATAAGACCGATTTATGTGTGCCACATTATATACGTAGAGTCGAAAACGTTATTGTTCTACAGTTTGTATGTATCGATCTATCTATGAAATATAAATTTTCAAGCAATCAAGCATGAATTCAAGGTTTTTATACTGTTTTATAATCAGATTAAATTATAAATTTTATAAACTTTATCTATACCTAACCCAGACCTAATTAAAGGAAATACAGCATTTTAATGAAACTAGTGTTGGTAAGCAATTCATTATAAGTACTTGGAGGGAGCGATTCAAGTTTTTTAAAATCTCAGACTGCTCTATCTTTAAAATGTTTCAGCTATTTTCTATTTCACGCGTTGCACGCACGAGGCTTCTATTACAACACTTGCCCTAATCAACAAAAACGAGACACGTGTGGCGTAACACGTGTCGATTCATCAGCAGTGAAATATTTTCCTTCCTTGCACATAGCATAATGAACTTTGAAACTGGAATACCTATCGATTAACAGGTAACACGATTACACGCATTCTGTAAAGATAAGCTATTATCAAATAACTTTCCAATGTATCATTAGCATTGGAGTTAGCTTCGTCGGAAATAAATTTTATTTAATTGTTTAAACGCGGGCATTCTTAAGGTTCGCACCTTAAAGAAAGCATATAAATTATAGTATTTTATTCGTTTCCCACAAATTACCTACTTACGCTGTCGAAGTAGACATGCCCCTTATAAATTATACTTTAGCAGACTCCGTACTGATCGAAATCGTACTGCGCCAGGTATTTCTGCATCGTAATTTGATTACAGGGTCTAACATCGTTCAAAGATTGACAGAATTCTAGTCTGAATAGAAATTTCGAAACACGAATGAAGAATAAACAACTGCTTATTCATCGCAAACTCATTAAATGAAAAGAAAAGTTTGAATTGCCGGATGAAATATTTGCTATACGCTGATAGTATTGGTAATCTATTCGGATAGAGTATTGCTCATCTCTTCGATCGTCGTATATCGAATGTTATTAACTCGTGTCGTACTCACTTCGACGAGTAATTTCGCGCATTTGACGTCCGTGACCAATGGAACGGAATAATCGACAGCGAGTCTTCTCGTACGATATCCGTGCGTCATAAAGTTGGAGACTCGTCGTGCACCACCGTTCCGCATTGGCAAATTTATTATAAGATCGAACTGTTTTTTCGAAAGAAAATCGGCCAAATGACGAAGTTCGCTCGGACTGGAATCTTCGTTCATGCTGATATTCTCGAACGTCCATTGTACTGGTTCCACCTGTAATCAATGGAAATGATTTTCTTAGGAACATTTTATTCCAATAAATTATTTCTCATCGAAGGATATCAAGACTTTCGAGACTTATCGTGACTTCCAAGAACTTCTGTTACCGAATAATGTTCGAAGCGATTTAAAGAAATCACATTGTCGAATATTTTTACTTTTTTCAAGACACACTACGTTCGAACACTCGTCGCTACAGCGCAGTCTCCGTCGAGCATTTGAAATCGTTGCTTCGCACCGGAAGTGGTTTGCTACCACTCCGGATGGCAACATTATTTTGTCTGATGATTAGATAATGATCGGTCTATTTTTTGAAAGCTTGTTCTTATCGTTACCATCAACGCACAAGTCCATCAAGCTCTGCACACAACGAAATAATTACTTAAAACAAATGTCCCTGTTATTATAAACAGTTGACCTTTATTATTGATTTTAAACATTTTGTATATTAATTTCGTACATTAAATATAATTTATCGCGTAACAGCAGCAGCAATTATTCTATAGTGATTTCGAAACATGAAGCTACAATAATATATAATTATTCTAAACAGCAATATCAGCTGGTTATGCAACTATGACTGTTCCGAGGTATGATTTCACTACCACTAAGTATTCCTTTAATTTAAAGTTAATGATATATGCTCATATTAATACGATATTTCTATCTATCCAAGAGTATTTTGTTCCCAAATTACGTAAAACCAAAATACCTAACAGTGTACCAAAGCAGCTTATTCTTAGTCTGTATTCGTTATACTCTTGTTTACCAGTCGAACATCGTGTTAGTAACAATGGACTAGTAGTTTAATTTTCATCGATGAATTTTAAGAAGAGATTGTTAAGTCGATAGAAACGATACATTATAATAATTTCAAAATTAAACCAGAGATGTCATATTTCTTCGACGCCGTTGGTACGTGCAGCGTCGGGGGCTTTGCACGTGAAGCTGTGAAAACGTTATCGCAAGGGTACACCTCGACCATGGTGCGGCGCAGCCATGGTACTAGTACAAAAGCTCTTCCGCTTCTAAACTCATTCGTCGATAGCTGATAGTAAAGCACAGATTAAAAGTGTTCTGCCCAGCGTAGTTCGATAACAAGATAGGTAGGTATTTATCGGCAGCGGTTCCCCGGGGACGGATCACTGTCTAATCGATGAGTGTCGAATACGTGTCATTTCGCGTTCAAATAAGTCATGTTCGCGCAAGTTGACGTCTCCACCAAGCCTCAGGATCAAAAAATTTCACGTCGTCCGTCGTAAAACCAAACGCGATATAGCTATCGATGCGAAACAGTTTTTAGAAAGCCGGTTGTCGTCGCAGATTTAGAAACGCGCGATGGGAAACGCCAAATCGAAAAGCAAGAGAGGCTCACGGATGAAAGTGTATGGGAAAATTGGACGCGACGGCCAGTATAAGACCCCGTCGTTGTCGAACGATGATGAATACGAGGATATGGAGATGTTGTTGCTGAAGAGGGCGATCGAAAGGAACCCGGAAATCTTCGTGCTGAACAATCTCATGATGTGCGTTCCGTTCTTCCGGAATTACGAAAAGTATGATGTCTTTGGTTTTTCTTCATTTTTCGCGACCACCGATATTTATTAATATTATACAGTTCGATAGGGTTATATATCATCGAAAAATAATCGCGTATTCTTCACGGTAAGAAACATTCATCCACTTATACATACCAGCGATACCGATCATGATCAAACTCGTAATCTAATCTATACGTTTTATCCCTAGTATGACAATCTCGGGAATTTTACTTTTCGGCTAACAATAAATTTGTATTCTCGACGTTATAGATTCTCCGTTTGTGATATCTTTCTTACAATGTCACTGTCAACCTTATATATCCGCTACGACCATTTGAAATAAGACTTTCTTTCTTCGCGTTTACTTGATGTTTTTAAAGAAATAACCGATCGAATGCAGTGAATAAGAACCGAATCAAAAGTAACTAGCAAAAGAGATTTCATTGTAGAAAGATTCACAATTTTTTAAATAATTGCAACGTCCCGTTCATGGTAGTTCTTTTCTACTTAAACCGAACGGTGGATAAAGAGTTAACGTCTGAAGTCTTTCAGGGAAATTGTGCACGTGAAGAAGTCGTTGGTGTCGGCGCGCGAGGCCCAACTGAACAAGCATTTGTCACCGCAGAAGCACGTTTTGTTGCCGGACGTTCTTCAGGAGCATGTCGCCCAAACTATCGGTTTTACTTCGTCGAGACAAACTTTTCGCACAACTATCGAGCCTCTTCAACCGGTGCGAATCTACACGGTCCACGATAACATCGAAATAACGGAGCAGCAATCGCTGTACTATAGTATCCTAAACGATTCGACGTCGTACAATATATTGTTGAAACCCACCGAACACCAAGGTAAGAAACAGCATGTTTGTTTCGAATCTTGTCCCTCGAGTTGCTATAAAATTACCCCCATCGTTTCCTGAAACTTCTACAGAGCATACTGGTTACTTTGTTGTCAATTTTGAGTAAGAACGGCACAAAACTATTATTTTCTTTTTAGTTAGCCAGAAGTGTATACTGTTTTTGCCATCGATCGATAACAAAATTTACTATACTTCATGGTATGTTGTAGGAATTTAACGATTGATGTATGTCTGCCGCAAAATAAGAAAAGTTAAAAAAATATACGCATGTTTTATACATTCCTTCTATAATTTGGAATAAAAACGACGTTCGGTTCGAATCTTCGGTTCAAATTTTAAAGTTTAACGCTATTTATCGTATCATTTTGTCAGTCCTTTTGACGAAACATCTTGATGTCGCCAGGATATGTTCAGCTTCAACTTCAGGAAACCCCGAATGACACGTCCAAAGACGATGGGATGGATCTGTCGTCGATAGCAGAGAACGACGACGAAATTAACAGTGACGAAGACAGCATTTACGGGCCGAAGGTACGCCTGAACATGCTCCCGTTTCGTGGACACAAACATGGAGAAATGAGATGTCGCATGCAGGCGCACTCGAGATCCCTGCCGAATCTGCACGACGAGATCGAGGCCATAGCGAACCGGAAAGCTTTTTCGCGCTCTACTCGTAACGTACACACTGACGTCGATTCCGAAAACGCAATGTCGATAGTGAACCAAAAACATCGAATGAAAAGGGCCCGGTTTAAGATCGAGACCCCGAAAGGTGACCGAGAGAAACAACAAGTCGAGAAACAAACGCCGCGAACGAAAGCTCAGGGGTCCGCCAGTCTAAGTCTCACCAGCAGCATCAGTTCCGGGTATCGGTCCGACAATTACACGATGGACAGCGACAGCAGCTACAGTCGAAATCAGAGTGTCAAGGCTGAGAAAGTTTCGAACGACGAGGAGTCGTATGAGCATTACATAATGTCCGCGCAGCTTCCGAGACATTGCTTCAAGCGAGTGACTTACACGGCGGACGGCCGTGTGTACGATCCGCGAGAAGAGAAGAAACAGCTGTTGAACAGCAAACAACGTAGGATCAAGTTGGCTCTGAGACGGCACAATTACGATTTGTTTTACGTGAGCAGTACCGTGTTCATGCAGCATTTCATAAATGTTTTCGTGGCACGGTTGGCCAAGTGTTTCGGCTTCGATAAGGAATGCCTGGAGGACGCGAGACGCGAGGGATGCATCGTTTACTGCGACAGAATCCTGATCTCGAACGCGTTCAAGCACAGTCGCATAGAACAGTACGAGATCATACCGTCGGTTTGGCTGCAGTGGCCCAACTGTGCCCAAGAATGGCTGGACAGGCCGCGCAGCACGTGGCCGGAATACTCCGACGTCGAGAAGATCAAGAAGTACGGATGCTACGTGGTGCCGGAGGGTTTCGTGCCGAAAAGAGGAAGCAGCAATCTCATCGAGGACCTCGAATGGCAACTGACGTTTCCCGCCGGGGAACGATATCTCGAAACCTGCATGACACAATCCCAAGTACAAGTGTACTTCATCGCTCTTATGCTTCACAAATCGTTCATGAGACCCATATTCGATACCATGTTCGGTCTGACCACCGCCCACATCAGGCACAAATTGTTCTGGATGATCGAGGAGAACGATAGGCCGTCCAAGTGGCCCGACAACAGAACGGGCGAATGTTTGTTGTCGTTATTGGACTCGTTGTATCACGGCGTCAGCCAAAACGATCCTATACTCAGGGATTACTTCATCAGAGATAGGAATCTTTTTCAGCGAGTGCCAAGCGAACATCTGTTGCACACGCAAAAACAACTGAAGCGTATTCTCGAAAATCCGGTGATGTACGTGTTCCACGCGATGGAGAACATTCGATACAGCGACAATTTCTTCCCGCGTTTGGACTACGAAGGGCTGCTGAGAATATTGACAACGGACTCGCTGTCGTTGATCAATCCGGCATTGAGTCGATACGTCTCGAAACCAATGCCACAACCGAGCAAGGAACGAGCCCAGGAGGAAAACAAATACGACAACACAGGATTCTGGGACCACCTTAAAAATCAACGACAAACGCATCCCGTACGAACGGTTACCAATAAAACGCTTATTAATACTCGCAAAGCCACGGATTCTATAATTGAAATTTCGGTGAGTTTCGTTTTACGATAAACATCGTTATCGTTCGAAGATCGAATTCTTTTTCGTAAATTAAACATTTCCAAATCTTATTTAGCGCGATGACTTCACCGATTCTTTTCGTTTTTTTGCTTTTATCGACTTCTCACCTGGGATGAGGAAACGCGTTTCATCGCGACCACATCATACTTTGCGATCGATAAGAATCGGTACAATTAAATTAATCTCCGTTCGTCTATTCTAATCTTATCTACGATACACTAGCGATTACAAAGAAAGACTTAGTTGATACGTTTTCAGACACGCTGTGCCGAGCTAGAGGGTCCAAGGTTATACATACTGCTTGACTTCTTCATACGGCATTTCATTAAAATAGCCGAACGGTGTAATCAGTACGGTGATGTTCGATTGAAGGACGTTTACCTCCATCAAGCCGAGCGGCTGTCCACTCTTCTCTTCGAGATCAAGAGATACAAATCTGACGCCAGAGCTTATTTCGATAAGATCAAAGTCATTAGGAAAAGGAGTACCACCATGAATAACGATCCGCCCGAAACGCCCAGGAGAAACCAGGAAATGGCCATATTTGTGTCGCCGCTTAGGAATCGTTTCATGGAGGAAATTGCGGAAGAAACGTCGAATTCGCCGAATACGAAGACCGAGGAGTCGCAAGTCGTAGAGGCAACAGTTCACGAAACGCCTCAGAAAACGGACAAACAGCCCCCAAAAACTACGAAAAACAAGATTCCACAGGCTTCGAAAACGAAGAAAAGTTCAAATTTGAAATCAAAAACAGCAAACCCTCCAAAAGTCGTGTTGTTCGAGCCGGCACCCGAAAAATTGCCGGACAATTCCACGTACATTTGAAATCGTGCTACAAAACGTAAATTTCAAGAAACGTTTGAGAAGCAACGAATCCATTGGAAACATTTACCATTTAGTTCTATTGTTCTATATTGCCCGATGATCCGCTAATAAATTTCAAGCGTTAGGAATACTAACCTAGTACTTTATTAGTATTTAACATTATTTATACTCGAAAAAGACTGAACGCGTTCCTTATTTCGAGACCTAGTAAAACGTATGAATTCTAGATAAATCGTTTGAACAATGTTCTTGACATTCATGTGTTGGCCGTGTGTAAATATTTAAATATACTTTACGTTTATAAGATTTAATAGTTGACTAGTAAGAATTCCCCTTTCACTTACCATGACCCCATGCTCGGTGTAAAAGTCTGCGGTTCCCATGCTCGCGTACAATTTGTATCCCATTTTGCAAAGACTGCGAATAGACGGTAGCAATTCCATTTTATGCTGAAATCGGAATACATAAAATAGGAGGATCGTTCGATCGATGATATCGAAAACGTTGAACGGTGAAAATCTTACTTTGAAACTTCCCACCGAAAGCAGGATTCCTTTCTGCGGTATGTGAAAACCGGTGCTCATCATTCCCTTCAAGTAAGCTTCGTACCGATTATCCCCGAAACAAGCGACTTCTCCCGTTGAAACCATCTCTACGCCTAGCATAACGTCAGCACCTGCATACGTTTCCCAGAAAAATTGCGAATTTGTTATTTTTAGCGCTCGGTATTAGAAATTGCTCAATATTTTACAGACTTGGTAAATTATTACCAGCAAGCATATTTAATTATAACGTTTTATAAATAGGGTGTTAAAACAAGGAAAAAAATCTTAATAAACGTGGGTCCAAATATCATTAGTTCTGAGATACAAGATGTTTTCAACTACTTATCGAGTAAGTCGCTAAGTCAAAATAAATACAATATGAATCGATATAACGTAGTTGTACCGATGTCATTAATTCCTTGATTTTCCTTTCCATTGACTCTTACCAGCAAGACGCGAGAAGGAAAATTGCGGGACTTTAACACCGACTTTGCCACAACCAGCGAGGATGTCGACAGGATCGACGGGCTCTCCAACGATCAATCGCGTGGCCATAGCCACGAAATCGTGATCCAACGTTTTCGAAACGAAAGGAAACGATCTTGATACCCGGACGTTGCATTCGATCACTTTCAGCTCATTGTCCTGTCGAAATCAAAGCGATCGAGGGATAATACCAGTCGGTTTATTGATTTTTGTACGAAATCTGTTTTAGGAGTTATTATCATGGACAAAAATTTGAATAAAATTAAATTAAAATAAAATGGGCGTAAAAATGTACGAAACACTGTTATCGTTGACAATTATTTTTGGGCATTCTTTATAGCTGTGTGCAGTACCTTGGCGATTAGTTGCATGTTGAAAGGACCCGTTACGCAGAGGGACGCGGCAACGGCTTTCGATATGATTTTTATTTTCGTCAAGGTTTCGGCATTGATGTCCTGCGGCGGAGTAACTAGAGTGGCGTCGCCGGAATGGACACCGGCATTTTCAACGTGTTCCGAAACCGCCATGCAAAGTATAACGCCATCGTAGGCAACCGCATCCACGTCTATTTCCTTCGCCTCGAGAATAAACTTCGATATAACCACAGGGTGTTCTTTGTTCACCTTGCTGGCGCTCTTTAAATAGGACTCGAGATCCTGGTGTGAGTGAGCCACGTTCATCGCGGCGCCGCTCAACACGTAAGAAGGACGGACCAAACAGGGATAACCGACTTCCTCGCAGAACTCGATGGCAGACTTCAAATTTGTCAGTTCTTTCCACCTAATATTATTGATTACATTATGGTTGATCTCACTGGCGCTTAAGAGACAAGAGTGTTAATGGAAGTTGAGCATCAGACTTTATTAAGTTTTTAACTTGCCTAGGCTGTGAAATTCCAATACCGTCTAACATGCGTGAAAACTTGAAACGATTTTCAGCACCGTCCACGGACTCTGGCGACGTCCCGAGTATCCTGGCCTGCTGTCTGTGAAGATCCATAGCGATGTTGTTCGGTAATTGCCCGCCCATGGATAGGATGATACCTTCCGGACATTCGTGGTTGTAAATACCCATCACAACTTCGAAGGAGATCTCCTCGAAATATAATCGATCGCATATGTCGTAATCGGTGCTGACCGTTTCCGGATTGTAATTGACCATGATGGTCTTCTTTCCTAAATTTCGTAATTCGCGCAGACAACTCACGGCGCACCAATCGAATTCCACTGAACTGCCAATACGATACACGCCGGAACCTGCAAAGTTGCGACTTCCAGGTAGAAGAAAATTAAACATAACTTAAATATTTGTTTCTGGTAATAATAATACTACACATGGACACTCGTGAATAATATAATTGCAGTGTGTGTGTAATAGAATAGTACTTCTATACCTAACAGCGATTTAAATTAATGACGTACCGATTACCATCATGTATCCACCAGGAAATTCCACGTCGTGCGTAGTACCGTTGTAAGTTAAATAAAGATAATTGGTCATGGCTGGCCACTCTGCAGCCACCGTGTCTATTTGCTTCACCCATGGCCATATGTTTCTCTCCTGTCTCTGTATCCAAATCGCCAGCTCCGAGCTTTTAACCACCGCGGCGATTTGTTTGTCCGAGAATCCGATTTGCTTCGCCCGCAGCAAAAGGTCGTGCGACAATTTCGTGAGGTCATTGGACTCCAACAGAGTGTAATAATCGATAATGTTCTTCATCTTGTGCAGAAACCAACGATCGATCTTCGTCAAATCGTACAATCGATCGATCGTGTAGCCAGCCTTCATAGAAGCTGCAAGGACGAACATCCTCTTGTCAGTCGGTTTTTCCAATTCCTCGTCATTAGGAGCTTTCACGTAAGGATCGAAACCGTTAGTATTCTCGTCGACCATTCTCAGAGCTTTCTGAAAAGCTTCTTCGAATTTGCGACCGATCGCCATCGCTTCCCCTACGCTCTTCATAGAACTACCAATCTGGAATCAACGAGAACATAAGCCTATTTTGCGCCTGTCTCGTCCATGTCCGTAACTCAGTATTTACCACATTCATCAAAACATTCGTTGTATTATCAACAACAACAAAGATATTTAAGATGCTCGAGTTAAGTATTTACATTACCTTTGTGCTGACTCGGTGAAATTTGCCGAGATCCCATCTTGGTATTTTGACGACACAATAATCGAGGCTAGGTTCGAAGCATGCCGTGGTTTTCCCGGTGACGGAATTAGTGATGTCTGGCAACGGAATACCAAGAGCTAACTTAGCAGCCACGTAAGCCAGCGGATATCCGGTTGCTTTGCTGGCTAGGGCCGAACTTCGGGACAATCGTGCGTTCACTTCGATGATGTAGTATTCTTCGGAGTTCGGGTTCAGCGCGTACTGGATATTGCATTCGCCGATGATACCGAAATGCCTGATGACGTTGGTAGCCGTCGTTCGAAGCATATTATACTCCTTGTTGGACAAAGTTTGACTCGGAGCAACGACGATCGATTCACCGGTATGGATGCCGAGGGGATCGACATTCTCCATGTTGCAGACCGTGATGCAGTTGTTGTACGCGTCACGGACGACCTCGTACTCGACTTCCTTCCAACCCTTCAACGACTTATCGATGATCAGTTGGTTCGAATGAGAGAAAGCTTGCAGCGCCAGAATCTTCAATTCTTCCTCTGTATTCGCGAACCCGGACCCCAGACCTCCAAGGGAGAATGCTGCTCTAGCCATGACGGGATAACCCAATATCTTGGCTGCGTCTAATGCCTGTAAACGGTTTGTAGATTAAATTCTGGTACCTGTGACACGTGACTGTTACTTTGGGAGTTATTTAAATTTAGTTTTCTTTTCGTTTCACCTCTTGAATAGAGAACACCCCGGCACTTGGTGCAACCTTCTCGTTGATCTCACTGATCTTCTCCGTAAAGATCTTCCTGTCTTCGGTTTCTATGATCGACTGTATAGGCGTTCCCAAGATTTTCACGTTATACTTTTCGAACACTCCATTCCTTTCTAACTCGATGCCGCAGTTGAGGGCAGTCTGACCGCCGAACGTCAAAAGTACGCCATCGGGACGCTCCGATTGTATTACCTGGAACGGAAACCGTGCAAAAATACCGGTTTTTATCCCAAAAGGAACACGAAGTTCAATTGGTCAGAACTTTAACCTGTTAGATGGACCTCATACGACTGAACATGGCTTAGAAAGGCATTTATCTTACAGGAAAATGTGGACAACGTCGAGTCATTTTTGTTCAGTTCTAAGCCTTTACGAAAACTGAGTAAAACGTTTGATCTAATAGAACTCGAAACTCCTTCGAGGAATAATCTTTCCTTCTCCAATTTATACCTGCTCCACGTATGTTGGTATAATCGGCAAGAAATAGACTTTGTCGGCCATGCCCTTGGACGTTTGAACGGTAGCGATATTGGGATTGATGAGGAGAGTTTGTATGCATTCTTCTCGCAGCGCTTTGATAGCTTGCGATCCAGAGTAATCGAACTCGCCCGCCTGACCAATACTGAGACCGCCCGATCCCAAAATCAGCACCTTCTTCGGTCGAACAGCGATACCAGGGTTATCAACGTGGAAAGTCAACCTTTGGTTCAGCCTCTCCTTGATAGACATACTCGGTTTCTCATTTACACTCTCCTTCACAGCCTCTAAGAACACGTCGAATAGGCATTCCAAATCTTCAGGGCCGGCATTGTGCTCCGGATGAAACTGAACCGAGAAGTAAGGCATGCTCGAGTGCACGACGCCTTCGTTGCTGTTATCATTGGTGTTGGTGAATAGAGGTTCCCAATCGGCTGGCAACTGACTAGCATCGACCGCAAATCCATGATTTTGCGATGTCATGAAACAACGTTTGGTCCCGTGATGAGTGACAGGTAAATTGTGACCTCGGTTACCGTACCTGTAAACAAATTTATGCAAAACTTAATGTCGCGGAAACACGAGGGCAATGCCGCTTTGCACTTGACAATGTATCGTTGAAGCAACAAGTGGCAAGGTACGTACTTCATCTTATATGTAACGCAACCGGCTGCGATGCAAAGCAACTGATGGCCAAGACATATGCCGAAAATCGGTTTTGTACTGCGCGAATTGAGACAACTGCGAATATTGTTCACCGTCGCTTTGCACATGCTAGGATCCCCTGGTCCATTGCTGAGAAATAAACCGTCGTACTCGATCTTGTTAAAGTCGAAATTCCACGGAACGACGTCCACGCGAGCACCTCGGCGAATCAAGCACCTCAATTGGTTGTACTTCAAACCACAATTCACCACGCATATACGAGGATGACCATCGGCATTTAACGTTTTCTTGGACTGAAATTTAATGTTTTAACATCAGGTTTTCTGAGCAAGAAACCAGTTCCCGCAGAGAAGAAACAATTCAAGGTACAGTATTGTCTCTCTATAGCCGCGCGTGTCGGGACCGGGCGCACGCAACTTGAGAGACGAGTAGTCTATTCGGCTTTCTTTGATTTCACGCTCGAGCGTTCAAGGGGGATGGGGCTCGTCGACTTTTCTTCGGCTTTCTCTTTGATATTCGATACCCGATGTCGCGGCGCGGTGATTACAAACGAAGTAGTGGGGATAGCTTCGCGTCTATAGAGAATCCGAAAACGCGCGGCTATAGAGAGACAATACTGTATCTCAATATGTGAAAAAGTTTTCTAAGCTAATTTGTGTTCGACTTTTTAGCTTTTTAAGTCTTTCCGCTTCTGATTTTTTCGATTTTAACCTTATAACGTGGCGCATAGAACGATATGATAGGAAAGAAACAATAATGTAATCCAAATTAAACATGAATATTTACAACAGTGGTTTTCTAAGAATGAAAAAAGTACGAAGAAAATTTTTACGCCAGAGATAAACGTAAATTAAAATGATATAAGACAAATATACTTTAATAGTTGTTATACTTTGATAAATAATATATTATTATACAAAATTATACCATCCCATTTTTAGAAAATATTGCGGTGGAGCGTTAATCACGTCAAATTATGTCATAACGCACCTTAGAAACTTGCTCCACGAGATTCAACTCGTTAGAATTCGCAATACTAATAGGGGAGAGTCTCCCTGTCAAGAGCTGTGGCGTTTCACTCGCCACGAGTCTGGCCGATATATTGCCCTTTTCGCGAATAATTTTCGTTAAAGCTCTAGTATCTACTTCGCATATGCCAGGAATTTTCTGTGCTTTCATCCATTCGGATAGTGTTTTCGTTCTCCGCCAATGACTCGGAGTTTCGCATATTTCACCGACCACCAGGCCCGCGGCCCAAATCCGATGCGATTCAAACCAGCTGTAAGAAATAGACGATAATATTACGACAATGTAATACATTCGTGACGATTTAGAGTAATATTGTGAAAATTTAAGGCCTTATTACGGGATGCCTCTGTCTAATTTAATCTTTTTCTTTCATACGTATGTACGTTATTCAATAAAACATTATGTATAAGTTCTATATTCTCATACAATATCTGATTAAATTTTGAGCAAAATTGATTCATGTTTAATGATACCTTCTATAGTTCTTCAATTTTAAATCTTGAATAGAACTCAATTTTACGTACAAAAAGTTAAATGAACATTTCCTAATAAGGAAAGAATTAAATGAAATCTTATATTATCAAAATAATGTATTTGGTATATCTCTGAAAATATTGTTGTTTATAGAGCTATTACTTTCAATTAAAATAGCATTAAAGCAACGTGACAGAAAATATTGTAACGTAATCATCACGGTTAATTTTTTCGAAAATGCAGTTTGAGAAACACTGTCTGAATGATTTGTTAAACATGTGCGATCATTCGGCGACACCTATTCTCGAACAAACAGTAGCAACACATTTATCAATTGCATGACAGTGCCAAATATTTATAAAACTGATTACATTAATCTAGAGACGACATATAGATAAAGTCGGTAAAAAATTCGATCGAACATTTAATTCGTTTCTTCGATCGTCGCGCGAATCGCAACTGTTTATTTCTAGATTACTAGGCGTACGTTTTTAAATCTTACTATGAGATATGGTTTTCGTCTTTCTCGTCGTGGAACACGCCATAATTTCCGATCAGCGGATACGTGAGCACTAGAATTTGAGTGTGGTAGGAAGGATCTGTAAGCGACTCCGTGTAACCCACCATACCGGTCTGGAACACTGAAAAAAATGTATCGCTGGAAACAGAGCCTATTTGTTACGTATAGATATAATGCCCGTTCGAACTCTAACGTAACTTTCGAAACATTGGTGTACACAAAAGTTACCTTGCTCCGAATCTACTCCCGAATCTGCTCCGAAATGGAGAGTTACCTTATTAAAAGTCTATCGACGACTCAATTTTCATCTAACCAGTCGTAAATCGATAAATATATCAAAATGATTGCAAATCAAAATTATATCGTACTTTTCTCAACTTGATTGCGTTAAATACCAAAACGGAGCAGACTGGTCTATGAACTTTATTATTATTCCTATATAGGAATCATTTCTATATTTCTATATATATATTAATATTATTCCTATATTATACTATATAGCATATTATTCCTAGAGCAATACATAATTCTACAAAGGTATTTTTACAAAAGGTCAAGAAACTTTCTACAGGCTTTGAATTCGAGCGTTTATCTTCGGTACAAAGATAACTAACACGACAGAAGTAAATGCAACTGTCAATGGCTCGTATATGCAAATCTTCGTATTAACGTGCAGAGTTACCCCATGATTGGCATACTTGACCGCCGGCATTCGGTAACGATGCTCCAAACAAGTCTCGTAATCAACACTAATCGGCGGTAAGTGTATGTACATTAAACCCACGTGGTCGGTCGAACTGAATAAACTTCCATGTTATTTACATTTCCCGTATGTATGTAGACGCGTGGTCATGCGGAAGCCACGAATCGTTAATATCGTTGCGAGCAGTACGGCCATTGACTTCTCGAACAACGATACTCCTGGTCGTTGTACGACAATGTTGGAATTAAATGCATTGATTGGGAAGAGCACACTGATCGACTTGTGGGAAAAGCTCTACATGTGCTCGTCTGTCCGCCAGTGGCGCAAAGAGCGGAACACGTGCTCCTCGATACACTTACCGAGTTCTCCTTCGACGGAAACTGGAGCACCAAACAGTTTTCCTGGAATAACGGTGCCATCCTCAAACCAGAGGAAGCCCATTTTACAAGTATCGTGAAAGACAAATATCGTCTATTTTCTTAGAAATGCAAGGTGGTCACCGATACGAGCACACCCTCGACCCGGCAGACACTGTAGCACCGTAAGCCGGGAACACACCTAATACAACATTCGACTACTGCGATCGCGCAGAACTGCTCGTAGCGCCACGAAACTTCAGTTCCAGTCGATAGGTACGCCGTTACTCAACGCTTTCAATGGAACAGTTCAGTACAGGTCACGTGGTTAATATCAGCTAGACATATTGACTTTTCCTTCGGCTAAACCAATCAGTGAACACGCGCCATCTTGCATGACACCCAGTTTGAATTTCAATCTACCGTTTCGAATGCAGAGTTGGGCAAAGTTTTATTCGAATAACGGCTAACCCATCAAAATTTATACATTAATTATCCGTTATCGGACAGCTTTATGTAAAAAGGTGGTGAATAGCTGTGCAGCTAGAAACAAAAATATTTCTCAGTTTGTCTCACAGCTCCTCTCTACTCGCATTTGTTCTCATCACTTCACTATAACCGTTGTTGTATTTCTAAGAAATGGCACCCTGTGCACGTACGTGCTGCAAGAAAAGAGATTTTCTGCGATTGTTGACTTTACCGATTTCAGTAGATCAGTTAACTATAGTTCCCAAGATCACCGTTTTTTAAGATCATCGGTATTTTAATTCGTTTGATACCAACAGCTCGCATGTCGCCGCCATGACCGACCGCGGAAAAGGTAGAGATGGCGATACCAAAGGCAAGAGATGCAAGCAGATGTTGCATCACAGACGAGGTATACGAGTAGACCTTTTACCCAATGTATTTTTTCGAGCCATTTTTCTGGGGTTCTAGAGCCCCATGCCATTTTCGTGACACTCGCAACAGTATCAACAGATTTAGAAATCAAAATCACCTCCGAATTTTTCGCTCGGTATGGCAATTGTTCGAACTGATGTACAAAAAGAGACGTATTAACAAAAATTAACGAATAGAAAATGAGTAATACTACAGATACGGAGGTTATACATATGTGTATTGATAAATCTAAAAATCGATTCATAACAGTGTTACCAGGCGGCAGACCGGTGCCCAGGGTAAGTTTACCCCTCCATTTACGCACACCAATCCACAACCATGTGTACTTGAGCTTAGGCGCTTTGGACAGCTTCGGGAATTCAAGAAAGAAGGCCAATGTGAGTCTTTCTTTCTTGCTTTCGAAACAGTTGAAATCCGATTTGTGTCAACCTGCATACGATTTTGAGTCTCAACCCATGTATACCTAATACACATAAACGAGGTAAAGAATAGACCTATCGTTAGTGAGATGAACGCTATCGCTGTACCACGAGTGTCTTATAACATGAAATACACTCTTCCAAAGTGGAACAAAATGTTAAAAAGATCATGTATCAAATTGTAAGGGGATCCTCGTAAGAAGGCTTTAATCTTCGTAATGGTTTTAATGGATCGATGATCAACAATGACTAGCTTATGGTCACTGGTGGTCAACAGTGAGGTTGACATTAAGATCAGCGGTCCAGTGAAGATCCAGAAATGGTCAAGAGGTGGGACCTATCGAAATAGTTTCTTTGTAGACAAGACAGTCTTACCTGTTAACTTTAACTTTGGCTCTGATTAGTCTCCCCACCCTTTCATCACCTTAGACAGATAAGCAGGGTCACTGCGAAGAATTCTTCAGTCTCGTCGCGAATTCGGGAGTGTACAAATGGCCAGAAGAGTACCGGGTACCGCTGCTGACCTCTGCCGGCCGCTGCTGACCACTACTGGCCAGCGCTGACCATGGCTGACCAATACTGACCAATACTGACCAGTTCTGAGTAGTGCTCCTACCACTACTGACCACTACTGACCAGTGCCGGACGGTGATGACCAACGGTAAGAACTGTTTAAAAATTCTCTCCCCTCTTCTATTCTATCGTTTGATGCCAATTTCGCTTCAATGAACTGACTTTGCCTTGCTTGTCTAACTGATGTTGCTATAATATGAATATTTTCTTACTTTACAGCTGGCCCAGTGGTAACTACCCTATGTACTGACAACAAGTAGTAAGTCCATTCCACTTATTTATATTTTATTATTTTTATTTGTTTGTTTGATGTGAATCAACTTTATTTATCTATCTGATTTTAATTGGTTATTATGAATGTTCCTTTTCTCTGTTTCTACTTTTACATTGTTTTTCGAATTTATGTGACTGCTTTGATATGTATAATATTGCAGGATATAATAATATAATATTGTTTTCAATCACATACTATATTTGTTTCTATACAATTTCATCAATTTTTATTTTTACGTTCTTGCTCAAATTCTCGTAATATTCTACGGAGGTACTTTGGTTGAGTAGTTTGGTTGGGTACTTTGGGAGGTATTTCGTTTGATTGTTTGGTGTCGATTCAACTTGGTGTCTCGATCCCAGTTCCTTTCATTATTACGAATGTTCGTTTTCATACCATATTTGTTTCGATGACTCTGATCAATATAAGAATGTTCGTTTTCATACGAATAACATTGTGTCGATGCATATATCATATTTGTTTCGATGACACTGATTGATATAAGATAGGTGATACATCATTTTTAAGTGTCTATTAAATTTCCTACCATATCTTACTAATATAAATATGAGTTTTGATTTCAGTTTAAATTTGGATCAATTGCAAGGGCATCGAGGGAGAATGCCTCAACCGCCGAGGGACTTTTAATTCCAAGTTGATTAGTCTTAAGCTTCGTCGCGAGTATTAAAATTAACGTCGAAGCCTTCTTTATTATACGTATCTCCGCGTCCTACCAAGCAATTATTCAATAAGTAGCTTGTCTCTCGCTCGTTCCCTCGTTCCTAGCTTCGGTCACCGCTGTTTCATCGATTGAAACATGTGATCGGCCGTGTAGCTGATCCGAAAGATCTAATCGCCTTCCCTTTGGTAGCTCGATCGAGGGAAAATGGTACTTTGCTGGAAGGTGTGGAGTTTCCGTATTCTGCGGAAACGCACACCTTCCAGCGAAAGTCGACACTGTTTCAAGTACTCTCTCTATGTCAGACAACTTGAGTCGGGTCCTTCGGGCTCCCGGCGGGTTGCGTTGGAGAAATGGAGACCTTCGATTCGGAGTCGCAGATAACGTCCGTTATCCTATAGAGATCTAGTTAGCAAGGGCAGTAGGTTCGATCCTCGGATCCGCTGCACGGTTCAGCGTCGCGTCGCGTCGCTTCGCGTGCCCCTCAAATTAACTTCGTCCCTCTTTTTAACCAAATAATTGCTTGGTGCAACTGAACCAGAACATCCAAGGAACTTTGTTTCCTTCTATCGTCCGAATTTTAGTTTTAACTTGACTAGACTTGAGCTTCGACGTTAATTTTAAGTCTCTCTTGTATGCGTCTCCCAAAATTGCCAAGTAATTATTTAACAAGTAGCTTCTCTCGACTCGTTCTCTGGTTCCTAGCTTCGATCACCACTGTTTCATCGATTGAAACATGTGATCGGCCGTCCAGTTTGTCCGAATGATCTAGTCGCCTGCCCATGATAGATCAATTTCTAGAAATAGAAATCAATCTACCAAGGACAGTGTTGATTCGATCCGAAGATCTGCCGCACGGTTCAGCATCGCGTCGCGTCGCGTATTCCATAATTTATCTTCACCCCTTTTTAAACAAAATAATTGCTTGGCAAAATTAAACTAGACTTAAGCGTCGACGACTCCCTTGTATGCGTCTACGTATGTGCCAAGTAATTCTTTACCACCTAGCTTCTCGTTCACCCGTTCTCTCGTTTCTTGTTCCGGTCACCACTGCTTTAATGTAGAAAGCAAGTGATAGGCCGTTTAGCTGGTCCGAAGGGTCAGTTGCCGTCCTCTGGCGAGACGATCCAAGGGAAAGAGTATTTCGGCCACAGAGGGGAACAGATACTGTTTCTGTCTACGGTAGCCCCGACACACGCTCCCTCTTTCTGTTAGACGTCCCGAGTTGGGTCCAGCTGGCTACCAACAGGATGCGTGAGAGAAAGGGGGAACCTCTGTGTCGGGTGCGTCGATTCGCTTTCCCTTCGATCGGGCTTGCCAAGAGGCAACGGAGTTGATCCTTTTGGCCAGTTACTCGGTTCGTGTCGCGTATCTCGTTCCTTGCGTCGATCACTGCTGATCGACATCGCGTCGTATCGCGTCGCGTCTCCCTCGATTTACCTTCACCCCTTTTTAAACGAAATAATTACTTGGTACAACTAACCTAGAAGATCGAAGGAACATTGCTTCCTTCTATCTCTCTAGTTTAGTAATCTAGCTTGTAAGAATGTAAAAGTGAGATCGATGGAACTTTGATTCTATTCATCTCTCTTCGGGTCTTCACTCGCAGCAACCTCCACGTGGTGAGACCTGGTAATCGGTGTTACACACGATAGAAAGTTCTTCTTCGTGGGTGACACCGAGCTAATGGCTGCGAATTTAGAACTGTTTCCTAAGATATAAGAGAAAATTATACTGCCTAAAGTTTTGTAAAATTTGAGAGTGTACAGGCCTTGAATTCTGACACTTCGATATGTTTCCTTGTCAGTAACATGAACTCGTTCTTTGTCTTAGTGGCTATTGTCAGAGTGAATCATTTGCAAGTTATGTATGTACAATCTCGTGTATCAAATGGTATGCATTCACCAATTATAAACTCACTATTTTTTGTTTATATTATTTCGATTCTACTTATTAAAATTATTCTTCAATTCTTTCCACATTTTATTCAAAGCTGAAAGAAAAACGAATACAATTTACTCTGAGCATATTCGGTAAATTTATTTAAGTAGTACTCTAACAAGAAAGTATCAAAATATTTTTAAATAAACATATACTTTCTTGCATTGGTATGGACGTATCTCTATTTTTGATACACAATTGCACATAAGATGTAATGTGGAAACTCTGGGTAAAAATAGTTGCAACTTATTTTTAATAGAAATGCAAATGCCTCAAATAAGGTATACCTCGTCTGTGGCGAAAGGTCTGCTCGTATACCTCGTCTGTGCTTGCATTCCACCGCCGTGACCGACCGCGGGAAAGGTAGGTATCGATATATATCAATGTCCAGAAAATCGATGCATATGATACCGGAAATAAAATACATCGATATTAATAATATCGCGACAATGCTAAATCTTAGTTTGCAATGTAAAAACTTTCTTGAGACTTAATCGTCTCGATCAATCGCTACAGATCTGGTCACTGGAACCGTATCTTCTTATTATTAATATTATTATTATGATCATCATTTGCTTTGAGTAAACCGTGTGCAAAAGGGGAGATCTCGTTACGTGCTTCGATAAAAAGCACACGCACCGAGTTCACACTCTGCAAAGCCGAGTTTTCCCATACCGGGGAACGAAGTTTTCCAAGAACGTCGGTTTTCTTTTCATCCTATAAATAGATGGGCATTAATAGCGGCCAGGTGACGCGATGATTCACCATCAAGATTTTCTATCGAGACACAAAAGCCAGCCGCTAGTCCCATTCTAATCCGTGCGTCGGTTAAATCTAATATTTGCACGATTTTTCATTCTGGGTGCCATCAGAAACAGATCCATAACTTTATCGACTAACGCGAGAAATATAATTGGTCGTGCTCAACTCAGTCGTCGTTGCATAATTTGTGTCCACGAAGCAGTTGCGTAACGTTGAACTATTCAAACGACGCACCCTGTCGGCTTACGTCGATTAAAATCACGATCAAAAACACAACGATCGAGAAAAATGAAAAGAGAAATTGTAATCGTCGATCCAACATATGCAAAATCGGTTTCAAAAGTGGCGTAGAACCTTCATTGTACGAACTAATAGAGAGACACGATTGTTCGATCGAGGACATTACCAAATAATCAAATATCAATTCTCCTAAGATTTGTCATTTTTCGATATCAAGAAATAAGAAATCATAATTTCTTTTTTCTTCGTTCTTGACGCCACAACCTAGAGGCTCGAAACAATTCAAACTGTTGTACAAAAGTTCTGACTGAAATGAGATTCTCGAGATTCTCGGCATTCTCGAGTAACGACATTATTTTCGAAATTTCAACTCGTCTCGATTCGAATTGTTATCTCGTTCCAAACATCGTGATCTCAATATTTCCGATACCTCGCTCGTCTCTAATAAATAATAGCGAGGAAACTTTACAATAATATTGCCAGTTTTTTGTAGAAAGTTCTTGCGTGTCGACGACGTTGGGAATCGGTCGATTACGATGATTTTAGGGCAGGACAATTTTTTGCACGACAGAATAGCAAGCCGTTGCTTAATTTACGATGGCGAACGAAGAATTTTTGGTTGGTCAAGGGCGATCCAGGCAATCGGCATGTACAAATTCGCAAAAGTAGCGCAGACAAAGATGGAATCGCAGCAGCCTGTAATTAGAGGTAATGCGCCGCTTTTGTCGGCGGCCGTTTAATGTTCGCGCGCGACTACTGTTGCTTTTTTTCTCTCGACTTGCAACGTCGAACCATCGATTCGCGCCCCGGCTTACGCGCTAATTAACGAATTATCATTGGAAAGCGCGGTCGCGCGGATTTATTTAGTCGCAATAGTCGCGAACGACGTATCACGGCCGTTAATGTAACAATTTCTAATAAAATTTGGATTACTTGTCGAATTATTCTGTATTCGAGTATCCAATCGTTTCAGTTATTCAAGTACAGACCTGAGAATTTTGTCGTTATGTTCTTTACTTACACGTAGATTATTGCAATTAGATATTAACCCTAACCACGGTGGAAAATTAAAAAGGTTAAAAGTAAGGATTACATGACTGATGAAACAATACGACTGGGGCCCTTGATCGACTCCCCATGATCGTCCAAGGGATAAATAAATAAATGAAAGCGTCGGTTCGTTGCTTCGCTAAAACTTGGAAACCTTCTGTGACGGAAACCTCGAGGATCCGAGGAACGAAAGAACACGTCAAATGCGAACGATTTCCTGATACAGGATCGCCTAGGACATAACCGCGCGAACGACAAGATTTTTACCTCGGACACCTCGAGGCCGATAGGTACTCGGAGTAAGATTTAACGAGGGCCTCTCGAGGCTTTCGGAGAGGAAAACGGATTAACGATAGCCCGAGATAAATGTCGTGAAACCTTTTCGAACGCAGAACTTGGAAATTCTGGCAATGTACCGAGGCAGCAGACATTAATCGGTTGCCAAATATGGCCGTCTGTCGGTTATTAGACACGAGCCGGTCGTTCCTATTGTGTCTAATTCTTGGATCGTAAATCGTAGAGAACTTGCACGTGCATGCTGTGCACGTCGTGCATTACGAGCAACCAGTGCACACATCATACCGTCCTTTATGGTAGTCGGTAATTTGCATTCTCCGCGGATACTAGCGCATGTCTCCTTCGTTGTGTAAATAATGCCTGGTTGCCACGTTCGCGGATCTAACAAGTTTAAGTACGCCGCGCGGTGTCCCAGTACCGTTTGCCCGATCATTGTTCTTGGGCGTTGATTAAAAACGAAAGCTCGTTGCGAGATAAATGGAGACGCGCGGCCAAGTATCAACCCTCTCGATTATATCGCGAAAAAACCCTCAACCCCTAGCAAAAGGTTTACAACGCTACGTTCTACAAAACTCTTTGGCTGAAAACGAAATTTCTCTTCGAACGCCTACCATTCCTATAAAAAAAAACGCATTTTGTTTTGCGTTTAAGTTTACGTTACTTATGCTGCGAGTATACAGACGTTTAAATATATTTTTCATTAATATTATTTGTCCACAAATAATTATTAAACTATGCTTAAAGTGGTTTCACCCCTTAAACGATCATTACGATGATCAGGAGCTTGCTTTAATCGATAAGCTTCACGATTTTCATCGTTGCACGAATACAATTATTCATGCTGTTCCATAACAGTTCTAGATATTTCTAGTAAGTCTGCAAACGCTGATACATAGGGTAATGGGTGTGAACTCGGTGTATTTCCACGTGCAAAAGTATGCAACACGTGGCGCAGAACGTACTCGAGACGCCATGTTTGCGCACGCGCGCTCTTTGAATAACACACTCTCGAAGCTGTCGCGGATGTGGGCTGAGAAAGAGTCCGCGATCTTCGACACCGTTAATTTTCATTTTTCCGCGATGAAAGTGAGACGTTCCGGCTTGATTGCCGCGAACGAGTCAGACGCATCCAGTCGAGGACGTTGCCGCAAATAACGAGCCATCAAAGTCGACAGTGACGCGCGGCTTGAATTTATTGCACCTGCCGGCAGATCTATAAACAGAAATCATTAAGCGCCGTGGCGACGTTGCGTTGCGCACGGGAACGTCGAATTGACGTCGGATAATTGATTTCGAACGGCGCGAGAGAAGAGAGACGGCCTCGCGTTCGCGCTCGCCGGTTTAGTCCGTAAATGGCGGCTTTTCCATGAGATCGCTGATCGATTTGACTGCGAGCTCGAATTTGCCTTCGATGCTTGATCGAAAAATTACGACCAAATATTCTTACCGATAGAGAACTATGTGAGGTACAACGTACGTTTCTCTCTCTGTTTATCTTTCTCGTTGCTGGTTTCATAATATCTGCCGGCAGCCACGAAAGGTTCATGAATAACATTAGCCTCGTCATCAACGCGAAGTCTAGCTTTCTCGTTCGCCGGGACGGACAGCGGACACGTTCAATTCGCGCGCGACGAGAAAAACGTTAAATTGCATTGTGCCAGCCACGGAGGGAATCACGACAAGGAAATCTATCGGTCCGTTCGAGTGACTGACGGCTGCAATTTCTCCGAGTTTCGACGGTTCTAATGGGTCTTGTCCTGCTACGCGATCTAATCGAGAAGCGCGATCGAATATATTCTTTCTCGCGTCGAAGGTGAACGTCACGGGGTGCCGCAACAAAAAGACCGTACGCGAATTTGTCATTGAAAGTAGACGAGCGGCGAATCAGCGAGCAATTATCCTTGGCACGATCGAGCGCGAACACGTCGTTGCTAATTGTCGGTACTAATTGCTTGTCACCACTCTCACGCCGTGTCTCGGTGTCGCGGAGATTCGCGCGTACGTTTTCATTGCGACAACGAATGCTGTCAGGGATACGGTCTCACGAACGCGAGAATTACTATCGAGGAGACGTATACGCTGCGGAAATATTATTTCCTTGATCACCCAAAGTCCATAAAAAGCGGCGCTGGTCGGGTCAATGTGACCCGAATGGTGCTCGAACGTCGCATTAAACGCTCGTGACAATGAGCCGCGATCTAGGAAATATGAAGGAGCGCGAACGGCTGCTCCGTGCTCGGTTGGAATCGAGATCGACACCTCGACTCGTTTCCACGAAGCGATATAATCGAACATGGAAATCTCGAAGGTAAGACCCCCACGCGTTCATTAACATATTAACGCTTTTACAGTCGGCGCTTATTCCCCGTTTTACTGCCGCCGTCCGAGCCCTGAAACAAACAACGAAATGTCCATCGATCGCGCAAAATTCAACGACCTCTGCGTCGGACGATTAATTAAACACACAGCGGTTCGAACGCGGGGAAAATTCATTTAATATATAAATGGAAGAACCGGAATTGATAAAAAATGAAATTTAAAATAGGAAATTCAGTTTCGTGCGCTTGAATTCGAAATAATAGAAGGAATCCCCTACCCTGTGGAACAGAAAATAATACCTTAGACACCGACGGGGCGACGCTGTTGATATTTTTTGGGCACAAAATCTTCCGAGCCACGCCGCATCCAGTGTACAGAGATCAATGGATCCCCCCCGGTTGTAAGGAATGGAAACGTTCAACTTCTACGAATCACGTCCGAGGCTCGTGCTAAGGATCGTTACTGTAAAAGCAGCAGCAACAACAACGACAACGGAGCTCGTGTGTCCACTCGCGAAGGAAAGAGTGGGACCAAGAGCGCCGAGGTCCGCGAGGGAGTTCGCTGGCTGCTGTGGCGGGAGGTTGGAGACGATCGACCAAGGAGGACGGTCCAAGGGAAAGAGGAAACGAGACGAACGATAGTCTATGGTCCGGCGACAAGAAAGAAAAGAGGAGCAAGAACTGAAACGAAGCCGAAGCTTGTGGCCAGTTTCAGTCGCGGCGCTCGACCGTCAAGCTCGCCATCCGGCACGTTGGGTACGGCGAGATGCGAAAATCGTCGCCGATATTCTCGACCGAGTGGACAAAACCGGAGTCGACTCTCGCGACGAGCGACGCGTCTGTGTCCTGCTCGATGAACCTCTGACGCGGTCGCGTTCGTTTGGTTTCTCGTGTGGAACGCGAGTTTCGTTCGTCGTTCGTCCAAGTACTGCCAAGTGGATCGTTTCTGGCCGTTGGGAAATCGGGCTCAGGTAACGTCGGGACTCGAGGAGAACGGGCCCCCATTTAATCCTTAGTCGCTCGCCCGACTTCGAGGCGCAAATCATGGTTCCGTGCGCCATATACGATTATTTACGTCGGTGGCGATTTCCAATTTATTTCTTTCGAAACTTTTTTGACATTAATAAACGTGCATCTAGAGGAAAGAACGTGCAATAATATTATTTGATGTCAGAAAACAAAGATGTACGTAGTTAGAAATCGTGCGGCTCCGTCGAAGTAAACGTAGTAGTAGATGAATATGCAAAAAGACTTAACGAGCATAATTTTGTTATTAAACGCTGTTTCCTTGTTCGTACTGACAAAAGAATCCAAAGATGTCGACGGAGAAGACACGGAAGTGATTGTAAATTAAATATAAAGCACCTAAGGGAAAAATGTGTTCCACGAGATGAATGGTTCTAAATAATTTACAAAGCTTCGAAAGAAATAATATATTTCGAAATTTAAATCTGTACTTAAAGAAAAGGAATTTATACTATAAAAGTACAGCACCGCGAGTGACTAAAGGTTAACGAACGTCGTTTCTTGCAGTGCTCGATGCCCAGCTGCATCGTCGAAGCCTGTCTTTCGAACGAGTTCGCCGTCGCGTCGGTTCGTCGTACGCCCTCGTCGGCATGTTCGATCGTGCTCATTGACTACGAAGGAACGAATAGTAACTTCGACAGCATGATTTACCAGCCGAACCACCAGTCGCCGACGATGTCGTCCGCCAGGAAGACGTCACCGCGGCCCCAGCGTCGGAACTTGCAGGCGTCGTCGGGGAAATGCGCGAACGCGAAGGCGAAGCGCGGAAACGACAGAACAGGGAACGAGGACAGGTGCAGAGGAAGGTGCAGAGTGCAGTGGAGCGAGAAACACGTGAAGGAGGGGTTGGTTCTCGTTCAGGAGGCGCAACTCGCCAGGGTGGTGAAAACCGGGCCCATCGCGGAGCACTACGAGATCGACCCAAAGCCGTTCGCCAAGTAAGACCTCGCCAACCATAACTTGACGCGAACGGGATTAACCCTCGAACTGTGTCGTGATCAGTGCTGAACGGTCGAATCTCGATTTCTATGCTATTCGACATTTTTCAAGACCGTAAGGAATAAAACGCTGGAAAGTTTTGAATCTTGAATAGCGACGGACGCTCGAGTCTCACCTTTGAAAGCGATTCCAAGTTTTTTAGGATCATTAAAATTGAAAGCCTGAAACTTTTGAAGACATGAATCTTGAATGTTTAAAATCTCGATGCATTGTGAAAGTCTTGAAAATTAATCTTTATTCCATTTTCTATTTTCCTAAACTTTGTTTACTTATTTCGATAGGAATACCATTAATGTACCTCGGATTAGAATTTAACAGTAGGAATTTTTTATCGCTTGTAATGATGAAGTTGTTTTAAACAAATTCGAAACAACCGAAACGATGACTTAAACTACCCCCATTGTCGTATGGATTACGTCGTATTCAATTTTGAACAAAACCTTAGACATCGAGAGGAAAAAAGTGATCGATTTGGTAAAAAAAACTGTTGTAAAACAGAGTACGGTACATAAATATATTTTTAACAAAATCATTATGAAAAACAGCGAAATATTTGTACGCATGGGATGTCCTATTAATTGTTTGCATAATGGTTTGATTTCCATATAATGAAATTGCGACTGAATACGATTTTCCTGCCACGTCTGTCCATTACTTTCTATTTCTACTTGTACCGGTGCCTAAACCGTATTTTATTGCGTGCTCTATGAATATTCAGAGTCGATTTTTGCAAACAGAAAATTTCGTATGAGAAAAATTTATTGTATATTTCCGACTTAATTTTTAATTATTTTGAAATACTAAACTACTACTATACTATATTATATATTTTTACATAATTAAAATACTTCATCTTCAAAACACTGCTTGGCAATTGACAATGAGACATGTCAACAATAATGATAATACAGCGTAAACGTGCTTGTTTACAAAATGTGCTAGTTCAGACAATAGAAACTTAGCAGAAGTTCCCTAAATCAAACATTGACAAAAATTTCGTTCCGTTAAATGGACTTGAATCGTGAAAAGAAAATCACTACCATTGATGTTCCGCTTTTAATTCTCCATCCATAATCGTATCGATCGTCGATTGAAAATCACGTTAGGCTGGGTTCGAACGACACGGTTTCCGCTATCGGAAATGGAGCGAACGCTTATCCGGTGAACTTTAAATTTGTTTCATATTTATCGGGTATGTTAATGCAACTTTTAATGAGCGGCGTAACCTACTGTCAGCGCGCATTGATAATCCGGCTGGCTGCTCGATATCAACCGCAATTGCCTCTCGTGGCTTTGCATCCTTAATGAAGTGGATTTACTCGACGGCCGCTACAAAGGCGTTCCGTTGATACACGCTGAGGCGCTCACGGATCCGCCTTCTTCTCGGTGTATCTCGTTTTCGGTTTCGCTTCGAATTTGCAGCTTTCAGAGGTTTCCTTTTCTTTCCTCTTGGTAAGCCAGAAACGGTGGGTGCGGGATGCTCGTTAGCGAGCACATTTACGGATCGTTCCCGGAGACGCGAAAGACGAACGAACGTTTCGCGCGGCAAAAACGAGCAAAAGAGTACCGGACGCGTGTGAAACTCGCAGAAGAGCGAAGCGACGAATGTTAATCCCGTGAACGACCACACCGCGTCGACGGTTAATTGCTCGATGTCGTGGGAGCGGCGGGAAGGGGCAGGTAAATTAAAAATGGCCAGGAACGACGTCAATAAATTTTCATAAATTATCTCGCGAGCGCTGCTCAGGCCAAGATTTCAACGCCTGGGAGTCGCGACGGCCGTGCGCTGCACGCGTCTATCGCGCTGTTTAATTCTCTACGATTACATCCGGACTTTATTGATCGTCGATAAAGACGCTGTATTTTTTCTTTTCACTTCTTACTTTTCGATCTATGGGAAAAGAAATTAGTGCAGGAGAGATTGAGGTCAATAGTAACACTTTGACTTCGAAATAACATAAATCAAAAAGTATTTTATAACAACAAGGAACAGATTAACGATGTGGATAAAAGCAACAGAATACTTTATTTGCCTATAATGCAAAGTCTACCTATATTAGATTTGATAAAATTATGTACTCTGATCTATACGAATTTTAAACTGACGAATGGCAGCGAACATGTAAAAACAATAAAAAAACACCAAGGTACAATTAGAAAACTATACTAGGTCGATTTAAATGGATCACTAATACATATGAACTTATTACAATTTAATTTTAGTTTTTGACTTTGTGATATTGACAATATAGATGTAATCGATTATAGAATAATTGCAGAATGTTGTATTGTAATTAAAATGTAATCGTTGTTCTCATATTTGGATCCCGCGCCGGGTAAAAGGGGTTGTGCGCATACGCACAATGTAAGGATCGAGAATCGATACAGCATAATCGTCTGCTAGCGTGTAGTGCGTTCTATTGGTCTGGAGCCGGTAACTGTACGCCAATAAGATCGTTTCGTTAACGCTCCGCGCGGACTTCAAGTCCGAGAATCGATCGCGATCCAGAGGATACATAGAGAATCCGAGAATCTACCGCAGATCTATGAATTTACTTGGTTTACAGCGAACTTTAGCGTTTGAGAATACGGTTCCACGAGCGTTCGTATTCTTTTTAATTCTTCGAATATTCGATTAACATTCTGTAAGAGACTCTATGTATTTTGTTTTGCAGAATGATTTTTCTCCGAGGTAGAAACTGTTTAAATAATTAAAAAAGAACTCGCGTCTGCCGCCGTATATAGCGCGATCTATGGACGGTCTGCGCCCATCCGGTGATTCAGTAAGCGTGATCGCGATTCGGTATCGCGGATAAGCGCGCTTCGGCAGCGCGCGTACCTGGTAATTACTTTTAGAAACGGGCCTTGGATCGACGGCGAATGACGGCGCAAAAATCGCGAGAGGGTGAAGGGCTTGGAAAAACGAGGCTCGCCAGGCCGGTCTCTGAATTGGAAACGATTAAAGTTAATTGCACCCACTATCGGATGCTCGTTACGACTCCCCGGTTATTTCGTTCTTCGCCGATTAAGGAACATCGGTATTGAGGCCCGGTGTACGGGGTATCGTAGGATTTTACGACCTAATACGCCAGTAGGTTCTTTTAATAGAAATAAGACGAAAATTGTATTTAAACATCCACCCATTAATAGGTTTAGAGTTATAACACAAGCATGAAATTTGCTGTTATTGTTTACATAACACAGGGTTAGGTAATAATATATGTGTATAAGTATGTCCATGCTATTTGTTGGATTGACACAAACTGCTAATGCAAAGAATTAATATTACATTTAACGAGGTAGAGATCATTTATCAATTACGTCAATTTTGTGCTGATATTTTGAACATTGAAATCGCACTTTGTGGCAATGTGATCTATACTACACGTAAAGAGTTCTATTAACACTCCATCGACTCTCTGGTAGCTTCAATTTTCAACGTAAAGGCTCGTAAAATTATTTTCTCCTTCCTCAATGAACGTAAATAACAAATTTAAGAACTTACGCTATTTTTTTCGCTATCGTAAAGCACATAAACCTGTGTACATGGTTTCAAATGCTAATGAAATTGCAAAACAAAGAAAAACATAGAACCGCTGGTGTACATCTGGCCTAACGTTAAGTATGCGACGCAAATGCTTGTCGGGCTAGATCGCGATCGCGCGAATCGATCTCTCGTCCCTTGGCGTTTGAGTTTCGATCGTTCGAGAACGCGGTCACTGTGAGAGCTCTCGATGACGAAGAAGTCTGCCACCGCGTGGGACGTTTGCGTAATAAACTCTGGCGCGCGATGCTCGATGGAGGCAGAGGCGCGTAAAAGCGGTCGCTTCGTGAGAGCGTCGGGTACGCGAACAGCCTTCGGAGGCGCCGCGGCGTCGACCTTGTCGAGGAGACGCTTGGAATCATCCGCAACGATCGTAAAAATCAAGCTGACGGCCAACGAAATTTCGCAGCTGCTTTCGTCTTTTATGCATTCGTTCAACTCTCGACAAAGACACGGTCACACGAGCCGAGAAACTTTTGCCGACTGCTTTGTCGCGCATCTCACCGGTCCTTCGCCACGGGTCAATTCATTCGAGGGGATCATCGCGCTGAAAACTAAAATACTCACGAAGATTGGCGTTAAAATTAATAAAAACGGTTACATCGAAAAGTAAAAACTTAGTATACATTTTAACGTACGATTCGTACAAAAAGTTTTAAATAAAAAGAAGTAGAATTATTTTAAGAAGACATACAGTTCCAGGGTTAATAGATGTTGGAAGGTATAAATATACGTATAGTATACGAATAAATAAAATTTTTGACAGCGGACAATGGGCGAAAGTGTATCGCTGCAGGTCTCGATCGACCGGTATCCTTTACGCGGCCAAGTACTCGTCGAGGAACCGATTCAACGCGGAATGCAGCGCCGAGCTGAGACACGAGATCGCTCTGCTCTCTCTCTGTTCGCAATCGCCGCGCGTCATTCGGCTGCACGACGTCTACGAGACGCCCAAGGAGATTATCCTCGTGATGGAATAGTGAGTACCAGAGATCGCGGCTTCCCGGATGCGATTTCGCGAAAGCGGCCACGTGGCTGGCGAAACGAATTCTCGAGCTTGAAATTTTTCAGCGCCCCCGGTGGCGATCTGCAGACGCTCATCGACGGCGATTTGGTACCGCTCGAAGGTGACGTGGTGCACTTTGTCAGGCAGCTAGTAGAAGGACTTGCCTACCTCCACGAGAGAAATATCGCCCATTTGGACATCAAGGTAAGTTCGACCCATAAAAGGTCGACGACGAACTTGTCACGTTTCTCGTATATCCGGATCTCGGGAACCGAGTTCGACCGACGACGTCGCGTCACCGGATAGTTCCGATGATTCCCATCGACGCGCGAAAAGCCAAAAGCTGTCGTTCCGGAGCTTCGCGAAATCCAGGGTGAAGCATCGAGCAGGAATTCGAACATAATCAAGCGTTACCGTCTGGTCGATCCGAGTCCAAAGACTGGCCCGATGCCATTTGCGTTACGCGGCGAATTAACGCTACCTTCTATGTAAGCGAATCCTAGAAATCTCGCGACTGTCAGCCCGAGCTCCGAATACCTGAGAAACGATCGCGTCTAAAAATAAATCCGCGCGATGACGAGGATCGTTTTTTTTTCCGTGTAAAGCGTTCGGTCGCGTCATTGAACTGACCGATACGTTCCGAGAACCACGAACAGATTTTTCATTCGCTACGAATTCGGAGAACGACTGGAGCTAGGATTGCTCGGGATTATGTAGAACGCGACGCGGGACGAAACCCAAATCGGAGATGGCCAGAACTTATCTATTCGATTGTATAATAAGACCGTTGACGTTTCTTTTAGAACGATATTAAATACTGTCAATTTTATGTAGAACTAATCATTATGGTCTTCTACCATTTTTTGGATAACTGATATATTTCTTTGCGATTTCGTTGTTCTATTTATTGGGCTCATATTATCTAAACTATGGTATTAACTTGAATTTCGAAGCTTCAAGTGAATTTAAAAAAAGGATTCAAGTTGAGAAAATTACATTTTTGACCAGTAAACGCTGCTTCTCAGACCGGTGTGCATTGTGCGAACGGTACGGAACTACTGGATAGAGCTTTAATTGCGATCGTCCGTGTCACGACGGCTGGGCAAGGCGATTCCGCGATAAACGGTCGACAAACAAATTGGAATTGCCTTTTACGTCTTGGCCGGACAAAGGGGAGATACATGGTGGTTGTAGTCGTTCGAACGGTTTGTTCAGGACCTCCTCGCTAGCAGGATGCGACAAAAAAAATGGACGGAACTCGGACCCAACTGGAAGCGAAATCCCGACGCGCGGCCCTGTTCCAGCTCGTTCGCGTGCAATTTATTGCGTCCTCTCGATACACGCGCGCCTTTTATTCCAGCAATCACGGAAACGTAAACGCCTCTTAGTCTGCGCCGACTCCGGAGGAGGAAGAAAAAAAAAAGAGAAAAGAAAAGGTTTCGTGAGCGGCGACTTGCCGCGTGTCGTCGAATAAAGCCCGTGTCGCGTATTTTCAGCTTGTCGCACCGCTCGCCGAGGCGACCGTCTTTTTCAACGGGCAATAACGACCGGTCTCGCTGTCTCCGTTGTCTCCGATGTCTCTCGCGAACTTGGCCGGGCTGACGATTTTTTTACGCCGGGCTACATCGACCGTAAAATATCGCGTCGACGTAATTAAGAGTTCCCCGCGCGGTGTACGCCGTGCGCGCGAATACAGCTGACAAGATGAAATATAAATTCGGATTAAGCGTACCCGAAACTTCAAACGTGCTCCAAGTTGAATCTGGAACCTAACGTTTCGACCGAGGCGTCCGATCGCGTACGGTTTGATCCGTGTTTGCGTGCGCGTGCCAACTTTTATCGACGACGTTCCGCGTAAATTGTCGCGAGACTCGTACGTCGAACGTTTCTTATGTAAACCAGAGGTACGGAAAGTACGTACTTTAGTCCGGATTTATTCGGGCCTCTGAAATAAAATCGAAACAAATTTAAAAGTGCATACAATAACGATACTTTTGCCTCGTCTGTACAGTATTATTATACTATGCAAAAATTTTAGGCCATTTACGTTGTAAAAGAATATATGGCAAGACAGGATCCTAAAGAAAAAATGATTACAGAATATTAAAATAAACTTATAAAACATAACATAAAATGTACAGAAAAATAATTTTTATCTTACTAACAATTTTCTGACGTGCTTCATATATGGAGCGAGATGGGACTTTTTAAAACGTAAACACAGTTTTGAAGGAACCTAAATTAATACTCGAAACCAGTAATTATTTAGAATAGACTCCTTACCGATTCCTATTATTTTCTGAAGTTTTTTTTACATATATATAACCCCCGTTCAGCTTTAGTTTCTGAGATATTTGCAAAATTCTGTGAGGAGAAGAGAACCGGCCCGATCGTGTGCATTATTTATGAAATTCTGTATGAAAAAGAGATCGTGGACACTCCTCGAGAGGTCTCGTTATTTCCAGTGGAATCTCAATAATCGCAAAGCGTCGTACAATGCGCGTAGTACTCTCAAAGTAACATCCAGGGTGAAGGCAAAACAGAACGCAATAAGACCCCACGCTTTTCGCAGTGGAACGACCACGCCCTGACTCCATCAGTGAATCACACCTGGTCCCTATCTCGGTACCTATACCTGACCGCCATAACTGGAGCACCTCCTGATAACTCGCGAAATTCCCGCGAAAGAGAAAGGAAGGAATCGCGTAACGCGAGAGGACAATCGACTCGGAGCAAGGAGTTTCCTGGATTCCTCGTCGAGAGATACTCTCGGTGATCGAAGCGGTTATGCTTATCGCTCGAAACATAACCTTTACGCGGCGTGATTGCACTCTTTCATTTTCTTTTTTTTATCGTTGTTTATATTACTATCGCATACAGTGGATATATCGAATTTAGTAATTAATCAGTTTTATTATTTTGTAATTTCATTAAGAACGAAGATACATAAGAATTTTTCTATTCAAGTTGGTCGAGATATTTATAGAAAAAACAAGATAAATATATCGATCGAACTACAATTACGAAATACTTTTATTTTTAAAAAACACATTCATTTTTTACAGTTCACGTTTCGCTTCTTTTAGTGTATAGATTCAGTATGGACACATATTTATGAATTTACCTGTATATCACTTGCGTTTGACGCGAATTAAAAGGCACGAAAATCTTGCTCGACATTCAACGTGTTAATGCAAACGATCGGCTCTGACAGAAAACACAGGCGAGAAATGAAACGCGCTCAGGCTCCAACGTATCTCGCGTAAAGAAATAATCGCATTCTGGTTTATTCGGTAGTTTGCACCCGATGAATCACTAGCTCTATCCGCGGCTAACCTGTTCGCCGTAACTGGAGCACCTCTGGGTGTCTCGCGACAGTTACTGGAACAGAGGAGGAGAAGAAACTTAATCAAACGCCTCGGCTTATTTCGACCGCGCTTAAAAGAGCAATCCTCGACGCTTAATACAAGGGTTGTTCAATAAATCCTTAGAAAAAAATAGAAAATCAAATTATTTTAGGTAGATTTTTTTTTATTTTTCAACATAATCTCCTGTTAGCTCTATACACTTTCCCAAACATTTCTTCAACTTTTTTAAGCCATCTAAAAAGCAAGATTTCGGAAGGTCCTCAAAATAGGCGGTGACCTCCTCGTTCGACGTGAACCGTTGTCCTTCGAGCCATTTTTTCAAGTTTGAAAATAAAAAAAAGTTACTGGGGACCAAATCCGGTGAATACGGTGGATGTTGTAACAATTCGAAGTTTAATTCCACCCGTGCATTTTCTTGATACAAGAGGAAGTTTCTTGCTTCGATCAACAATAAAAATGAAACCATGTGATGGATATAACTGAGACTTTGACAGCTGTCTAGTAAGTGATGATGCTTACTAAAAACAAACCATTTTCGATGCTACGAGCGCCAGGTCTTGGATTTTCTAAGGGCTTATTGAACGATCCTCGTAAAACGATAGAAACGATCGATTCGTATTAATTTGTTTCGTAACGCGGGGTTTTTAAAAAGAAGAATTGTCTTTTAACATCTTTTGTCTATCGCTCGGCTCACCGTGGCGATGTTTCGCTACGCTTAATGGCTCCCGCGGAACTGCGCATCTCGATGGCCGAGAATTTTATTTTTACAGTCTTTTGTCATTATTTATTAACCGCGTGCCATGCCGTGCCGTGCCGTGGCGGGACTACCGAGAGAAACTTTGAATATTCAGATTCGCCCACGCGACGATCTCCAAGGACCCCTCTCGACGTTACAGCCAGGAAGATTCTGCCGGAGCGAATGCACGATCGTCTCTCCTCTTCTCAAGAGAGATACCTTACATAACGCGCGTTTCGTCGATAGCTTCTCAACCCTTTGCGATTCAGAATTTTTTGCGCGTTACGTTCCATGCAGCCTCGAATTAAATAGAGAGAAAATTGCTGACTCGCGATATTCAACGATGTTGTTACGCAAAATAAGAAAACACCGAGAAGTGTCTTACGAGGGATTTGTTGCGCTATAGATGAACGATTTAAAATCTTATCGTTGTTTAGAGGTTCTACTACATCCATACATACTTGTTCAAGGAATTCGTTAGCCAATTGTAAAGATATACGTATAACAGTTTGACACAGTTACTTTAAATTTATGTTTGTATTTCTAAAAACGATCCCAAAACTGAAGTTCGAATCTAGATGATAAATAGTTAAAGTTCAGCTACCAATCATTTCGCGTTGCAGTAAAAGGAACTTAATTTACGAGGGTGACGGGAATAAAGCAATTTTCTGGTCGCAGCGGTTCTTGCGGCCTCTGAATGCTTAATTTTGAACCGCCACATAATTAAGAACAAAAAGTGGAATGCAGAAAGTCAACGTCTGCGTCGCAGCAGCGTCGGTGAGCAACGTACTCGACGTTTTCCGAATAGTGAGGTCAAACGGTGTAGCTTGGCGTGATACAAGACGTCACGCAGAGCAGAAGTCGTGCCACGTAAAAGAACGATGGCCGATCGCGTGCGATTAACTCGCTAATTGTCAGCGTTGTTTATACCGATGGCGTTTACATGGTCTGAAGCCGTCTCGAGGCGAGACTTTTTATCGACCTCGTAGATCATTGGGAATTCGCAAAACGTGAACGCGCATACTTTATGTCCCGCCACGCTTGGAATTCTGATACGCGTACTGTGCAGAACTGCAAAGATGACGAGTGCGTGTATAGTCACAATTCAACGTAGAGGTACCGAGCGTTTTGCAAATATCTCGGAGATTAAAGCCGAACGGGAATTATACGTACGAGAAAAACTTGTTCAGAACGTTGAATTCTATAATATATTTGAAAATCATTTTAATCGATGAGGAGCCCCCTATGATAGATAATTTTTATTTTTTAAGAATTTGTCTCATAAGTTAAATGTAATTTGAGTTACAGAGGGTTGAACGTATCGATTATATTTTAACGTTTCAGCCGCAGAATTTAGTGATGATGGGCAGTTTTCCTGAGTGCGACGTGAAACTATGCGACTTCGAGATCTCGAGGGTGGTTTTAGAGGGGACGGAGGTTCGAGAAATCCTTGGAACACCGGATTACGTGGGTAAGCCGTATCACTTTTTACACGAACTAACGTTTGGTCCCGTAATCGAAACCGAAGGCAGAGACACGTTATTGCCGCGTTTAGTGATTGTGCTCGAGAAACCCGCCTCGGGAGATCTAAATTTTTTAACAAATTTCCGTTCCCGATTCTCGAGGAATTTCAAAAAAACATAAAATATCCGTAATTGTATTTGCACATGGTGTGTATAAAGAAGTTTGGGTCCATGTTTGACACGATAACAATCGTTCTACTCATCATTATTTAACGTAATAGGAAAATGTGTTGCTAAGAAAAATGATATAGTTTTAAGTTATTCATTTTTTTTCTAGTGTAATCAGTTTTGATAGCAGCATTAAATAGAATAATAAATTCTGCGAATAAAAGTATAAAGGTACATTGAACCTAAATCCAATATTTTCCAAAGTATTCAGCTATTAAGGTATTACAATTTGACCTCAATTGACCTTAAAAGACCTTGAATCGAAAGTCGTTGAACCTGACTTCCATTGAACAGAACATGTCCTAAGATTTGCTATCTACTGTTTAAACGTGACATAGCAGTGCAAATATTACAGTTCCAATATTTTTATAACTGGATATCTCGAAAACTATTAGCTTTACGATGTGCATATATACCTTATTACTTTTATTTTCAGAATATATTATTCTATCGAATTTTTTCTTTTTTATTTCAGTAGTCAGGAAAGATCTTTTGTTATACATAATACAAAAAATAATACAAGGGTATTACATCGAAATTATACAACTAGTTTACTCAGTGGTTAGCTGTTTAGTTAACTCTGGAACAGTGATTCTATTTACACTAGATCAAAAAGAGGTAAGATATCTACCAAAAAAATGTAGGTATTTTTTAAATTATTTCTCAATTTATACAGGATATTCGGCCATTCCTGGGAAAAATTTTAATAGGAGATTCTAGAGGCCAAAATAAAACGAAAATCAAGAATATCAATTTGTTGATTGAGGCTTCGTTAAAAAGTTATTAGAAAATTAAATTAAAAAATTTCAAATCATTCACGGAAAAATTATTTTTGGTTGCGGGGGTCAAGTACAATCATTTTTGGTGAATACACATACCCCCGAAATCCTACGTACTTTCGAGAAAAAAATTCTTTACCGAAAATATACTGTATGGCCGGAAATGTTTCTATAACTTTTTAACGATGCCTCAATCAACAAATTAGTATCCTTGATTTTCGTCTTATTTTGGCCTCTAGAATCTCCCATTAAAATTTTTCCCAAGGGTGGCCGAACACCCTGTATATTCTGCTAATAGAATCAGCATGCCTAAATCTAAAAACTATTTTGGGCTTTTGGGTCCCATATGATCATGATAAGAATTACATAGTTGTATAAAACAGTAATGTAACAAAAGTAAAAATTTCGTGGGCCTTATGTTACAAAAAGGTTAACGTTTTGGTATTGAAAATACTATATTCTATCTACATTCTATCAAAAGTTCTACGATTTTGTTCTTTTAGCAAGATTTCGATTCGTATCATGGTACGAATTAATCGCGTTAGAGGAGGATTATCTCAAGCAATACAACTTCTACATAACACATTACAAATTAATCATGCTATAAAAAAGGTTACCCGCATAACGTTATCGCACGTAATAGAATAATCGCGCATGAAGTTTATTCAACGAGAATCACCCGATCGTAGGTTGCATAGTTAACGATATAATTGATGGGCGCCATTATTCTTGCAGATCCTATCAATTCGCTGAATAATAGGACCGACATAGCGAGATGTTATCGTTGAATATGTTAATCTAGTTTAACGTTTCTCGAAATAGCCAAGAACGATTGTATCTCGGAGGTTTGCCTAACAAAATAGTCGAGCTCAATTGTTATCGCACTTTTATAGACACTTAAACTTAACGACACGTCAAAAAGAAGCCATAATACCTGTAATGGTTCAACGAAGCCACACGAGCAAATAGCAGAAAAACAACTTCGTTGTTCCAGAAAATATTGTGGTCGGAGCCTACATTGCTTTTCTTCAATTATCGACGCCCACTGTGCAGTTAATATTCGTTTAGTAAATAAAAATGATATTGTGAATGCAAACGAGCAAGGTCGTTGAACCGATCAACGTCCGCTTAATAGGTGTTCTACGCATTACGATTTTTCATACGTGAAGTCGTATGATTTTATTCGATACTACGTGTAAATCCAAATATAAATTGTATTTTATTACATATGTGTATACCTTGTTTTAAACGACAATTTGGTCGTGTATATGTGTGGCGCAGCTTGCTGCGGGTTAGGAACTCGTGAGAATCGTAGGAGGACAGAAAAGGAAAGTTTCGCCGGGCCTGCTACAGCGGACTCGTCAGTAAGGCTTTCTAGCAGGTCCTGTCTTAGACGACTGAAATATTGGGAAATCGGTCGAGGAATTTATATTATAGCAACCGAGGGGTCGGTCGAGCGCTTGTGAGAGCGCGACCCCTCTGGTGGCGAGCATGGGAGGCGACGCCACATATGTATTTCGTATATTAAATTTTATGTCACTTGCCTTATACGCAAATCTTTTTTACTAATTTGTTTATGAACTGTATTTTCCAGTGGTGTATAAAACTTTAAAAAAAAATGAATGCTTCCACTAAAAGAATCTATAAAATCATGCGTGTCTGAATTTCAGCTCCCGAAATCCTCCATTACGAGCCAATCACGTTGGCCGCAGACATGTGGTATGTAAATAAAGAAACAGTCGATCGAACGATTTATGTTCTTCTCGACCGACATCGGATACTTTTGGACAACTTTACGATCGTTCCAGGTCCCTGGGCGTGACAACCTACGTTCTGTTGACGGGATTCTCTCCTTTTGGTGGTGAAACCGACCAAGAAACGTTCCAAAATATATCGCTCGGCGAAGTGGACTTCCCCGAGGAGCTTTTCGGGGACATTTCGGCGCAGGCAAAAGACTTTGTCGCGAAGCTTTTGGTGCTAGACCCAAGGTAATCCACAGCCATATTAAATCTGGCATATCGAAACCCCCAAATTAAAGAAAATCGTAACCAAATCGACATCAACGATTCATAGACTTGAAAAAAATGGGTGTTTCAGTTCGAAATAAACTCCTTGCATGCTTCGATTCGCGCCAATGGAATTCCCCCCACTCTGTCAAACTAATAAATAAATAAAATAACTTTTCTGCCTCTTTTCGAGGACGAGTACTCCACAACCTTTTGTTCGTTTCAGTGCACGGATGACCGCGAAACAATGCCTGCGTCACGATTGGCTGCGCGGCGCGCCTACGCAAGCGTCGCCACATCTGAGAAGATACCTGTCAAAGTCGAGGGAAGTTCTGTTGGAGCGCGTCGTCAGCCGGGAGAATCTACGAAGAGCAGCGCTTTTGAGCCAAACGAGCAGCCAAGCGAATCTGTCGAGCGACGTCCAAGAGTCGAACAATTGCGACCAAAGCTTGCAGGATTGTTTGCTGAGTCAAAGCGAAATGTGTCTGAGTCACCGTCTCACCGAAAGTCGATCTAGTCTCGAGAGCAGCGAAGGTTTTCCGAGCCCGGCGGAGTCTCGAACGAGTTTGAATTCCTCCAGGACCAACTTGAGCTGCGCCAGTCAGAGTTGCCTGCTAAACAAAGAGCAAACGCAAGGTTTGCTTAGTCGCGCTCAAAGTCGATCGCAGGCAAATCTGAATCACGGTCCGAGCCGAGGACTCTTATCCAGAATACGGAGTCTGAATCGGGTCCAGTCTCAGGCGTGTTTGCTCAACGGAAACTCCTCGGTAACCTCGAGCTCGCTGCAAACGCGAATGATAATAAATCCCGTGATCAGCAAGTCGCGCGAGAAACTTTATGGGCTGAGATCGTTGTCGAAGTCCCAAGGGGTTTTGGACATATACAGAAGTCTCGAGTGTCTGAAACGAAAAAGGAAGAGCTATCAGCGCGCCAAGACCGAGGATATGTTGCCGATCTTTAAACATCTCGGCGCTGAAATCGACACCTCCAATTCGTCCAACGCGTCGATCGAGACCACGCGAGACGTAGACGATATTCCTGCGTTGGACGCCGTCGAATCGAACGAAAACGAAAATATACCCGAATCGAACGCGTCGGGGCTGGATATTGCAAAGGACGTTGAAGATATCACGGAATCCTCGATTATTGAAAATAACGAAAAGAGCCTGGAAGCATCGAGGGAACGATCCTTCGAATCGGAGGAGAATTTGGATTCGTTGAAGTCCATCGAGTCGGATACGTTGACCGAGGATTCAGACGAAACGTCCGTAAATCGCGAAACAGAGTCGAACGCCGCTCACAAACGTCCTTGTCAGAGGCAACATTCCGACGCTTCGAGTCATTCCAACAATTCCGCGACTTCGGACGACAAAGAAGATCGTTCTACGGAGTCAGAAACGGAGGAGCCCAAGTATACTGTGGCGCAGCTTGTGTCAGCGTTCAACAAGCACCAAGAGGTCGCCTCGAAAACGAGCTTAGAGGCGATAATGACGGAGAAGAGGATCAACGAGGTAACGTTTCCAACTGGGACGAAGGCTCTGAGACTCTTTATACCGGACATCGACATCACCGAGAGCAAGATCGTCAGGCGAAAGACGAGCTACAAACCGCGAAAGAATTGGGAAGAGCTGAGGAAGAAGAACGAGAAGAACGAGGGTCTGTTGAAAACCTTTGACCACGATTCGGGGAACGAGGACGACGACACCGGCCACGAGAACCGAGAGAAAACGAAGACGATCGACGAGAAGAAATCGAACGTCGAAGACACGAAGGAAAAGATCGACGAGCAAGAAGTCGTATCGTCTCTGGATCGATGGTCCATTCTACCGCCCATTCAAATCAACGGCGATTCTATCTTCGCCGAGAGTATGGACGTTCGAGACAATGTCGACACAACGATCGACGAGAAATACAAACGGTGCGTAAAGGGAGCCAAGATGAACGCGACGGAGACAACGAGCGAAAAGTCTCAGAAAACGATGCTCGCCGCGACCCCGGCTCGTCACAAAGAAAGACTGCCCAATTTTATATATTCCGAAGCGAGCAAGGACGCTACCAAGAAGACGTGTTCCGCGATCACGAACGAGAAAAGCGATCCGAAAGCTCGGAAGACGGACCGACAGAAGCCAACGTACAACGTGGAGTGCGTGAACGTGAACCTAAAAGACATTCTACAGAGGGTGGACACGTTTCAAAGCACGCCGAAAGAGAACTTGGAGAATTTAAGGAAAAGGACATCGATTGCGAAGATAATCTTGAACGACAACCTGCCTTACGATGGCCAGGACACGAGCAACAGTTGTCGTGCCCGCAGCGATCCACCCTCCAGTTTGTGTACCAGAGAGGAGAACAATAAAGCGAAGCTCGACGTGCCACCCTCTTTCGTGAGATCGTCCTCTTTATCCAGCGACAGCAGCTGTCCTACGCCCTCCAGCGTGCAGTCGGACGTGAACGTCTCTTGGGAGGACGTCCAAGGTACGGCGGCGGGATCGAGCGTGTCCTTGGAAAAGGAGGACCCCGGCAAGCTTCGAAAGAGAAACGAGATTCAGAGGACGTCCAGCGAGGGAAGAAACAAACAATGCACGGAAGACAAAAGACTGTGGGGCAGAGTTTGTACAGGCTCTTATAGCAGAGCGATGGAGAAGTTCAGCAAGAACAGCGACGCCATTAAAAAACCGATCGGACAATCGAACGGTTCGCAACGTAACGAGAAAACCAGAAGGAAAAGCAGCCCCGCGATGGCTCAATACATCAACCCGTAAAAGTTGAATTCTACCTGCACGAAGACTGAATCTAGAGCTTGGCCTTCCCTAATTACGGTGACTAAGACCGGAAGGGAATACGTCCGACAACTAAAATCTTCCTTTTCGCGAATACCTCGACCGACAGGGAATAAGATAATCGACTGGCAGCCTTGCCTTTGATGAACGTTCCGGCGAAACAGCGCCGTACGATGGAAATCGTAACGTAGTCATCTTTGAATGGACCAGGCTGACGGATAAATAATCTGCGAGTATGTGTCATCAAATCGCTCCCGACGAACGGTAACCTGTCATTAACGTCCCACCCGAGCGTCGCGACGTCAAACAAGGCGCTTGTATGTGATTGATCGTCATAGCCTTATCCTTGACTTAATCTCCATATCGAGCAAACTTCGACAACCGCTTCTTTTTCAAAATGCGTAGTATCGATGAACGCGTGGACAGAGTAAGCACCACGGGCAACGAAGTAACGAATCGAAGCCAAGGAAAGTGGTGGCATTTGAACGATGAGAATGTCGTTCGTCTTTTAGAATGACGTTGTATCGCGGGTACAAAGAGCAAATAATAATGGAAGTTGAGTTTTTAGATTTTTGCGACGTACGAAGAGATAAACAGCGACGAAAATAGTGCCAAATGCGCTCGACAGACGCATCACAATTATGAGAAGCATCGAGGTAGCGAGGATACGATCACGGCCGCGATTCCTTTACGAGGATAATTGCAATGTGATTCATTCTAAGCAAATTGCGAGTTAAACGAACGCGACGGTAGCAAAGTTCGGTGTAAAACGATGAAAAATATGCATTTCTTCGTTATACGTTTTGTACCTCACTGTACGAAAACTTAATAGTAATTGATAAAAATAGAAATAAAGAAAATACAAAAAAAATATAGGTAATCAAAGGACGCGATAGACTTGCGTTCAAGAAAGTTGCTCACACAAGAGATCATCTTCTTACGATACGACTCTGTCTTTACTAATCCGCTCTTATACAGGGTATTCCATCTGAATATCTCCTTTAATTGTGGTGATACAACAAATATGAATCGTGTTATCGAGTTAAAAATACGTTTTTACGTATGTACATGATATAACCTTTGACTTCGAAAAGTAAAATGAAACGAAAAATATTTGTCTTTCGAGATCACAAACTTCAGAGTAGGGCTGGAATATGATCCAGATAAAACACACAAAATATTCAGAACTATGGCCTTTCCTACACTGCATACGGCCCTGATAAATCAGCTTGGTATTTGACGCTTACGCAGCCGGAGGACAACAGAATAAACACTTTTTGTGCCAGTTATTTATATGTTGTATCTGTTGACACAGCAAATGGCTTAGAAAAGATTCTCAGATAACATTGAATTCTCCAAGGATTTAGATGATCTTGTTTAGGTAGAATATCTTACATATATCGAAGCTCATATAATTGTTAGCTATCGCGATTTAATTGGCACGACGAAAATGTGTACTTAAATTACTTCGCAGGACTAGTATTTTATAAGAGCCGATATAGCCTTGCACTTCATTTAGACTTTAATCAACTCTTTCAACTTTTGTATCGAAGATATCTCAATAAAGACTCTTTCTCGTTAAACGTCTACATGTCGTTGTCGACACATTATTTCGTAAGTGTATATAAAAATTGCTCTAATTAAAAAATTACTAATATATATCAATGATTTTCAAACGTTTCGGAAAACATTTTAGAAAAAAAAAAACGTTTGAAAAAGGTTATGCGAACAAAGATACGAATTTTGCAGGGAATTTAGTGGCGGGGATTGGTAAAATTAAATTTTATTATAATATAAAACAATTCGGCATCGTCGATCCATTGCATATCATCGCTGTATAATAATATACACAAAATAATCGCAAGTTCGCAGTCGCTGGATTATTCCCATCGACTCTTTCTCACTCTTTTCTTTTCCCTTGCGATGTTTGAGGCTTGGTTATCCTGATTCCGCGGTGGCTCCGTATTTGGTTTAGGCGGCATGGGGGGAGGTGGAGGCATTATCACAGAAGGAGGCGTAATAGTTTGTTCCCACGTATGATCCGACGATGCCCGGAACTGAAACCAGATACTCGCCCATATTTGCCACCTGTAATTTAACTCGGCGCGCGTCGTTACAGAACTGAACTAACCTGAGAATTATACTGACTACGGAACGCGGCTTTCATCGCGGACAACCGATCGCTGCCTGGCCCGTGTCTCTCCAATTTCTTCACGACTTCGCTTATGTCTTTCGACCCCTGTGACGAAGTACTGCCACTCTAAAATTATACGAAAGAATTCGGAACACGTGTTCTAACGCTTAATAGAGAAAATTCTAACGAATAAATACCGAGGTCGAAGAGACTTCCGGCCGTCCCCTAAAACCAAGCCCAGCCCCTCCGACGTTTAAACTTTTCCCTTTTCCTCCTTTGAATCTCGATTTTCGGAACCAGGAACTTTGCATCGCCAAATCTAGCAAACTCTTTGGTACCTCCTGATTCGCTCCTTCCAAGTTTCGAACCAGATGCCCGGCAAATTCTTTGTCTTTCTCCGTCACGAGGGTATACGCGGTACCCTTCTCTCCGGCACGTCCAGTTCTACCTATCCTGTGTGTGTGGGTATCTATATCTCGCGCGACGTCGTAATTGACGACAGTTTTGATATGTGGAATGTCCAAACCCCGAGCTGTTCGAAAGAACATTTGTTTTAACTCTACAGTAGTAAGACTAGAATTCGACCCAGTTTTCTAGAATCGCTCTATATTTACCGGCGACGTCGGTGGCAACCAAGGTACTGACATCCTTCCTCTTGAATGCCGTTATTACTTTGTTCCTTTCGACTTGGTCCATGTCACCGTGCAAGAGCAAAACATCGAATTCTTTCAATTTAAGATTGTTCGCGAGTTCTTCCGCATTGAGCTGTGGTAGAAAAACGTGGGACGTTTAAAAAAAAAAACGATTACTCGTCTATCGTTTATCGACGACGTGCGGTATCTAAAATCCGTTCGATGGCGATTTCCAACCTTTTTGGTTACGAAGATCAGCAGACTACCAGCGCTTAAAAACTCGACCAAATTTTGTAACAACCAAGTCCATTTTCCGGTTGGATTATTGTTGAAGACTGTCACGTGCTGGGTGACGTCAGCGTTCGCTTCACCGACGTCCCCCTGAACTATTCTAACAGGATCCGTTAAAACGTCCCTCGCAAGCTTTTCCACCCTCTTTTTGAAAGTTGCACTGAACAACAATGTTTGCCTGTCCGACCTCACGTGATTGCATATAGAACGTACTTGCGGCTCTAAAAACAAGTAGAGCGGTAACAAGCAAAGTGAAAACATTATTAATAGAAGGGAATACTATTTCTCGACGACAGTGTATAATCGATAAAGAAAGGCTTGTTGCCGTTAAAGAAAAAAAATCGTTTTCCACGGTAAGTATGCAGCTTTTAACGTGTCTGCTAGTGTGTATCAAATTTTTCATCTAGTTCAAAAAAGTATCGTCTCTTTCTTACCGAAACCCATGTCGAACATTCTATCGGCTTCGTCCAACACGAGAAACGTTACTCTGCTCAAGTTCGTTGCCTTCATTTTAACCAAATCTATCATTCTACCCGGCGTTGCAACTACAATTTCTGCCCCTCCTTCCAACGCTTTACTCTGTTCCCATTTACTGCCACCACCGTAACAACAACACACTTGAATATTGTAAACTTTCCCAAACTTTCGTGCTTCTTGATAGATCTACAAATACCATGTATACCTATGAAACGCTTCATGATCTTGAACGCATGAGCGTTCAGTAACTCCGTTATAACGCTAATTAAATCTTCGAAAGACCCGATAACGTTTCGCCGTAATAAACCGTGCAAATCCTCAACTATCTCAAAGTAAAATACCTGCTGAGATAATTCTCTTGTTGGAGCCAAAATCAGACCAATGGGTCCATCACCAGCCTTTAGTTCTCGTTGATCCATAATGTGAACCAACATTGGCCAAATAAAGGCCGCTGTTTTACCGCTACCAGTCTTTGCTATACCTATTATGTCCCTGCCACTCAACGCGGCAGGCACAGCTTGAGCTTGAATAGGGGTGGGTTGGGTGTATTCGTTTTTTCTGATGGCTTTTATTAACGCATCGTCGAAACCAAAATGACCGAAACTGGTAACCGGGTTCGGTGGAGATGGACCCGACACTTTGATTCCCAAAGTATTTCTCAAATCGTCGATTTGTTCTTTATTTAAATTAGCGATTTCTTCGTGAACGTTATAAAAATTTTTCTCGAACGATTCGTATTGTATTTCGCTGTGATCGATTGGAGGAAGTGGATCGATTTCTTTCTTTTTTGGTGGTGCTATAGGGTTTCCGTCTTCATCGTACTCGATTTCCTGATCGGATTCTTCTTGTTGTAAACCAGCAGTTGGGTTCTCCTCCATATACCTTGTTAGATAAACAACCCCCATGTTTCTCCATTCCTTCCTTTTGAATTTCCCCAAACTGGAAAATACAATTAACGGATCTTACCTGTAGTAACTCTCTTCGTCGTCTTCTCCGTCAATGTCGGCCCTAAATCCTTTAGACTTATCTTCTTTGCGCTCGTCTTCGGCTAGTTGAGCTTCGTAAGTATTCCTTTTCACTTCTGCATCTATACCAGCCATGAAGGCATCCAAAGGATCTTCTTCGCTGTCGCTATCTGCTTTAGGAGTCGACTTTTTCATTAGCTCGTAAGTAGGAGATCCAGGGGCTGGGATATATTCCAGGGAAGATGCTGGAGTGTCATCATCATCCTCAAAGTACCTAAGTTTATATATTTCAACTGTATTTATAGCTGTTCTATGTACACCTTTACTCTTCTTGATTTGTTCAAAATTTATGCTTACTCTTCTTCAGTTTTGCTACGTTTCTTTGGCATGCCCCAACATGCAGATAAGGCATTCTCGGTAATAGAGTTCATAGTGTGATACCCTTGTTTACTTAATGTAGAATTTGGAGGAGGCGGTGGTATATTAGAACCGCTTCTTTTTGTGCTAGACATTTGAAAGCCAGCAAATCCAAAGCCTTTTGGCTTGTTACCACCTCCACGATGATAACTCATATTTTCCTTATTATCTGCTAAAACGTGGTTATATTAAAGATTGCTCGAACACCCTAATGTTGCTCTTTTTTTTATAAAAACTGGATTCAAAAGAAAATCCTATAATCTAAGTCACTTTGGAATGCACTGCTTTCAAGTGCAACTGTGTAATTCTTGTATACTTTACATCAGCTAAGAAAAAGTATTGTTTATTTTTAGCCACAGAATCGAATATCAAGTAAATACATTATTGATGAACCTTTAGATCAATATACAAACAAGTAAAATAAAAGATTGACTAGGAAACCATGTATTTATCATTTGTGACTATTAAAATAATGGACATAGTATCAGCAGAGAGATAGCGTTTTAGCTAATTTGTAGGCGACATCGTTTTAACAGCATTAAGGACAAATTTTCATTGATAAATATTTATTGTTTTTATCCCGACACAGAAAAAGAGGTTAGAACACCTTTGTGACACACTAGTCCGGTTTTATAATGTCGAAATACGTATGCCTCACACATAAACACTGTATCACTTTTTGGCCGATATTTTAGGGCGATTACGTGGGTCGAATAGTATCTTACACAATAATATCGTCCCAAGAATTCGTCTTATACTTAACAAAATGCCACTCCAAAATCCTTAATATCGAACGGTAAAGTACATTCTGCAACAACTTAGGCGGTGCTGCCTCCATGCGGAGTTATTCTGGATATATCTATAGGGTAGAGACCATCTTTTTCTGAACATCTTGGATTTCATTGTTTATAATAAAATGACTTGGAAGTCAATTATTTCTTCCAAATTTTAATACAATTTAGAAGACAATTTAAAAAAAATATATTATGGATATTATCAAAGTTGTTAAATATCATGCGAGCCACATTATTTCGTCTTTTCACTTAGGCAATATTAAATATATTTCAGAGAAAATTCTACCGTATCGAACTTATTGCAAAATATTGTAAAATATAGAATTATTAGGACTGGCGAAATTAACACATTCATAGTCTATGACTCGTATACAGGTCTTAGCGTAGTGCTATTAAATAGACCATCCATAGATTATACAGTAAACGTGTTAACATCAGGAAGCTTAACAAATAAATGGGGAATACGTAAACAAGAGTGTGTTAAAGAAATTAAGTTTTCGCACGTCGATCAGAAATGTCAGAAGTGGAAGAAAATATAGCACGTTTAATATTGGAGCGTGTTTAATATCGAAGGAATGCCGATTAAGAGAAAACTTCTTCATTCATGCTGTTCAGACTGAGTGACATAAATAGTTCTATTACAGCTGAATCGATCGAATATCCGAGCCTGCGTGGTAGCGAAGGCGCCATGCGACTTCTCCGTACGTTTCAGCGTCCGTCGTGATTTCGTTCGTCACAGTTCCGAATATTGTCGCTAATATCCGACTACTATTCTTCGATTCGAACCTGTAGACCGGACTACGTAAGTACCATTACAATTTCCAAACGTTACGATTTATCGAACATACTCTTCGCCTCGAGTGTTCCTAATCGGTACGATCGTTGTGATTTATGATGCTTCGTTTCATTAATTCCTCCAAAGTTGAAGATACACGAGATCTTTAAAGTACACCGAAATTCGTGGAGGTACCGATAATGGTAAGAGACACGCTAATAGAAACATATTGCAGGAGGTCAAAATGCCATCGGTTCGCCGGATGATCTTAGGACACGTCATATCCGGCTTGGGTACCAAAATGAATCGCACCAAAAAGCTTCAAGGTGATTTACTCGAAACGCCAATGAAGAGATGCCTTTCCACGTTCGACATCACGTTGCTCGGTAAGCGTGTGCTTTTTTCTCGTGTTATTCCAGTCGTAAGGACACACCACTGACTGCGTTCTCGCGGTATCGCGTCCGTTCGCGATAAGGTCCTTTCTGTGCCGGAAAAATGTTAATTGCACGCGCGTCTCATAACATTCCGTTCCGGCGAGCCATTCCTATCTTATATCGAACGTAAATGCGAAATCATCGCGATATCGTTCTTACGATCTTCGGCAATGGCAAAAGCACGTTTACCTTTCAGGTGTGGGTCATATGGTCGGCGCTGGTATATACGTTTTAACGGGAGCGGTGGCACGGAACACGGCTGGTCCTGGTGTGATTTTGAGCTTTCTGTTCGCTGGCGTGGCTTCCCTGTTAGCGGCACTTTGTTACGCGGAATTTGGAGCGCGGGTGCCCAAAGCTGGCAGCGCTTACGTTTACACGTACATTTCCGTCGGTGAATTCTGGGCTTTTGTAATCGGCTGGAACATCATACTGGAGCATATGATCGGTAAAGTTTTTTTCAGTAAAAGTCTCTCTCGTCTAAATACCCCAAATAAATGTTTTTTAAAAATGGTTAGTTTTGAACGTTGTTCTTTTGTTTAACCGTCGTGCTTGCGAACAGGGGCTGCATCGGTGGCCAGAGCCTGGAGCGGATACGTGGATTCCTTGGTAGGAGGGTCGATCAGTAATTACACCCAACACATGATGCACGGCTACACTATGGGAGAACCGCTAGGACATTTCCCAGATTTTCTAGCCGCTGGTTTATGCCTGGCGTACGCCATGCTGCTTGCACTGGGCGTTAAATGTTCAGCCACGGTTAATTCTCTGTTGACTATCGTGAATTTAGCCGTGATGGGACTGGTGATCGGTTTGGGAATTTCTTACGCGAAGGTTTCGAATTGGAGCAACGAGAACGGAGGTTTCCTACCGTTTGGTTTCGGCGGCGTACTGGCAGGTATACTTTTTGCGATTACGCCAAAAGGTTGTACCCATCGTTGCATACTTTTGTAAACAATCTATACGTTTGCTTGCAGTTTTACAGCAAATGACTATCCTTAATGGTTTTATTATGCTCCATACGAATAGGTGCCGCAACGTGCTTCTATGCTTTCGTGGGCTTCGACTCGATCGCAACTTCCGGCGAAGAGGCGCGCGATCCTGGGTACAGCATACCGCGAGCAACGCTACTCTCGATGGCGATTGTTACCATTGGGTACGTGCTGGTTGGAGCAGCTTTAACGTTAGTCGTGCCGTATTACAACATCAATCCAACGGCAGCTCTTCCTGAAGCTTTCTCATCGAGGGGAGTATCGTGGGCCAAATATGTGATAAGGTTAGTAAAACGTTTCAAAATTGTACATGTTATAAAATGTTACAAAATTACCCTAGGAGCTAGAAAATTCTTAAAAACTGATAAATGAACGATCGTTGCACAGTTTCACAAGTATACATAACTCACATGTGAAAATATTATTATACAAAGCTATCGATTCAACGGAACACTGTCCCTAACTGGACATATTGAAAGAAGCAATGAGCACAATTAATATTTATAGCGTGGGAGCCTTGTGCGGAATGACAACGACTCTTTTCGGATCCCTGTTCTCTCTGCCGCGAACTATGTACGCCATGGCGAACGACGGATTGCTGTTTGGCTTCCTGGGTCACGTGAGCGAACGCACACAAGTTCCAGTCCTTAACCTGGCCATCAGCGGATCCGTCAGCGCAGCGATCGCCTTGCTCTTCGATCTCCAGCATCTGGTCGAATTCATGTCGATCGGTACTTTCCTGGCCTACACAATCGTTTCGGCCAGCGTGATTATCTTGAGATACCGACCTGAAAAGATCACACCTCCGCCATCGAACGCCGGTACTCCGAGCAGTTTGGCATCACCTCCCACAGAGAGTGCAGATTCCAATAGCGATTGCAATAGCGTCACGTCTGCAGAGTCCGAGGTAATTCGATTACATACAGCTAGATATCCAGTTGTTACATATTTTAATATCATAATCGTGACATGAAAAATTGACAGACGACTGTCAAACCATATCCAACGATGCAATGCTAGCTCACCAAGTGGTTGCCTTCCTCAGTACTCTGTTTTTTCTTGTAGCTTTTAGATCTGAGCGAAGGCACTGGCAAATTGAAAGCACGATACGCCTGGCTCGCCAACTTTGTGGTCACTTGCGAACCTGGAAGAGCGGTAGCCATTCTCGTGATGATCTACACAGCTGGCTGTGTTTCTCTGTGTCCTTTGTTGATGTTGATATCGCAAACGTATTGCTCTCCGGCGTGGTGGGACTATTTCGTTGTGGCGAACGTTGTTTTGTTGTTGATTGGATGTACGTAACCTTCTTTTCGTTTGACGTGAAATTCGTTGTGATGCTGATCGATGATCCCTGTAGGTTTGCTCGTGATCGGTGCGCATCAACAAAATCCTCCTACTGGTAAATTTCGAGTGCCTATGGTACCTCTGATACCGGCGCTGAGTATTCTGTTCAACGTGGGACTAATGTTCCACCTGTCGCTTCTAACTTGGCTTCGATTCCTCGTGTGGATGATAGTCGGTGAGTCCATTATGTCATTTAACCAATATTACACAGCCGCGTATATTGAAAATTATCCACCATTTTCCTACGCGTAGTATTTAGGACGATAAGGGAAGAAAATAACAATATAACGCTGGTGGGATCGTTTAAAAAGAAATGTCACCGAAAACGAGAGTAAAGAAACGCTGGATTAAGTTGCACAAATAAAATACATAAATACTGTTCGTGTGTTGCAGGAATGTTGATATACTTTTTGTACGGGATTCACTACAGCAAAGAATCTACCAGTCCAAATTCGTATTCGATTCTAATGGCGACCTCGGAAGCAGGAAGAGGCGCGAAATGGGGCGCCACGTTGCGCGTAAATCAGAAAAGCGATAAAGTACCGATTTTGAACGACGACGATTTCGTTCACTAGGAGCGTAGGGTTCGTAAAAATTGTATAAAAACACACGCTGATCGTCGCTGGATGTAAGTGCATCGTTATTTGTAGAGAAACTGAACAATATACGACCATCGTTCTCTTTGTCGAGGCTCATAAATGCCGATTCGAAACAAAGAGTAAAAGGTCGACAAACATTTGTACATACCGAAGTTACGTAAAATGCTGAAACGAATTAATCGTATCCCTCTGAAACCTTCTGCCCTGAAAGGTTAAGCGGCTGAACGTTAGTGAGATATCAGAACAGACAAGACTGTGTTTTAGTACTTATTTTGACTGCTTTTCGGTAGATATTGATTTGAAGTCTCCGAACGTTAGCTGAAAAGAGTCTTCTTTATATTTTATTACGCACAAATTTACGCATTTTCTTTGTTTTACAGACGCGCGTCGGTTGCGCGTTTCATAGGTAAATGAAAAAATACGAGGTTCACCCGGTAATATAGTACAACGGTAGGATTGAAACGACTTTAAGAGAAAGTATTACATTATAATCTGATTCCTGATCGACCTGCAATTCTGGTTTAAGTAAAAGTTCGACAACTTTGAATTCGAAGATTCGAAATACTCGCAAGGTGGAAAAGAACTCGCAGATAAAATGTATGCATTCAACCGCCAAGTACATATGTAAACATTTACTGGGGTATAATGTTCAAATCAAAAGATAAAAAAAAAAGGAAGAGGATAGAAGAAGAAACGCGTATTTTTAACGAAAGACCAGATTTTTAAAAGGGAGGCCGAGCGACTGTCTCTTTTAGTAAATTTTAACGTTCTGCTACAAGGATTGAAACATGGTGCCTTGGGAACGGATAGACTAATTATACAGTAAAATATATGAATCTAAAAAGATGACAATAGATTCGCCTGTTACACGACGGGCATTAAGCTTAAGGTTACCTATACACGGATTTGCTAAGCACATGGATTGCCCAGTGGCGTAAATCATCGTCGATACACGAACTTGCCTGTGTCATTTTAGATTGGAAGAAATTCGTTTCGTTTACGTCGTTGGACCCGTTTAAGCGTAGAAACCCGATTCGATTTGTTTCGCAATGTAAGAACACCTCTGGGATCAACCGTTCCTAATCCACCAATTTATTCGCGATTGCTTCGACGTTAAGGATACGTGACGAACAATTTTGACTGTACATTGTTTGATTTCAGTACGTTGTTTCTGAAAATACGCAAAGACACAAACATACGGGACTGACTGTAAGTACACGTATCATCTTTACGGTCCTCCGCTCAGCAGATCCAACAAGGATCTGTTACAGTAACAGATAAATATAATCGGTGTTACGTAAGAAAGTATATATGTACGTATTGTTATCGTAAAGATTACTACCGTCGAAGTGCCGTAGACGTTATTTACAATTAGATATAGAAGATCGTAGCGAAACCGTAACCACGTCGTACAAAGGTTTAAAGCCAGAATTTAGCCGTTCGAGGATATATTATACAGAGTGAATCGCTTAAGTCATCGACGTAGTATGTTCTCTCGAGTAGCCCGTTTTAAGTGATTCACCCTATAGTATAGAGAGCGTACGAAAAGGATAATTCGATCGAATCGTTGCGTACGTACGAAAGACAAGACGATACGTTCGAAACGACGCTTGAATATTCTCTTCGAGGTCAACGTTCAAATTTCATTGCGTACAATTCGCAGGGCGCACGAACCGTAGAAGATTTGTATATGTATTTATGTACTCTGAACTTTCTGGAACGTACGCGCAGTTCATGACGCTTAATGTACAGTAGATTACGTTATAATGCTCGTATAAATATATTATACATACTTATGTACAAAATCGACTCTCGTAAACAGCGAACGCGTGATCCGCACAAGCGTTTTGCTCGACGTTTCCGAGCAAAAGTACGACCAGCTGCAACGACCGATTGCGCATAATATTGGTACCAAAATTATTGTCTGTGTACTGTACTATATATCTTCTAATATAAAACGTTTACGAATTGGAAACGATATTACGTTCATTTTACGATCACTCTTCGTCAACGAAAAATCTACCGTGACTTATTTTTAGAAATAAAATCTTTTACGAATATTAAATACTGTTTTGTACTTGCTGATACATGACTTTATAATTTGCGATTCGAGCAACGCTTTGTTCAAACACCAAATTATCTGTGAGATTATAGTTTTTCTGATTTTACACAGCATAACTTCACCCTAATTTTTACGCTGCATAATTTTTTATAACGTTTACTTTCAACGCACGAAACCGGATAACGAACGATTATACTTTTCTAAAACAGAAAATAACTCCCTCGAATGATATATCGCAATAACATTGCTTGGAAACACGATTTTTAAGTTCTTGATACTCGAGGTACCGATTGTTAAATAAAGTTCGACGTAAGAGTCGTTAATAATGCAAAATGACAAAGATTTACGAGCGAATGTGAAGGTATTAATCCGGATAAAAAGGTGGGACTTGCAGTTCAAAGCTTTAGAAGGATCTCTAAAATCAAACGCCAAATACGCGCAAGTTTCCAATATGTTCGTACGAGTAATTCTGATCGCGACAATATTCAGCTTCGTTTCTGTACGGAGTATCGAGTCTCAAAAAGTACAATTGATATCCCTGCTCTGTAAACCGCACCCTGACATGGACATGAACGCGGCACCAACCACAACCGTAATTACTTTACTTTCTGTTTTTCATATATTTTTTTTCATATCATAATCATATGATCATATTCTTTCTATTTTGTGCTTATTCTATAACAATCTGTATGTTAATTTTAATTTTTAAAAAATCATCTCTTTATTTCGTTTCTATCGAGAGTACTACGATTTTTACACTGAAGATATTGATCTTTCTATCGATGTATTTGTAAGAAGTGCCAAAATTTCAAGTGGAATTTATTATGTATAAATCTATTGTGTGACTGTGTATTTCGAACAGGTAGAACAAAAACTACCGCAAGAGTACAACACGAACGTAGAACGACCCCCGACAGCCAACAACACAAATTCCTCATCCCCGCAATCGACCGAAAGTATTTCAACTACCAATCACGAATCCGTGCATCCGGGAATGAAGCACCCGAAGAAAAGAGCAACGAATTACAAGGAAGATCGTCAAGTTGATTTGCAACCGAGCTGTTGTGGATAAAATACGAGTGGATAAAACTATATATGTATGTAACGAACGACGCCCAAACGACGAATCCTGTCTCGTAAATACTTGCTTTTAAGATGTATTTAAGTGGAAATGGTAGATAATACTTAAGTGCATACAGTAGATATCGACCTTTCTTTCCGGTACCTTTTGCGATGAGTTAGTAAATGGAATAAAATTATTGGTTGCCATGTACAGATAATTGAACAATTTTCTTTTTTTTTTAATCAATCCTGAACGCGTGTGTCACGGCCCGATAAACGCGTCGCGAAGAAACGTGGAAAACACACAAGGTGAGACAACGAGGTTCTTCGTATGGAAAACTTTTATTAACATCATGTACTTATACATACAGACTTACAAGTACTGCAAACAATCGCAAATGTAATGTTTTAACCAACCAAGACCAATAGTAAGTATCGTTAAATATAAACCAGTGCGATATATTACATATATTACATCGTAACAAAAATTTCACTAACCTTCATGGAAGGATAACAATGAGTGTTCCTCCGAGTTTCGACGTTTGATATAAGGTAAGTGTCCCCATCACTGACTGGACCAGCTTAACCAGAAAAATAAGTTAATCTTATTTTTGAGAAGAGGGGGAAAGCAACATGACGTCGGGGCCTTCGCTACCTCGTACCGTGCGTAGTGGTGGAAGAAGACGATAGAAACACTCGTTACTTCTCCCACTACTTCATATGGTGCGAAGTAGTCCGTAAGTAGCGAACCCCGCGTTATACTGTCTTCTCAGTCCTTAAAAATGGAATTCATCTTATTTTTCTAGCTACGCTGGAAGATCACGAGTTTGTTATCTAAACCTTCGCCGTTTCATCGTCATGGGGTTCAGACCCAAAATTACTAGCTCTCTTAATACTTCGTATCATCGTGTCTGAGTCTATTTTTCTTTTAGCAACCCGGCATGGAAGAATAACGCTCGTAGTTCGCATAAAAAAATCGCCTAGCTTTTATTATGCGTAACATATCGATACAATATATACATACAAAAGATGGAATCGTGCCGCGATCCAAACGATATGACGTTTTTAAACGCGCTGTACTCCCGATAATTTTAAAATGTACGCAGTACTTGCTCAACAGTAGTATTGTGCCAAATATAAAAGAATCTCGCGTAAACCTTCGTAACAAATTGGGCATCGAATATTCATCAAATATTACATCGCTGTAACTAATATTTTTCATGTATTCGAATGTTATTCGTTGAAAAAATGAATGTTCAATTTAAAAAAGATTGGAACACTTGGACACACAGCCGGCACACGAACAGTACAGTATTTACAGATACCGTGTCAACAAGTTGTAACATTGATTCAATAATGTTATCTATTTTGCTTCGAAAGGATTACTTTCCAAGCAGACATTGGCCTTGCTTGTAAGATCTCGATTTTTCGTTGACCCCACCTGAGCCAAGCCAACCCTATGATTAAGCATAAAATACTCTCTATGTAATACCCGTCAAGCTGCATATTACAAACGCCATTGTGCGTGCTCGCGCAGAGCTGAAAATGGAAATTGTTACATAACAGTAAACAACTACCGGTTAATTAAATACTGTATACATTCGTCGATCGAGCTTAGAATCATTACGCGAAACACAGCACAGGCCTGACATATACAAATTCAGGCCCTATCATAAGACGGACTAACGGAGTTTCAAATTTACAAAAAAAAAAGAAAACAACACGAAGACATGATCTGATCCAACTAGCAGATTCGGGACGAAACGCAATAATATTGCTTTATGTACCAATAAACAGGAATAAAATAATATTACTTATACAAACGAAAATATCATTTTAATATATTGGCGATCTTTAAATTGGAGGGACCTCCTGCAAGCTCGATGCACGAACAAATATTATTGGTAACGAACCTAAGTCATTATACGAATAACATGCCCACCAACCTCTTTTTTTGAAATTGTGCTACAGTCGTTCGAGAGATCGGTGCTGCATTGTCGATACGTCAATGGATCGACGAACCAAAGAGCTGCCGTTGCTGGCCAGTTACCACCGAGATTATATAAGGTGTTCAGCAATGTCATGTAAGTACCACCGACAGCGGGATCGCTAATTTTTGCGAAGAACGCCATTGACGCCACAAACATGCTGTTTGTAAAAACCTAAGACAAGGAAAAGTAACCTGAGTTCCTCTCTAATTCGTCAGTCCCATTTTTGAACTACTACTATTATTGTACCCAATTTACCTGATGTAACAAATATAAAGCTATTAAAACTACAAAGTAGTAGGCTGGAATTTGTCCATTCATCATTACATATGGTGTCACCCAAACCAAAAATGCTGCTACCAGTCCATAAGCTAATCTGTATAATTAATTACAAATGCTTATGAAACACTAGTTAAGAAACAAAATATTGTGTTTTATACGCATTTTTTATTCACCTATAGGGCATTGCTGCCACGTACACATCCATAGGTTTTGGACCAACTGTGTACTTTGAGATTACTAATGGTAATAAAATCTGTATTGGTATCATAGGCACAGCCATAAGAGCAAACTTTTCTTTCGGTATACCAGCTTCTACTAGTTTCAAACCAGTTACTGCGTCACAAGCAGAAAATCCTATCTGTGGTAACACAATATTATTTCAAAGCTAATAACTATAATATTCATTGTTATATATGTTCTAACCTTAGCAGTTAACTGGAATAGAATAATCGTTTTTATAGATGGTAACTTGACAATGTTCCAAAGTAATTTGTACGCGTGTTTGACGTCTGTATTTAATTCTTCACCTTTATGTGTTTTTTTTGAATCCTCATGTTTGAATAAGGACACCAAAGTGGTTGTTATTATAAATACCCAACCCCAAAAGTAAAGAAATTCTATAGGAATAAATAACAAGCTTTAACTGTTAATTCTTTACATAGATTACAGTATAAAACTGCTTACCAGGTAAAGTTAATATGCCCTCACTGGAAGGAGTGCTTCTTAAATAACTGTTGCAAAATTCAGGAGATTCTAATGCCATAAAAAGAACATAGCCAATAAAATAACCAGCACTTTGTCCTACGCTATTACAAGTTGATGCATAACCCACATTACACCTTGATACGGAAAGGAAATATATGATTTTAGAAACATTATATTAGACTGTATAAACTAATCACCAGATTGAAGTTATACCTTTTTAACATCGTGAGTGCCCAACCATCTACTACAATATCTTGAGTTGCAGCAAGAACGTTTAAAGAAAAAAATAATATAGTTAACATTTCTATGTTGGGCTGTTTACTTTCATCGCCTAACCAACGATCTATGTGACTGGATAAAAGGAGCATGAAGAAACCCATTAAATATTGAGTAGGAATTAACCATGTTTTCCGTCTTCCAAATCTTTGGGAAAACACAGAGTCTACTATCGGTGCCCAAAAAAGTTTCAACGAGAAAGGCCAATGAACAATACTAAATTCAGCCTAATAGTAAAATAATGGTTATATAACATTCTGCTATATTTGTTCCTTAAACGACTGTAACATAAGTTATGTATATTACCTGTTGACGATACGAAACATTTCTATTCTGCAGTAACATTGGAATAGAACCGCATAAACCTAATGGTATACCTTGTAACAGGTACAGAAATAAAAGAATGGCGATGTTTTTCTCATCTCCTCGTAAATCAGAATGTTCTTGTATGTGATTGAATTCGTGAATCCCATCCTCCACGCCGTCATCCTTTACCATTTTTCTTCTCAGACCCATGAAGAACGATAAATATGACAAACCACAATTTCATACACTTTACGAACCGACTTTCGACGGAACAGATGTTCCTCTCACGCGCGCATCAACTTCCGAATTTATTCACATTTACTTCTAGTATCAATACTATGCGTTTCATGAGTTAGACTGTAGTTATCAGTAGGCTACTCCCAAATATACTGAACGTAAACTCTTCGATCAAATGACACAGTCATTTCTCAAAGAAAGAATCACTTGCACGTATACAAAATGAATTATTTATGTTGACAGAGGTATCAACATTGACGTGGTCATTACCAATATATAACCTTAATACTGTTAACAAAACGTTTTACGTACGAAACTTAAAAATAATATTAAGATGAAAAGTAAAGATTTTCAAATGTATATTACAAACTACAATTGCTGGACAACATTCGGAAAATTCAGAATTGTTCTGCTTCCGTCCTTTCAGGAACCATATAGATAACCTTGCAATAGTTTAGATTTGCCACGTTGTTTCGCATTAAGGACACGTCAGTTATAGTTTATCTTTTTCAGTCTTGAAGTCACGTGTGAACTACCGCTACTAAACTATCGATTTTATAGAGACGCAAAAATAGTGCGCCTATCACAGACTGCTTATGTGGCGACACCACTGATCTCTATAGAACAGCAAACTCAATGCTGAACAAGAAACACTAAAACCGCGAGAGTCTGATTTTTTACTTGATAGAAAGAGTACATACCATTTATGCGTCTTCGTCTATCTAATGCAAAATCGGACTCTCATAGCTTTACTGCCTTTCACTCGGCATGGTTCGTTCGTACCAGAGACGTCTGTATCTATATGTAATACTGGCGCAGACAAGGTATACCAGTAAATGTTACATCCAATGTATTTCTTCAGCCTATTTTTCTAGAGTTCTAAAGTCCCATTACCATTTTCATGTAACGAGGGGCAGTTTCTGTTGGGCACCGGCATAAATCTTACGAAAGATTAAGGTCAGAGTATATCTATTTTGCCGGCTGTTTAGTTCGATCTCCCTTATTGACCGAGTAGTTAGACCATAGACAAGGTATAAGAGTAGAACCTACGCCCTTATGGACTTTCACGGCCCAATTTGACTGCCATATCGACCTGACCATACGAAGGTGATTTTAGCGTCCTCTATTCATGGATGACGGTCAGTTGAGAAACCATGGGACTAAAATGGGCCAAACAAATCACTGGATGTAAGGTCTACACATATAACTGGTCTGTGGCCGTACGGACCAGAGATGGGTAACAATCGATTAATTCCATTGGTATAATCAATCGATTACCGGATGCAACTGAAAATTTGGCCACCAGAATTAAGTCGCGATTGATAATTAACACTACCCTGGAAAGTAAACGCGAAAAATAATCGCAACACTAAAAACAATTGCGATCAAATTCATATTCTTATATTCACAACGCGAGTAGTATTGATATTTCGCAACGCTATTACAAACCACGATTACTGTTTACACGCAACTCTAACCTGGAAAATCAAACGCGAAACATATTCCTCGTTCGCAATTCTAACATTAAACATAAAATATCTATATTAGTCGCAACACTATCCTAGAAGCAAATGCGATCATTTGTATTTCGCAACACTAAGGCAAACCGCGATTTGTTCAAAAAAGCTGATCGTTGTGATACAAGTACCATCTGAAAAACTACAACTACATCCGAAGATGAAGATGAAGAGCCATTTGTTGTAGCCCACTCTTGAGACAGTTTGTCAGGGCCTCTTCGACTCATCGAGTCTTTTCTTTCTTCGGCGGTCCTGCCGATGCCTGAAACTTACGAAAGACCGGGCTCAAGATTTTGTGCAATACGTAGTCTTCCAACAATATACGAATTGTTGCAAGAGCATACGTGGTGAATCTCAAGCGGGACGAACGTTTCGAAAGGGACCTAATCCCGACAGCGAGCGCGAGAGAGCGACTTTAAGAGTCGCGCGATTCGAGGAGTCGAAAATAAAGCCGAAATAAACAGCACAAGTGCACCGTTTGAATCATCAAGATTTCTACTCTCGAAATCGTAACTACAGGAACAGAACTGCCACGCGAAAACGCGCCTACCCGAATTACTAATGTGGACAGTCCTGCCCTGACCCTACCTACTTAGGTTTAAACACACACACACCAGAGAATAAGTTACCTACCTACCTAACCCTATATTTAAAAAAATGCAAAACTCAGTCTCTCAAACAAACACTCCACGGTTCTCATTCTCAATGTCCGGGCGCGACCTAAACTAGAGAGGACTCCCCGGGGTTCCTCCGACACACGGACACAACCTCATTCATACTCTAATTGTGTACGTACCAGTTTTTGCAGTGGACTGACAAAGCTAGTTCCCATTGCGTACTTTTATTATTTATGTAAAACATTTTAATATATCTGATATAGTCTTTATTAAAATATACTCTATACATATATTATTATATAAGATTGAAAAGCTAATTCATTATGTATTTTACAATATTATCGACGTGTATGCAATACGAATAATTGCCAAGTAAATAATAACTATAAGTTTAATATTATTATTGTGATTGTTATGAATCTAATGTCAAAAAATTCTGTATCTGAATTGTGATGAACTTTTGATACGATGCACTTCCACAACCTAACCACAAACACACATATGTGGACAGTACATCGTGCACGAGACACTAGCATTGCCAGTCGCACAGATAAATTATTATTATAAATGTTACAAACTAAGTCATCGTGCCCCGTTGCCTTCGCTCGTGCAAATAACACTTGGGCATGTGCATGAACTTAGGCAACGAACACGGGAAAGTATCCTGAAAATCCTGACTAAAACAACTGGTTATTAATAATTAACTAAACGGTATCTATTCTCAGTTAAAATGACTCGACTTGTTATATGTAATATATCAACAACAGAGTACGTTAATATTGAAAGATATTATTATTCAAGAAAAATTTGTGACTGAAATTTAATTGTTCAAAATGTAAGACTTTAATAAAGATTTCATGATAAAATAATTTACTTTGCAAATTGAAATAAATTTGTTAAATTATTATTCAAAATATTCAATTAACCTTGGTCGATTCTGTCGTCAAAGTAAATTTAAAAAAAAATAAAATTAACATGCATGTTCCTTTGAGTTGAAAATCGACCAGTCGCGAAACGCCTTCTTGCACATAAAATACATCATATGATGTATTAATTAATAAAACTAATATTTAATAATTATATTAATGATGTAAGATATTTTACTCAATCATACGATTAATATAATGTTTTCACATTATATCAATTCATATTCTACTCAATTATTTAATTCATATAAAGATAATAAACATATTTCATATATTTTATCAAAATTGTGTAATAATCATATTGTGTAATATTTATTGATAACATTAAAAAACGCGAGTGCAAGAAGACCCTAGCCTGCACTAAAAAAATATAACTCATGGGTATTTTTCATACCCGCGGTCACTTAACTCGTCAAAAATACCAAGGATACAACTGGTCACCCGTGTTGATTCGGATATTTCATCCTACAACATGGTTGGGGGCCAGAGGAAACAAAATAGCATGCGACTCACCAACTGTAGAATTCAAGCACCCGGGCGACGATGTTGCCTAGTAGGAGTCATCAGCGAAGTCATCAGCGACGTTAGAAACGAAGTCAGCATCAAGGTCAGCAGCGAGATCATCGTCGAGTTTCTCTGGATCCACAAGTACGATGATGAGATGCCAGGATCCTTTAGAAGGAAAGAGTAAATGTTTTTACGAAAGGTTTCTACCGTATTTGAAAACTTGATGGCAAAAGATCAAACAATTTTTTTTAAGTGCACTCGGAACAAAATACGAAGAATACTTACATTTTTCGCACGTGGACATCGCCAAATACTCTTATTCGTATAGATACAGGTTTTTTGTCGGAACGTGTTCACAAACTCTCAAAGCATTATGGCGTCGCGTCTATTTCGTGACCGTAGCGTGACTGCAGTTGCGAGTCTCATGTGGTTGAATTGTAATTACGAGCTGACACAGAAATAAAACACGAATTTGTTAACAGACACTTATTAATATTGGATAAATGCATCGATGGATAATGACGAAAAGAAGAGAACCGATTAAAAATGAAAAATACGTTTGACCGTAGTTGAGCGTCCCGTGTTTGAATTGTAATTACGGGCTCTTACAGAAATAAAACACAAATTTGTTAATATGCACTTATTAATATTGTATAATTGCATCGATGGAGAATAACGAAGAGAATAGAAATGGTCAAAAATAAAAAATACGTACCTAATTAGACGCGAAGCTGTGAACGCACTTCTCACACCACTTTCCAGACGAAGAATGACGAACAGGATTGGACACGATCTCGCGCGAGGAGTGAGGAGTGGGGTGAGGGAGTCACGTAGTCCGTCTCGACTCTTGATGTGTATCTTCGAAAGAAAGGTTAAACCTTATATCTCGAAGAACTGAAAATAAATAAAATTAAGACATGATGTAAATAAAATTAATATAAAAAGATATGAAACAAACAATTAATTAATGATTTATAATCTTTATACTCCTGTGACGTCACAATGAGAAGCTGTCATTGGCTCATCTAATATCGATCTGTTATTGGTTGCATATATAACTAGATCAATTAAAATATATTAATTATAACCATATAATGCGTAAGTATTAACTTTGAATCTAAATTTCAATCAGTTTTTCATATAAAAGTTTCTTTTGTTTCTACTAAATTTTCTAAAGATATTTATTTTAATTCTCACTAGATGTCCAACCTTCTTTGACGCGGTGTCGATAACATTGAACTTGACGCAGTTTGGTAAAAAGTCTTCTACAGGCATAAACGAAGTGTGAAGTAGACGCCGAACGCGATATTTTTTCGTAACACAGGGATTAAGGGCACAGACAATGCATAGTATAGACGCATAAATCAACAGTGTTAGTGTCACGCAGATCAGGAATTCATGAGTCCATCTCCAAGGTGAAGTCGAGAGGCCGGCGTCCGAGAATGTAAACACAACCTGACCGAGCTTTTAAAAGATAAGAAACGTATCGCATCATTATCCTTGGCTTAGGAATGCTAACAATGGTAAGAATAAAATTATTTTTAAAGAATATTATAGAATACACTAGAAATAGGTACAGACGAGTAACAGACAGGAACAGTATTCAGTGGGAGTCCTATGACGTAAAAGAAAAACATCGTGAAAAATTAATATATTTGTATATTTTATACATATTATTTGTCTATTGTTGTTGCGTTCACTCAATTTATATGAAAAGCATTTATTAAAATTTCAATTAAAAATGAATATATTTACATATTAATTAGTACATATTTCGATAAAATGAGTTCCCTATGTATATCGATATTTCATCTTTAAGAGACACTATTGAATCTATCGAATAATCGAAAGTCGGATGCTGCTCATTGTGACGTCACAGGAGTATAAAGAT